AAAATAATACTCTATCCGTTCCATAAGAAGAATATCATTTTTTTTATTTTTATCCTTCCCAAAACAAGGATATCATTTCCTAATTTAATAATTGTACAACATACCTAACATAATTAATATTCTTACAACTTCCAATATATCACAAAAATATCATTACTTTTATATCACATAATCTAATAAGAGTATTTTTGTCTTTTCCACTATAAACCAATATAATACTAATATTAAAAAATTTACGTGAAAAAAGTAAGGGTGTGTTTGTTTGGGGGTTTGGATTTTAAGTTGGGATTTAAATAGTAAAAATTTTAAATTTGAATAGTTGTATGGTGTGATATAAATAGGTATTGATGTGATGTTTTGAATATAAAATTGATTTTTAGTATAATATAAAAATAAAAAAATGAGTGTTTGATTTGATGTTTTTTGGGGGAAAAAATTGAATAAATAGTATAAATCCAATTCAATCCTCCAAACAAACACACCCTAAATGTTGTTCTTCTTCCGAGACGGAGATAGTAATTTATATTAAAAATAATGCGAATGGCACGTAAGACCTAAAGGACTTCACAGTCACACTCCACTTCCACACTACCAGACTTTCTCTTACAACACGTAAAGATTTTAACTGATGTGAATACGTGACAACATCAAATTAAACGATTAAAAGAAAGAAAGAAAGAAACTATATTGTATAAAAACATTAATTTTTAATTATATTTTCTTTAAAATTAAAAAGATAATAAAAGAAATTCAATAATATTAAAATATTTTATAATTTTCAATAGTTAATATTAAAGAATCTACAAAATATACCATTTTAGAAGAACACTTGTGTTTATTTGTATTTGTTCTTTTAATATTTAAAACTAAAATCTAACATCATTTACTTGACACATTTTTTTAATAAAAATACAATATTTTTCATATATAAAAATATTATTTTTTAAAAAGAATTCAAATAAATATTTCATTTTAAATTAACTTCAAATCAAAACCAAACAAATCGATTGTAAAATTTTGATTTTGAAAAATAAAATTTTAAATTTAAATAATTATTGATGTAATATAAATATATATATTAATATGATATTTTAAATATAAAATAAATTTTAATATAATATAATAAAAATATTTTTTTAGAGTTTTTTTTTTAAAAAAAATAATTGAAAATAGTAAAATCAAAGCCAAACCTTACAAATAAATACGGGTGTGATTTCAAAAATCACCCCTATTCATTTTACACATTTTTTAAATAAAAATATAATATTAATTTTTCTCTTGTATCAAAATATTATTTAAATAAACAACTTCAAAACAACAACCAAACAAACTTTAAAATTTTAAGAATTTAAAAATAATAATATTTAATGTAATATTTTATAAAAATATATATATATTCATTCCGCCCGCCAAAATTAGTTACACTTCCTTTATAATTTATAAAAAATATGTACTAATTTTGGCAAAGTAAATATTTAATACGAGTATTATATTTTTAAAAAGTTAAACAGTCAATATCTTAAGATATTAAACTAATTAAAATGAGAATAAATTATTTTATTAAATAAGTATATAATATTATAATATATGGAGTATTAATCAGTTTATATATATACACTAGTACTCGTAGTGGTAAGCTACGCTGCACAATAAAAAATATTATTACTTTTATTTTATAAAATTGTTATATTTGTATTATATTTTATCATATATGTAATTTTCTATATTAAAAAGAATTTATATTTTTCATATTATGAAAACTAAGATATATGATTAAAAAAAAAATTAATAAAAAAATAATCTTTAATCTGTGCAACATAATTTTTATTTACTGAATAACTAATATCTAACCATTCACAAGGCTTTGAATCTACAGAATCTCAATCGGACAACACAATTGTCGGATCTTCGAAGAAATACTTCAATTCTTCCACCCAATGTCGCAATCTAATTGCACAACCACATAAGCATTTTCTCGAAGAATTTATCTCCATTTCTATAACACCAAGCTTACAATAATTCAAACATTAATCAATAAGCCACAATTTTTTATTTTTTATTTTTTAATCCACAAACTAAACAGCTTTCAATAAAATTTCATAAAACATTTCAAAATAACTAATCTAAAACAACATAACCTTGCGAAATTCTAAACCAATAGTGTGTTCACCTTTTGAAGTGAAATTCTTGAATTTTGGTAAGGCAAAAAAAAAAAAACCCAAGGAAATTAGATAGATGAAAAATTAGTGAAAGAAAAAACTACCATCAATTGGTCAATTATGAAACCGAGAGATATTCATCGAAATTAGATTGGCTAATTTTCATACCCAATCGGTCAACGGTTTTTAACCATAGTGTCTCTCGCTTCTTCCAAAATTCATATATAGCCATGCCCTTTACATAATATTAAAAGGCCACAACACAAACACAAAAACGATAAATTAATTATAATTTTAGGTTGAAATTACAAGTTTAAACAAATAAAAAAATATAAAATCATACTTTGAAGGGTCAATATGTAATTTTACGTAGTCATTCTTACTACAAGGTATATATAGGTGGCAAAAAACTGAATCTGAAAAAGTACAGTGGGCCAAGTTAAATTACATTTTTTAGACAAATTTTAGATAAAAATTACATGTTTAAACAAATAAAAATAATATAAATCATAATTTGAAGGGTGAAAAATGTAATTTTATGTACTCATTCTTAATCAAAGATATATGTAGGTATTATGATATATATATATGATATAGATGTAGTAGTATAAAATAATACTGTCCAATTTAAAATATATATTTACTTTTGCCCCAATAAGAGTATCTTAATTGTAGTAAATAATAGTTAAAGAGTAATGTAAAAGTAATTTTATTCATATTTTTTGGTATGAAAATATGACGTAATGAAACATTAGTGATATTTGTAAAAAAAAAATAAAAAAATGTAGATTATTTTTTAATATTTATTTTGTAATTAAACAAATCAAAATAAACATATTTTTGTGTAAAAGTATGATGTAATGAGACATTTAAGATATTTATGAAAATAAAGAAATAATAATATTATATTAATATTGAGTGTAAAAGTGTTTTTAAAAGACTAAAATGCTCTTACTTTATATAATTATTATAAAAAAATGAAAATAATTTTATAAAAAAGAAATTACCAAGAAAAAATAATGAGACTATTATTTTTGAAATGGAAGATAATATATACATTATGATTGCATAAATAGGGTGTAGGCTAGTTGATAGCTTGGGTTTGTTATCTTTTATTTTTTAAATTAAAATATTTAAATAATAATTTATTTAATATTTATAATAATTATAAGTTAAAAAAAATATATACAATATATGTGATAGATAATAAAATTTTTTATAATATAAATAATTAAAAATTTAAAAATATATATGTTGAATATAATATAAATTCATATCAAATCATACTACTATTTATTTTATCAATTAAATTTAATACACATTTATATTATTATATTTATTATCTATCAAATCAATATATATATCAAAACTCCTCGAACCCAAACCAAACTCAAACATAAAAAAAAAAAAAAAAAAAAAAAACTCAAACATATCTTAAAATCCAAATAAAAACGAAAAACTCAAATTCAAATTTCTCCGAACCAAACCGCCCTAAAGAAATACACTCTACAATGTAGGGGCATTTGATATAGATAATAGAATTGCAAATAAATGAGAGTCGATAATGAAATTCGAGAGAAATGGAGTTGACTAGAGAATGAGAATTAATTCTCTTGTTTCGTAAAACAGATAATTTAGTTTAGAAATATATATAAAAAAAATGCAGCTATATGAATTATTAAACAAGAATAAATAATTAACCGGATAAAAAAAGTTTTAACGAATGAGAATTCATGAAAAATATTTTTGGTGACTTTTTTTTTAAAAAAAAATTATAAATTATATACAATGTTTTTTAAAATTATATTTTAGTATAATTTCTTAAAAGAACGTAAAAATTAAATATTTTAACAATAAATAGATTTTGATTTTTGTAAAATTGAAATAATATAATTTTTTTAAAAAAAATAGAAAAATTAAAAATAGTACCAACAAAAATTAAAAATATATACTAGAACATCATTTCTCTCAATTTCTCTGTATACGAGAGAGAAATGAAAATAGAGAAATAAAAATGATTTTTTTTCAAGTTTCATCACTGGCTTAAACAAACAAGAGAAATGATATTCCCTCCGTCCACACACAGTAAACATTTATTTTTATTTTTGGCGCGGTGTTTAAGAAATAATAGTATTTTAATTATAGTGAGTAGTTAAAAGTAGTAAAATGACATATTTGCTCTTGTTTTTTTTGGTGTAAAAGTAATGATGTGATGTAAAGTAAGGGTATTTGTGGAAAAAAAAGTAAGGTATTTAATGAAATATTTACTTTATAATCGAACGTTCCAAAATAAAAATATGTATACTTTCTAACTGGACAGAGAAAATACTATTTTTATTTCTCTAACCTCATTTCTATCTACCAAACACAACCTAAGTAAATAATTATACGTGAGAAATGATTAACATAAAAACAAGTGTAAAATATCCCATTCAAATCTCCCCCTTTTTCTCTTCCCTCCCAAACACCTCTCTCCCTCCATTAACACCATCTTCTCTCTTTCTGCAAATTAAGATGCTTTTTCTTACATCCAAATTCTGGGGAAAAAAAAATACTCTTTACATTCTGGTCCTTCATTCCCCCAACATTTTATTTTATTTATTTTCTGCAACTCTTCCTATGTATAATTTCTTCTGTACATACCTTTTGATTTCTTCGATTTAATCCCTAATTTTATTGGGCTTTAAACATTCATACTTTTCTTACAATGTTTTAGGGAGAAGATAGCTTTTTATCTGTACAAACACAAACCAATATATTGAGAAATATGATTTTGTCCTTTTTAAGGTTGCCCCAATAATTTTTGTGTAATGAAGAATGTATGAGATTTGTTAATTGAGGATGGGTTGCTTCGCATGTTTTAAGAGTAAGAAAAAGAGGGAAGATTCTTCTCAGAGACACAGCAAACCTATTTCTTCTCGTACACGGCAAGATCATCTCAGTTCATCATCATCACCATCTGATCCTCCTCCAGCTTCAGCTTCAGCTTCAGCTTCGGGTATACATATGCATTTTTTGTTAATTAATATTGTCTTAGTCGTGAAAATTTATGTTCGTTTGACCGAATACGATTTTTTTTTTTTTTTGATTTATTAAAAAATAATTAAAATATTTTTTTGTATCCCAACCAAGAAAAAGAAATTAGGCATAAATTTGAATGACAGAGCCGAGGAACATGAGTTTTTGTTTATGTTCGCCTCCTGAATTTATTTCAAATTGTGTTTTGTAGTATGATGAATGCAAATAATTGTTGGATATAATATTTTATAACTTCCCTATCCACATAATTTGTCATTTTCCTTTAAATATTCCCTCCGTCCCATTATTTATTTTTCCATTTTAGTACGTGTAACAAAGTATCCATTTCATTTTTTTTAATAACTGTACTATATATCTAATATTACAAATATCCTGCAACTTACAATATATTATATAAATGTCGTTACCTTTATATCAAATAAATACCATACAACTGGTTATTTTAGTCATTTCTATTTTATTCCTACTATATCCCAATATAATACTAATATTTCTAAAACTATGTGCAAAAAGCAAATAAATATTTACTTATAGGACGGAGGGAGTATAATTATACACTTTAATCATATTTTAAAATTCATCGTTATAACTCTTTAGATTTTAAATAAGTCATTTTAATCTTAGTATATAATTATTTTTATTAATCTATAATTATTTTTATTTAAGCTAACTAGAACAATTTAGTTTGGGCCCTAAAAAAAATAATAATAATTATTATTATTTGAGTTGATATATTCGGAGAAAAAAAAAGAATTTGAACAATAAAACCGTGCAGAAAAAACTACAAAAAGAACACAAACTTAAAATTTTGAACTGAATACCTCCAAGAATTTTAAAAGTTGAACTGAATATGTATTCAATCCTACAAACACCCCTAAATCTCTAATACCCAAAATTTGGAATTCTTTTCTTTTCAAAAAATTGTTTTATTTTATTATAAATAAAAATATATTATTTATATACATATATTTAAGAGCCCTTCTCGAGCCCTTCGAAAGGCAGGATCGGCTTTGCTGCTGAGATCAATGTTAGAATGTGTCGTGTGGAGGATGTCATATATTATTACTTTATGTCATGTGTTTGTATTATATTAACATAAATCGTACGGTATTTTTCATTGTATTGTATATTATATATTTTAGTACGGTGTGTTGTCAGTACTGTGCTGAATTATATATATCAGATTTATTTATCAAGAATTTTGGAGTTGCTTTTGATCTCTTGTTCCTCTCTTTCAGCATGCACAAGCAATGCTCCTCCGGCCGACGCCAACGTCGGGACTCCGGCGAGTCGAAACATCGGCGCAGCCAAGGCATTCACATTCCGGGAGCTCGCCATAGCGACGAAGAACTTCCGGCAAGAGTCCCTATTGAGTGAGAGCGGAATCGGACGAGTCTTCAAAGGGACACTTCAATCGAACGGACAGGTATATCGAAGAATTTTCTTCTCGAATATTATTCGCGAATTCTCGTTAAGAATCCCCGATCGGACGAGCTCTTTTTTTTTTCGAACAGATCGTCGCTGTTCGATCTCTCGACCGGAGCGCGACTCAAGGGAGTAAAGAGTTTCAAGCTGAAGTCTCGACGTTGATCCAACTTGACCACCCGAATCTCGTCAAATTAATCGGATATTGCGCCGATGGCGATCAAAGGCTTTTGGTTTACGAGTACTTGCCGTTGGGCCCTTTGGAAACCCGTCTCTTCGGTACTCATCATTTAATTTTTGTAGTCGTCTGAGCTAAAATTTATGTTCGTGTTGCTAAAATTTCTATTTTTGTCGACGTTTTTTTAGAGCTTCCCGAGGATAAGAAGCCGTTGGATTGGTCGGCGAGGATGAAGGTAGCGTTGGGCGTCGCGGAAGGGCTCGAGTATTTGCACGAGAAAGTCGATCCGCCGATCATATATTGCAGCTTGAAGTCGTCGAACATTTTGCTCGACGACAACGCCAACACTCCGAAGCTCTCCGAATACGGCCTCGCCAAGCTGATGCAGCACAGCAACAAGATGAATGCGTCGCCGACAATCCTATCGGCCTACGGCTACTCCGCGCCGGAATGCGGTAGGCATGGCGACGCCACGATGAAATCCGACGTCTACAGCTTCGGCGTAGTTCTACTCGAGCTTCTCACGGGGCGTCGAGCCTACGACGGGTCGAGACCCGCGCAAGAACAAAGCTTGGTCACTTGGGTAAGTCCGAGTTTTTTCGATATATGTTCGAAGTGTTGAGATTAGGGGTGACAATTCGGGCCGGGCAGGTCTGACCCAATTCCAATCTGTGCTTAGGCCAGCACAGCCCAATTGCAAGTCGGGCTTGGAAAGGCGGCCAGAGCACGACCCGGCTTGAAACTAAGTTGTGCCTGGCCAGCCCGCAAGTCAAAAATTTTACCATCAAGCCATTTTTAAATTCTGTTTTTATTTCAAAAATTAGTATATATATATATATATTTATTAAAATTTAAATATTTATTTTAAAAACTGGACTTGGCTAGGCACAGTCCGACCTTTATGAGTTCAGGCATGGCCTGGTTCATTAGTCTGTTGGTTTAGGCATGATTCGAAAATTTTTGGGCCTATTTTTGGAGGTCCAAGCACGATTTTTATATACCATGCTCGGACCGAGCTTTTGGACCGTGCTTATTTTTGCCACCCCTAGTCGTGATCGTCTCAAAAACCTTGAGATTTGATCCGATACTCTTGTCTTACCGTGCTCGATGCTGACGTAGTTTTCGTTACCCTAATGCGTCGTAGGCTAAACCTTTTATGTGTGATCCAAAGAAGTATCCGGAAATGGCGGATCCGCGCCTCGGAAAGGAGTTCCCGACGACGGCGTTGAACCAAGCCGTCGGAGTTGCGTCGATGTGTATACAGGACGAGCCGTCCGTACGACCCTTGATCGCCGACGCGGTGGCTGCTCTTACTTTTCTTGCGACGGGTGGTCCCGGAGCGCCTTTCTCGACTCACTTAAATGACATAGATGAAGACGACGAAGACGACGAAGATGAAGATGATAGTAGCGACGACGACGACGACGATGATGATGATGACAAGAAACGATCGTAGTTTTGAGATCGAGCGATGAATGGGCACGCATACATGATTTCGATACGAATGATGAGTATCGATCGGGTTAGAAGATATCGATTCTGTTAGAATTTTAAGGATCGAACATCAGTTGGGAGAAGAATATACTATAGAGTGAGTTTGGAGTTTGGAGATTGAAGGATCGAACATTGAAGAAATGTAGAAAGAAACAATGAGGGATTAAAGTAGAAGAATTGAAAATTGATGCATATATGTATATATGTACGTATGTAAAGTAAATGCAATTTTATTAAGGGTGTGTTTGTTTGGGGTATTGGATTTTTAATCCACTGTTCATCCGATTTTTTTTTTCTCAACAAAATCAAATTAAATACCTATTTTTTATTTTTTATATTATACTAAAAATTAATTTTTTATTTATTTTTTTTTTTGAAAATACAAGCAATGAGGTAATACATTTACCTAAGTTTAAATCTCTCGATCATACGAGATTCCTAATACATCACGAAGGAGCCACTGTCCAATCTCCTCTGGTGGTCTAACAAAGTGGGTTATGCCAGTTTTGTCTTGTTGCAAAATGAGCTAGACGATCCGCAATCAAGTTGGCTTCCCAGTAAATATGTTGTAGCCGGACTTCCCAATTTTTTGCCATTCGATTTCTGATTTTATGAACAATGTGACAGTGTATTCCTAACTGTTCCATTGGTGAATTAATAAAGTGAATTCCAATTTTACTATCCGACTCCAAAATCAGTCTTGCGATATTCTTTTCATAGGCCAATTCAAGACCATGCCAAATAGCGAGCAACTCAACAGCAAGAACCGAACCTATACCCATATTGAAAGAAAACCCACCTTGCCAAGCACCCATATCATCTCGTAAAACACCCGCGCCAGTTGCAGTTCCATGTTTGAAGGCACCATCTGCATTACACTTTATCCAGCTGAACAGTGGTTTTTCCCATGCAATTTGAGTAGTTTGTCGATGAATTACTAAAAATCAATTTTATATTCAAAACAGCACACATATTTATATCACATCATACAACTATTCCAATTCAAAATTTTTACTATTCAAATTCCAACTCAAAATTCAAACCCCAAACAAACATACCCTTGCACTTGAAGTTTACACAAAAAAAGAAAAATAAAAATTAAGGATTAGGGGATAAAAATAAGCTACATAATCTTATTATTATTATACATTAAAAAGAAAAAATACATTTTGGAGACAGATATAAGAATTGTTTAAATAATATAAAAAATAATATTTTATATTAATAAAAAATATATATATTATATATATATTGAAATCGAATTTAATTGGACAAACATATATAAGGGCACATTTCTGTCTCTTTTCGTAACCAATTTTCTTTATATATATAAGAAATACTCTTTTCTACAAAATTCTTTCATTGAAGTTGGAGTGGAGATAATTGAGAAAAGTACAAAAATATAGTTGTGGTCTGTGGATATTTACAAAAATTCAGCTAATTGTTAAAAAAAAAATACTTATACATTTATATATCTATTAATTATTATTATTTTAATTGTCATAATTTAAAATAATTTATAGTTATTTTTTATTTTCGGTTTACAAATAATTTAACAAATATAACCAATAATTCAATACAATATATTTTCACCAATATTTACAATACTATGGCATAAAATTTCCGTTATATGACAAAAACTGACCCGGTACGATAATCCGATACGAAATAATTGAGTTTAGGTCAAATATTTCAATCCGATTATGCATACGGGTTGACACGAACCCGACACGATAATAAACGGGTCGGATTAGGATTGAGACTCTCAACTCGAACCCGACATGACAATCCGACTATAATATATTAATATTGATTAATATATTTATTATATATAGGTAAAATAATCATAATTTATTAATTTTCTCATAAATTAATTTAAACTAAGTTCAATTTTAAATAATTCAACCTAATTTACACTCAAACAAATAAAAACTAAAATAACACGACAACACAACAAAAAATTATTTAATTTGAATAAAAAAATTCGACTTAATTATGTATACGGGTCAACACGTGTCAATCCAAACCTGACACAGTAATAAACGGGTCAACACGAACCTAGCACGATAATAAACGAGTTGGATTAGAGTTGAGTAATTTAACTCGTTTAAAGTATTAAATCGACACGAATCGACCCATTACCATTTCTGGTTATACCTGACAGAGCCACCCTAAGATATGCGCTTTAAATGAAAATTGGTATTCAAATTCACTTAACTTTTTAACTTTTCCTACTATTCAATTATCAAGATTCCATATAAAGTTATTTTACTTCAATCCCACAAAACATTACGTCCAAACCATGATTCCTACTCAACAAAAAAATAAATAATAAAATAAAATTAATTTCAATATAAATTTCTAACATATAATACTATAAAATAGGGGGCCGTGCCACCGAAATATATATCACATCCAACAACTATCGCACAATATTCCTATGTATTCAATTGCACAATTCACCAATTCATACTCACGCGACAAGGGATTCGGTTACTGACCTCTTGCGCATTGCCTTGGAAGTATTTCGACAGCCTATTCTACACAAACTTGTGTACCTCCAGTTCATCCGCCTGCATATTCATATAGACGACTTAAAATGAAGAATACGTCGATATGCTTAGTGATGTCCATATCCCATTTTCAAGAGCCAAGGTAGAAAGTTAAAAATACCATTTTCAAGAGCCAAGGTAGAAAGTTAAAAATATACGGTAAATTGTATGTATGGTATTTATGTTCTAACAAAAATGCATCAAAATATGCCGTGTAAATTTTATTGCGCGACTAATTTTCATGTTAGCCCAAAATATGCATAAAGCCCTTACCTTACCAGAAGTTTGGGCACAAATTTAGGGATTTTATGCAATGTTTTGGCGAACATGAAGGTGAATTATGCAATAAATTCTACATAAAATATATTGTGCATACAAATGTAATTTACCCTAAAAGATAAATAAGCCAACGTGGAGGGCGACCGCTTACTCATTAGCAAAACTGGTGGGATTCCAAATGATCCCGTAGCTTTGATTCCTCGGGTTCCCTCTGGTATTCGTTTGATTCGATGTAGTTTCTAATAGACATTTTGACCTTGTTTATTTTGGTACTCCCGCCTTCTTTTAATGCACTCAGAAAATCACGATCGATAATGCTCAGCAGCTTCTTGAATTGGTTTCTGTATTTTCTGTACAATGCAAATCCAGCCATCTGCAACCAAAATCACTTATCTTCGAACTGTTCTGTACATCGGTGGTTCTTAAAAATCGGCAAACAATGGGTGAAGCTTACCTCGAGAAATGACTGCAGTGCAACTGCAGTGTAGAGGTTAGCTGGGAGAGCATTCAAGAATCTTGCAAGCCATGCCCAGCCTTCTCCGAGTCCATGTAGATTTTGGAAGGGCCCAACCTCGGTCTGCCATAGAATCAGTGTATTGTCTAATCGAAGTGCACAACAGATTCCCAGAAAACAATAATAAGGGGAAAAAAAAATGAAATAGCTGCGAACCTGCACCAGAGCTCCGTATAGTCGCATATAACTACCCAACCTATCTACATAATCATCAGTGCTTTCAATATTCCCATTTTCGCGGTAGCCAATGGCTTTAAAATAAGCATCCTTGCTCTTAAAGACATCCTGAATTAGGGAAGATGGTTAGCCATGAAAACATGAATCTACACACGAAAAGTTCTCAGCAGCACAAATTATTTTTGATTTTAAAACTTTTTAACAATTTAAATAGGAACCGTATCAATCTAACCAATGTCAGTTAATTTTGTAGCACAATAACTAATTGGGAGCACCTTGCAATATTTACTTTTCTTAGGGATTTAAAAAAAGATGTGTGTTTGTAATATATGTTATATATATATATATAGCTTAAATATACGAGCATAATTTAATGTGAGACACAAGGAGTCTTTGAACTAGAAGAGGCAGTCCCTAACATGAAAGATGAGCAAATGAACAACAAAACGATGCAGTACTGCAAATCATGAACCAATGACACGGCACAACTTTATACAAAAGAAAATGGGGACAGCATCCTAGAAAATTACCTCGGAGTAAATTATGTGCTTCGGAACTGTGTAAATGCAAATTTTATTCAACTCAGCTATGAGAACATCCATGGCCACAGGGATCTGTTTCCATGAAATGAAAAGTAGAAATTACAATTTTAAGATCAGAATACAGTGAATAGTTAGACTTCTGCAATGTTTATTGATACAAGCAAATCTGCAATCTAATATGCATGTTGTAGTAATCATATGAGGATAAATCCCGTATGTGTATATATATATATATATTTATATATAAACGCCATGAGAAAAAGACTGCCATCAAGCTTGGTTTCAGGTTCAAATCATATCAATAAGGGAGCCCCCAGGTAAACTATAATATTAAATATGCAAACTTAAAAATAATACAATCAGTACTGACTTTCATCAATTTACAAAGGCATTTAGGCTTATAAATATGTCAAAGAAAGGTATGGAAAATGCAAGCATTTTTATTGTCCAGCACACATATCATTAATATGTGCAGATTTAGATTATATATTTTACCTTAGATGTCACAAGAACAATCACTCGAGCTACAGCATATATGGCACTCAACCCCCTTTGATTTGTGCAGTTGGAAACTATCTGCAATTTAAATATATGTTGTAAGAGGTCACATCAACCACAACTTTTTACGAACATAATCATGTTCTTGTACCTAGAAAACAACAGATGCAGATTTTAGTTCTACAAAAACTAAGGAAACAGAAAATACAGAATGCACTCCAATTGGTAGTCCATGACGAGACCTTTTCCACAAATAATTGGATACTAATAGGTTGGGGACACCCTGGACTATTAATGAGATTCACCAAGTCTTCTGCTTTTGTTCTGAATCAAAAGAAATCCCCAATGGGCAAGTCATATACCTTATAGCAAAGCAATCCAAGGCTAACTATATTTAGTGTAAAAGATAAGAAAACGGCTAATCCTACTTGCCTGATATTTTCCATAGTAGCTGAGATCGTTCTAATCTGTCTTCCTATACTCAGTCCATGCTTGTGATAGTTCTGCACAAAATAGAGTTCAAGTGGTGAATTAAATTTTACGCTTGAGCATTCATAAACCCTAACATAGACTACAAATTATTGGGAAGTGCTGAAACAAATGAATATGACATGAAATGATATTCTACCAAATTTCTATAGCTTAATGAACTGGATTTGATGACAGCAGAAAATAAGATAATAGATGTACTCAGTGACACAAGATATAGAGTCGATCATCAATTTTGAAGTTTTATGTTTTATTTATAAAATTCTTCTCCAATGGTTTACCTGATTGCCACTTGCTTTAATAGCCTCAGTTTTTGCGATCATTTCATCATATACTTGCCTCCGTCTCTTTTCCATTTCAAGAGCATTCTTTGAGGCTTTGATTACATTTCTTGCTGCCACAAAGAAGCCAATATCACATGAATATAAAATCAAACAATACACCAACATCCTCAGAGAAGTATGTAGAAACCTGAAGATTGAACTTCTTTCTTGACATCAGAGGTAGAATTGGAAGATGGCCTCAGATTTCCCTTAGAATCTCCCAACGCATTGGCTGCAGTATCTTTTAGAGTCTCATTTGCACGTTTGGAAGCAGCTTCTTCGGCAGCTCGTTTCTCAGCCTCTATTGCTGCTGCTTTAGCCCTCTCAGCCTTTTCAGCTTTCAGTCTGGCCTGCATTATAACACAGTAAATCCTCAGTCAAAACCAACTATTATATAGGCTCTGTTCACTTCCGAGTTTTTTTTTTCCATACAAAAACCACATCAAACAACTCTTTTACTCAAAAACCAAAATACAAAAATAAGTACAGAATAAACATGTCCATATTTTGCAGAAAAACATGAAAAAAAAATAAATCCAAGTGATCAAATGAGAAGCATCAAACTGCAGAAATCATGTTATATCATGTGGCATATGAAATTACGATACACCAAGAATTAACCTCCTCTTCTGCTCTGATCCTTTCTTGCTGCATTCTTTCTTCCTGAAGTGCCTTCTCCTTCCTTCTAGCCTCCTCACGAGCTGCATCATCTCTAATTCTTTTTTCTTCAAGTTGGTAGATGAGCTCATGGTCCCTCTGTAACTCCGTAAGGTGATTATCAAGTGCTTGGGCACTGTCATGATAAAAGAGAGAAGTGTCGATACCTGTACAACATGATCTAGAACGAAATTGAAAATTATTCAATACTGATTAGTGCAGATTACATTGTGCGTTGATACTGCAAATCAAATTGTCTATCCCTTTCTTGTTGATGTTCTCTGTCTTTGACCGATTTAGATATCATTGAGACAAATTTCTCATCTTCATTGACCAGCTCTGACTCCAAAGATGATATATTGAATCTCACTTCATCCTGCAATCAACAAAAATATCCATAGCAACAGAAATCAAAGTTATGCAACCCCAGGAGCACATCAAAAGTCTATATTTCAACGCCAGCACGATGCCTAGAATTGAAGATAACAAGTTTGTTTGCAAAAGAGTTTGAAAGTACAAATTCATTTAGAGCATAATAATGGATTGCAAGTGAGTAGAATCTGGACAACCTTCCCAGCACCCAGAGCATATCCTGATTCCTCTATCCTTGGATATGTTGAACCTAGTTCAAATTTTCAACAACAATCATAGTTTTGTCTAGCGCCTATTTCAATAATTTATCAAGTAAGTTGGTAGATTCACCAAGCAATTTAAGGCAGTCAGCTGTTGAGGTGCATTCCTAAATCAATCATGTTTGTAATTGAGTTACCAAAGCTACTATATATCAAAAGTGGTATACAAGTATTCCACCCACCGATAGGGTTAGATGAAATTCTTGTGTGAGTTCATGGAGCGCACACTCTGCTAACCCCATTTTATCCATCAGAGGAGTAGATTGAACCCCAAAATGCTCATCTTCAGAAGCATCACTGCAAATATGAACAAGAGAAAAAAAAAATGAAAATTACTAAGAAACAAATGAACTAAGTAAAAATTATGAAAGTTTAAATATTAAATCAATGTAATGACAACTCAATACCATGATCCTTAAAACAGAGTACTGTCATCTGTAATGTAAGAAATTTTTTTTGAGAGAGAACACGTGCATCTGTGTCACTACTTTTTTTTTAAAACAGGTCACTCATAAATATTTGGAATTAACAATCTCATTATAACTCCACCAGAATATTTTAGGATAACATTGGAGAGCAGATTACTACGGTTAAATGAATATGCAACTGCCACAATTTTTGCGGGGTTAAATATTCAGTAACACTTTACAAATTCATTCAAGGAAGAAGAAAATGTAAGTATCACAGAACTTTCAGTTAGTAGTATACAACATTTCAACTAAAATTTCACCGAGAAGACAATAAACACATAACAGGAAGAGGCAAGTGAACAACCAAACTAGCTAATATTGCATACAATTCATTTTAAGTCATATATCATGACCATCTCAAATACACGATTACTTAGTCTTTAGTTTTCCCAAGAAAAAATCATGATTCATGATTGAATTGCAGATCATATAACTTTTCTGAATCCTGATATAATTCTTCCACATAGCAATCAATATTTTTATATGACACAATGTACTTGTTCTTTCTAAATTCCCATTCAAAAAATTTAGGAGTATGACTTCATGTATTTTCTTTAATTCAATTTTACACATAATTCTCAAGCATAAATATCTGACATTCTTTTGATGTTCGTAAGATTAAATGAAGAGTTTGTGAAGGGGGAAAAAAAACAGCAGGGAGAGAGAGAGAGAGAGTATGAACAAAGAGAGATCATTTAATAAGTCGTCAGACTTGACATCACATCACGTTGCAATATATTCATTCAAACAGCCGAACAAGGCAGATTTACTCGTTTTATTTGCACCTTACAAAGAGACAACGATTCTTATTTATTTTTTATGTCAACCAAGGGAGGTGGACGTGTTGGAAGTAAAGAACAAATATGCCTCTACGCATTTACTTCATAATTCAAAGACAATGTGCTCCAACCATTATACTTCTAATAAGCACAAACCTCAAGTAGAGTTCGTCACAAGCAAATCTTTTTCCAGAAATTCCGGATGAAGTATCAGACTCCTCTTCACTATCAGCATCACTTGAGTCACTTTCTTGGTCTGACACATGCATCACAAAGCTCCTTTTGCAAGTATAGTTGTCCTTCAAAGCTCTCAATTTTCTGCTGCAAATTATGAAGAGCATAAACTATTGCAGAACAGATGCCTAACCAAAAGAAACTTTGCATAAATACCTAGGCTGTGTTTTGGCAAAACGTCCAGGATATTCTATATTTACATTTTGCCTTTGTTCTATCGAGTCAAGTTCATGTAATAAGTTGTCGAAACTCCAATCCGGTTGCGGATCAGCAGCAATGCCATTGATATTTTGTGGACACCGAAGTTGCAATTCAAAGGCTCCCCTGAATTCAGCAAAATAATCGATAGTCAATAGTTCATCATAATTATACATACCTAGATATTCAACAGATACATCTACTTTTCAACATAGTGAAATTATTCAACAATAAGAACATAAGTGCACATTATGTAGCCTTAACATTTCTTTGCAATGGAATGGGGAAGAGGAGGTGGCACACAGACGGCAGAGCAGCAGTAATCAGACAGCTCAAATTAACAAAAAAAATCAAGATGGGGCAGAATCCCGACCAAGATGAGCACAAAAATGTAAATTCAATGTAACCCTAATCAATCTACAAGAATCTGCCCCATGGTCGTGTCTCGCATACAGAATGCCCAATATATGAAACCCCAAAATTAAAAACTCTAGGGTTAGGAATCTTACATTTAGGTTGAAATCGGAATTCAGAATCAAGAAATCGGTGTTTGTCGGCCCCCACTCGACGAGACGAGACAATACAGAAGAACTTTTACTGAGTGACTATGGGGCGCGACGCAGGCCCTGTCTTCGCCGGCGGAGTTGGGTAAAAGAACCGAGGAGTAAGGACGGTGGGGCTATCGGTGGCGTTTTGTGCCGTCCACCCCGGAAATCAACGATAATTCAATTGATGCATTTCTTTTATTATTATTTAAAATAATGATAATTAATTTGTAGTGGTGTGGGGGAATTAGGGGCATGTTATAGGTTGTGTTTATATTTTGATTTTCATAATTATATTTGGTTTTGAATAATAAAATTTTGAATTGAAATAATTGTTTGATGTGATATAAATATTTATTAATATAATATTCTGAATGTAAAATTAAATTTTTGTGTAATATAATAAATAAATAATAGATATTTAATTTAATGTTTTTAAAGAGAAAAAAATTAAAAATAGTAAAATCCATTAAAAAAAAAAAAAAAAACCCCTACAAGTAAACAAAACCTATATAATTTCATATAGAATTGATTTTACCACGATAAATCAAAATTATTTAATACAATAAGTATTTATAATTCACACACGTAGTTAAATTATACTCTCTCGTTCCATAATTAGGTATCAGTTTGCTTTTTACATGTAATTTTAAAAATATTTGTTAAAAATAAAGTAGAAACGACTAAAATAAGGTAATGACATTTGTGTAATATATTGTAAGTTGTAAGGGTATTTGTAACGTTAGATAGTACACTTAAAAATTAAAAAATAAAAAATAAAAAAAAAGGAAATTAAGGGAATATTATTCTCTCTTCGTTAAAATGAAATCTAAAAGAATAGTTGGTTGTAGGGGACGACACTGTTCGGATTTTTGCAAATACGCAGATATTTGATATTTGAACCGAACCAAACAAATATCCGAAACTGTGAACCGTATTCGAACCGAAAATTTCGGTTAACCGAAAATATTTGCAATATTTGCAAATAATTCAAACCGAACCGAAATAAAAAAATAATTAAATCAAAATATTTGCAAATATTTCAAATATCCAAACCGAAACAGAACTGTAATCGAATCGAATATAATTATGAATATAAAATTTAAAATATAATAGCATAAATATATAAATATATTCGGTTCGGTTAACCGAATCGAAAAAAAGTATCAAAAACCGAAACCGAATCGAACCGAGCAAATATCAAATATGCAGTATTTGTATTTGAATCGAATTTGCTCGGTTAACCGAAAATTCAGTTCATTTCAATAGTTCAGCAGTTCGGTTCGATTTTTCTGCCCACCCTAGTTGATTGTACGTTTTAAATATAATTAAAAATTAAAATAAATAAAAATAAAAATGTATAATAAAAGTATTTATTGTAAAAGAATATGTAATAATTAAATATTTATTTATTGATTTTACCAAAATTAATAAGATGAAAAGAAAATTAGAAATAAATTTAAAGAAAGAAGAGATTATAATAATTTTATTTTTTTTCAAATATCTGACAATATTTTCAAAATTGAAATAATTAATATATTCCTATCACATCACATTATCTAAATAAAAAACTAAAAATACATTTTTTGTACATAGTCCAACCCTAAATAAATACAAGTTGATTATATGGTAAAAGGGACAATAATGCATACAACATATTAATTATGGGTGTGTTTCTTTTGATTAAGTTTGAGAAAATTTAATTTAAGTTTGGTATTAAAAATAATGTTTGTTTAAATATTTTGTGAGATAAAAAAATACTTCATCTGTTCCACCGTAATTGAACCATTTGAAATAATTAGTTAATAATAATTAGTTGTGATATTAAGATATTATTATTATTATTATTATTATAATTAATACTAATATTTATAGTTTTAAAGTAAATTTAATATATATGATTAAATATTTAAAAATTATATAGCAATAAAAAAATATATGCAATATGGATATCATTTTGTAGAAAATAAAATTTTCTATAATACAAGTAAATAAAAAAAATATTTTTGTTTATTTATAATTAACATAAATCAATTTTATAAAAGATCTGTAGTTTTAAATATAGATTAAAATATTTACTATTTTTTACGAGAGATAGAAATAAAGGGGTTTTGAGTGATTCCTAAGTCATTTATGATGTTGTATGTTATGTAGTTAATTAAGTTGATTTATATTTGTTAAATATATTTTGATTTAATAATTTTTACCAAAAATAGAAATGTGTCAATTGTTACGGAACAGACAAAAATGAAAATAATGTCAATTGTGGTGGGACGGAGGAAGTATATTTTTTTCAAAAAAACGCAAAGTTCAAAGAGTAATATTTAGAAAATTTTGACTGAAGAAACATATCATACACTAATTATGTTAATATAATACTCCGTCCGTTTCAAAAGTATAGTCTTATTGTGTTGGACACGGAATTTAAGAAATATTGATATTATATTGGTGGTTGGTAAAAAAGTATAGATAAATGACTTTTTTGCCCTCATGAATATATTAGTGTAAAAAGTAGTAGCAATTGAGACTATTCTATTAGAACCGACAAAAATGATAAACAATACTATTTTATTGTGACGGACAAAATAAGGTTAATGTAATACATATGTGTGCTTTTATAGCATTATAATCACTCGTTTTAAAATATTTTTTTTTATTCTCTCGATAAAAATATATTTTTTTTGTTCGTCAATTTTGTATGTCTATTTTCTTTGTAAAATACAGTACGAAGGAAGCATATATAAAATTAATAGAGAAAGAAAATACAAATTTATTTCATAAAATATCTATATAGTTACAGTCTTCCTCATTATTTTTCATCATTAGTTTTTTTTAAGTATAGTAATTGAACCTCCTTATCATTTTAGTCTCGTAACTGGAGTCTGTCGCAAACTAGTCTCATAAGTAAAAAATTTTGTTGTTTTAGTCCTCCAACGCCGTAGACGCCCGCGTGGCTCGCCGGAGGTGACGTGTCCGCCAGGTGTCGCTGACCTGATGGACACGTGGATTTTTTTAATTTTTTTTCATTTTTTAAAACTTATTTTTAATTTTATTTGTATTTTTTTTATTTGGTTCAATTTTTAAAAAATAAAAAAATAATAAAAATAAAATAAAAAAAATCCACGTGTCCGCCAGATGTCGCTGACCTGGCGGGACACCTGGCGGACACGTTACCTCCGGCGAGCCACGCGGGCGTCTCCGGCGCCGAAGGACTAAAACAACGAAAATTTTTTACTTATGGACTAGTTTACGACAGGCTTCACTTACAAGACTAAAATGATAAAGGGTCTAGTTACGGGACTAAAAAAACAGTTTACCCTTTATATTTAATAAATGTCATATCAAATATTTTTATTTTTGCAAAAATATTAATCTCTCCGTCTCAAACATCGTGTAACATTTGTGTTTGGCGCGGGAATTTAAGTGGAGAGTATTAATGGTGCGTTTGATAATTAGCTGATAGCTTTTAGATGTTAGCTGCTTCAATTAGCTGTTAGATACTAGCTGATTCAATTAGTTGGTTTGACTAGCTGATTCAATTATCAGTTCGTATTAAAGTATTTGGTAAAGTAACGGTTTGACATTAGCTGTTTATACATAAAATGACTATTAAGGACATTGATATGTTATTTTTTAAAATATTTAATTTTTTTCATTTTGGTTTGAAATTTATGAGAATTTTTGTTATTAATTATTAAAAATTATAAAAATTATTAAATTTTTATTTTTATTTTTATTATTTAGATTTGAAAAAAATATTTTTGCTAAAAATAAATTTTTTTTATTAAAAATGGTATAAAATATAAAATAATAAATCTTTCGTATATATATTTTTATTATGTTAATTATTGTTTTAATATATATAAATAAATTAATAACCTTTGTTTTTTCTATTTGATTTAATTTTAAAAATTTATATATTTTACAAATAAAATAATTTATATATATTAATTAATAATTATTATTATTATTTTAAATTTACAAAAATAAATATATAATTTAAAAAATTAAATATATTAAAAATAATTAATAAATACTGCTATAAAAATATATTTATATGTATAAAATAAATAATTAAATTTTAAGGGTAAATAAGAAATAACCAAAATTAAAATGAAAAAGCTTTTTCAAAAATTTAATTTACCAAACACTTAAATTAGCTTTTTGACTGGTTAAACAGCTAAAAACTGTTCAATAAGTTAAAAACTTTTCAAAAAGCTCTATTTCCCAAACACCCTCTAAGTATGATAATTTGAGATAATTTGTATATTAAGTGATGTGATTAGAGAGAGAAATGATTATTTATTTTTTATTTGAGTGATGTGATGGGATAAAGTAAACTATATATTAATATATATATAAATATTATTAATTATTTTTAAATTTGAAAATATTGCAGTGAGTTTGGGACAAATAAAAAATAAAATATTGTAGAGTGTTTAGAACTCTGATGGATGGAGTACTAGACTTTGAACAAAACTAAAGTTGGCAATAGAGTTTTAAATTTGAATTTTAAATAGTAATTAATATTGTTTGTTTATGATATTTAGATTTCAAACTTTAAATTTTAAAATTAAATTAATATCTTTTATAAAAAAATAGCACTTATTTTGATTCTAAATAACAATTAGCGTTATTTAATATAAAATGTACTATTTTTTATAAAAATAAAATATTTTATTCTACAAATATAAAATTAAAATTATTTAACTTATATTTCACCTTAGAAAACTATAAATCCCCAAATTATCTATAAAATTTCATTTTATTCTTTTTAACATTATTTTTTAATTGCGATTTTAAAAAGATAATATTCCCTCTACGTCAAAATAGTAGTTCCATTTTGTCAAATAGAACTAGTTTTCCATTTTTGTAATTAGTTTTTTTACATTTTTACAAAATTATCCCACTGTTTTCACAATAATTATATAAGAGGTAGGGACATTTTAGTCTTTTAAAAATACTTTTACATAAGTAATACACCATATGTAAAAATATTGTTAAAAAAAAAAGTCAAAATAAAATAAAATTCAAATACTATTAAAAAAGTCAAAAAAAAATCAAATATTCAACTTAAAATAATACTTCATTCGTCTCACTTCAACATTTTCATGTTTTCATCTATCTCACTTATTTTGTCGTTTTTTTTAAAAAAATTATACATTTTAATCTCATTTTAAATTTATAATTTTTTAAAATTTTAATTAAACTAATTAATTATTTTAATTTTAATTTATAATTATTTTTATTATACAATAATTATTTTCACTAATATATTTTTAATTATTTATTAATTACATCTATTTAAATTATATACTCCCTCCGTCCCATAAGAAGGATACTATTTTTTATTTTTGTCCGAGTTTAATATTCTACCACCTTATAACTTATAATATATTACATAAATATCAATTACTTTTTTATCATAGAGATATTTTTGTTCTTTCTATTATATATCAATGTAATGTTAATATTAAAAAATTTACGTGAAAAAAAAAATAATAAATATATTTTATAATTTTAACACAATTTTTTTATATTCACATAAAAAATTAATTCATGTACCTTTATTAATTTATTTAATAGAAAGGGTGTCCCTAATTCAATATAAAAATTCATTTGGAAATGCCAATTATTTCCAACAATTTCTTGAAATTCTTAGTCGAACTTCCATCATTTCCAACTGCCTTTTCAGCTTTCTCCTTCATCTTCACAACATTCTCCCTGGCGTCATCTCCCTCCCTCGATGACATCATCCTCTGCAAAACCCTAACCGTTTCATCCTTCCTGAAAACTCCATCCCTAACCCTAACCCCAATCTTCCACGAATCCTCCACCATTTTTCCGTTCAGCTTCTGGTCGCCGAAGAACGGCCGGCAGACCATCGGAACGCCGCCGCAGATGCTCTCCAGAATCGAATTCCAGCCGCCGTGAGTGACGAACAACCCTACGCTTCCGTGCCGGAGAATCCACGGCTGCGGCGCCCACGGCACCACCCGTCCGTACTCCGCCGTCCGCCGGAGAAATCCTTCCGGCAAAGCCTTCGCCGCCGCCTCCTTCAGAGACCAGAGGAATGGGAATTTACAAAATTCTAGGGCTTCGGCGAGCGCGAGGAGCTCATTCTCCGGCGGGACGATTACCGTCCCGAAGCTGACGTAGATCGCCGATCTCGGCGTCGGTAGCTTTTCCAGCCAGGAGAGGCAGCCGGAATCGTCGCCCGGCGGCGGCTGCGGCAGGCGGCGGAGTGCCGCCGGGCCGACGCTGAGGAAGTGGTTGAATTTTGATTTTAGGTCTTGCGCGACGATAGGGTCGATTTCCTCGAAGGAATTGAGGACGACGGCGGTGGATTTGGGGAGTTTTTCGACCATGTTGTTGATCGTCGCGGCCAGCGGCGACGGATTCCGGTCGTCGATGAAAATTTCCGGCTGGAGATCAGCGATTTGCAGCGGCGGGAGGCCTGGAGGAGTGAATGACAGAACCTGTTGAATTGATTCTCCGGTGGCCTCTGCAAGACGAAGGTTTAGGCTCTGTTTAGGTAAAAGTACGATTTACATTTTTTAAAAATATTTGAAAAAAAAATAATAATTCTTTATTTTTATTTATGTTGTTTATGTTAAACGTTATCATTTTTAAATACACTATTCATTCTATTTTTTTTAAAAAAATATCAAATCAAAAATATATTTTTTATTTTTTATATTATACTAAAAAATCAATGTTACATTAAAAAACATCATATCAACACTTATTTATATCACATCATACAATTATTCAAATTCAAAAATTTTACTATTCAAATCCCGACTCAAAATCCAAATCCCCAATCAAACACACCCTAAAATGATTTTCAACTGTCATTTTCTTCACCACGAAATTTCGATTAATGTCACGGTACTAACATTTTGCTTTCTCATTAGATTTTTAGTAAATAATATGATTATGTATGTAATAAATAAATAAATAATAATTTACTATTTTTAAAAATTTCCAATTAAATGGTGTATTTAATTTTATATTTTGAATTGAATAGTAATATGAAATTATTTTTTAATTTTTATAATAATATATTTAATTCTTGAAATTTGTACTGTAAATAAATTTTAAAAATATTAAAAGGAGATATAGCAAAAATGAGGGGTTTGAGGCTCCAATCCAATTCCAAATCTTCCCATTTTTTGCAGTTCTCTATAGTGTGGTTTCATTCTATTTTTGGAGTAAATTAGTTTCTGATATTTTTGTTATTTTTTAAGGTATATAGTGTAATTTTATTTATTTTAAGAATGATTTATAATTTTATTATTTAAAAATTAGTATGTAATTAAAATTAGAATTTAATTTATAAATATAAAAAGTTATATAAAATAATATAAAAAAATATATAGGAAATGTAATTTTTATAGTAAAAATTAAAATTTATGATTATAGTAAAATTATTGATATTTTCTGCAGCAAAAATAAAGTAATGAGTCAGAGAGAATCTAAAATTATATAAAAAAAAATATGTGAATTTATTTTTTATTTTAATTTAAATAAATTTTTTTAAGTGAAATATATGTTGACAATATAAAAATAATAAATATATATAATATATTATTTTTTAAAAAAATATGTTAAAAAATTTTGGTAAAGAAACTAACTAATTTTATTTCGAAGAATTTTATTCAAAGAATTGTTTGAATATAAAATTATTATATAAATAAATAATAATAATAATAATAATAATAATAAAACACATTAATAAACTTATCCTTACCCGCGGGTGAGGCGACAGCCTTCACGATTTCCTGAGTGTACATGTGCGTCGCCAGTGCGCACGCGGCGGCGGTCCAGAGCGCCACCCACGGGATCCGCCGGTTCGCCGCCAAATCGGCGGCGAACCACAGGAACGCGTCGGTGATCAGGCATCCGATGCCGACGCCGGCGGCGCGTTCCGCCTCCTCCATGCCGGCCTCGAAGTTCCCCGGCGACGCTGCAAGGAACAATCTAATGGCTTCCATATGGCTGGCGGCGGCGGCGGCGCCCTCCGGCGCGCCGTCCCGCACGTCGTACGCCTTGATATTGGGGGACACGTGGTCGGCCAGGATTGCTCGGTTGCAGTCGGCGGTGTTGAAGAAGGAGAAGCAGGTCCCGGGACTGGACTCCGCCAGCTGCCTGACGAGGGCCAGGAGCGGCGCCGCGTGGCTGCCGAACGGGAAGGCCAGGACCCCGATGTGGGAGTGGTAACCCATGTTGTTCGATCGACGATGATGGAATCTTCTAGAAGGTTGTCGGCGGAGATGATTCAAGTAGTGGTGACTGATATGTATGTATATGTGTATATATACACATCCATAGGTTTGTTGTCTAGATGGTTTGTTGTCTTTTAATTTAATTTAGTTTTTTATTTATTTATTCTTTTCGGTGTTTTCAAAAGTACGAATTTGTTTGTAAAATCATTTTTACTTAATATTATTCTTAGTATATTAATATATAAATAAAAGATTTTTTTTTTGCTATTAGTGTAAAAAATAATGACCGTAATAAAAATGAAAAAGTAGAGATAATTTTAGATATGATTATTTATGAAAATAAGATTATTATTTTGAAATTAAAAAAAAGTATTTATTAGGACGGAGAGAGTATATATTTTTTTGGTGTTTTCAAAAGTACAAATTTGTTTGTAAAATCATTTTTATTTAATATGATTTTTAATATATTAAAAATATAATATATATATTTTATACTTTTTTTTTTTAAGTATTGAACACAAAATATTAGTATTTATATATTATTAATTTTTATATTTAATATAAAAAACTAAATTAAAGCACTAAATAAATAATTTTGTATCTGTAAAAACTGTCTTTTTCCAATTTCTGTTTATTTTAAAATAAGAGTGTTAGTTTTATAATTTAACAATTGTATTACATATTTAATATAATAAATATTTTTATAATTTATAATATATTAAATAAATATTATTATTTTTATATATAACACAAGACATACATTTGTCTTTTTTAACTACAGAATAATATAATATTAATATTAAAAAATTTACCTGCAACAAATAAATAATATTTTTTTTAATGAAATTGTAGAAATAATAATTTAGTTTTTTTTTTTGGTATTTTAAGATTAATAAAAATTATTTTTTTTTTTGGTATTTTAAGAATAATAAAAATTTTATTGATAGTTAGTGAGAATTATATTAAAGCATTTTTCAGTTTTGTACTTACTCCATTTTATCATAAATGACTATTTTTTTTAGTCTATTTTATTTAAGATGATTTTTTTTTGGGTAAAATTAATTATTTTAAATATAATTAATAAATATAAATTATTTTAATGAAATTTCCAACCCTTTATGCATGAGACTCTTCCAATTTTTTTTTTTATTTTTCTCAATAAATAAATATATTTATTTAAACCTCTTCAATTTTATAAAATATAAATAAATATATATATTTTTTATTTATAATATATATTTTTTTTACAAAATAATATTCATTTATATATTTTTTTATTAAAAACATATATTTTTATTTTTTTAAAAATTATAATATTAGTATTTGCAGGTGTGTTTTATTATAGGGGCTGGGGGATGGGTGGTGGTAGTTGGGGTAGTATGAAGTATTATGATGAAGGGTGGCTAACGGAATTCCACGTGGCTCCGGAGGTTTGCTCGTGCCTACCAAACCTTCAGCGGTGGTTGTGCCTGGCCCCCTTTAAATTAATAAATACATATATACATATATTGTTTTTTTTAAAAAAAATAAAATAAAATTGGGGCTATATATATATTGACCGATCTATATCAGGGCTTAGGGCAGTTGTCTCTCCAAGTCCTAATTTTCTTTTTTCAAAGTGTAATTTTTTTTAATTTTTTATTTAGCAATCAAATTTACTTCCTCAATTTGGAATTAATATTCTACATAAATCTCCATTTATTATTATTTTAATTTATAATAATATATAATATTTTTATTTACAAATTTATTATATAAAAAATAAAATATTTTCTCTTAAATATTGTTTCATTTTATTTTTTTCTTATTTACAATCACATTATAGTGTTAAAAAAATAGATGAGAAAGTTCTTATATTATTTTTTGTACACATAGAAACAGTGGAATGTTTGTTTCAAATAAAAAACAGACTCGAAATAGGTTGAAACTAAAACTAAACGGTAAAAAAATGAAACAAATAAACATAACAATTTTGCCCCCCAAGCCGCAAGGCTGGTTCCGTCACTGTATATATATATATATATTAATAAATAGGTAATACATGACTCCCTCAGTCTCGTAACAAAATATTCATTTTTTCATTTTGAGTCCGTCCCATAATAAGTATTCATTTCTTTTTTTACAACTGAACTATATATCTAATATTATAAATACTCTTACAAGTTACAATATATTACACAAATGTAGTTATTTTTATATCACACATACTAATAAGATTATTTTAGTCATTTTTACTTTATTCATACTATATTCAAATATAATACTAATATTTCTAAAACTACGTGCAAAAAACAAATAAATATTTAATTATGAAACGAAAGGAGTATATAAATGAAAAAATATCAATGGTTCTGTTTACTTGAAAGATTTTATGTCTATTTTACCATTCTAATTTTATTTTTTTTCCCTCCAAATCAAACATTCATTTTTTTATTTATTTTATTAGATTAAAATCTAGTTTTACATCCAAAACATCACATCAATACATATTTATATCACATTAAACCACTAATTCAATTCAAAATTTTACTATTCAAAATCAAAACTCAAAACCAAAACCTCACAAGTAAACACATCTGGAGTCGAAAACACAGAATTCTAACAAAATTCTCAATAGGATCGGAAACAACAAGGCTTTCACTGGAGTCGAAAACACAGAATTCTCACACGGAGCCGGAAAACACAAAATTCTTACCGGAGTCGGAAAACAAGGAGACTTCTCAATGCAATCAAAACATTGAAAAATAAATTTAACGAACGACCAATTGCAAATGAATTTAAATTTTAAAAAATCTCCATTAACACCATAAAAATAAAAAAATAAAAAAATAAAAAAATTGGAAAACCTCCAAATACATCTCATGTTGGATGAACCCGTAAAAATGTGAATTAGTAAGGTGTATTTATTTCAGGAATAAAAGTATGTTCTGATATCATATTAGGTGTAACGGTTATTTACTTCTTCTATGATGTGCAAGTTTCTTTTAAATGAGTGAGTACTTTTATGGTGTGTTTGTTTGAGGGATTGGATTTTTCTTTTACTATTCATCTAATTTTTTCCCCCCAAAAAATATTTTGTCATTTCATACAAAAATGATACGAGGAAGTACAAACTTTGATCTACTAATAAAAAATGCAGATACTAGAAATAATATTAACTTTCTATGTCATTAATAATCATTTATTTTGTTTTAATATTAAATTAATATTATTTTATTATTTGAGTAATTTTATTGATTTTTTAATTAAAAAAATAATATATATGATTATTATTATTATTTTTTAAATATGTGTTTAAATATTTTAAATACTAATATGACACTCACTCTGTCCGCCTCAAAGGTTACCTTTTGCATCATTATATTTAACATTAAAAATATTTTTATATTTATATAATTTTTTTTACAAATGATATTATATTAGTACTATAAAATACTAACAAAAGTATTTTTATCATTTTTTTTATTTGCACTACATTTTAATATGATAATTAATATTTAAAGATCAATATTAAAAAAAAATAAATATAATCTTTAGAGTATGACGAAAATAATATAAACTGATTTTAACAAAACAAGGTAATTTTAAATATTGATAAAAATATTTATTTATTGAAAAAAAAAAATATTTTTTTAAAAAAAGAATAAATCATGCATATAGTAAATTGTGCGTATTTAAAATGCACAATTTTACTAAAAATACAAAATACGCTAACTATTGTGAAATGAGGAAAAAAATATTACTCTATAAAGTGTGTTTACTTGTAAGATTCTGATTTTTAGTTTTGGTTTTAAATAGTAAAATTTTGAATTGAATAATTATTTGATGTGATATAAATATGTATTGATGTGGTAATTTGAATGTACTATTAAATTTTTAGTATAATAAAATAAAAAAAAAAGAATTTTTGATTTGATACTTTGAGAGGAAAGAAAATTTAAAATAGTAAAATAATGGATAAAATTTCACAAGTAAATACACTAATATTTTAATTATAAATATATTATTTTTTGAAAAATATATACAATTTTTAAATTTTTTGTTTTTTGGGCTCTAATCAACACAGCAAAATACACATCCACAGCCGCTGCCGCCCAGTTTCTTCCTTCTAAAACGGTAACCCAACCGTATGAAACCCGGTTCCGTTCGATTCGGTGATTTCCGATTCAAATCTGAACCGTCGGTTCGGACCTCCGGTTCGAAACCGGTTGGGGAAGTCTGATTATATCTACCTCCGTCTGTGTTTCCGAAGCAGGCTTCCGACACGAGCGATGATTCCCTGCAGCGCCCTACGCACTGCAGCTTCTCTTCCACCGGCGCCGCTGATTTCACCGACCTCACGCGGCGTTACTGGCTTCAACATCAGCCCCAGATTTCCGAGCCGAGGCGGCTCCTGCCGGAGAGTTTCCTGCTCACTCGAAAATTCCGATGTGTTTGCGGCGGCGTCTCAAAATTCTTCGGAAAACGGCGGATTGGTATCGGAGCCGAGGATTGGGAATGGATGTTTTAAATTTGAAGTGAGAAGTCCGTTTGTTCCAGCTCGTATAATATCAGTGCCAAGGCTGAGTTTGACCGATCAGGCTTTCTTGCTTTTCGCATTTATTGGCTCCACGGTAATGTGATTTTCTTTGTTTTTGATCGACTGCATACATTGTTTTCGCGTTGATAGTGTTTTTTCGTTGGCTGCGAAGATTTGTTGTTCTGCACATGTTCTCATTTTGTTATTTACAGCTTATTTTGACCTATAATTTGCGTCCTGTTTCTACCAATCACTTGATCTTCCTTATTTATGCTAATAAGTTTTACACAATGAAATAATGGAATTTGTTATTTTCATGTTATGCAGACTTGTTTAGCATTCACCAGCTTAGTTGTTGCAGCTGTGCCGACCTTATTTGTAAGTATACTGTGCTATATTTTCCATAGTTTGTATTGGATATTTCATCGAGTGTATTTTTTAGACTTTAAGGGGACTTGTTGCAGTATCTGTTTGATATTTCATCATGCCACTGATATTGATTGCATATACAAATGATGGTGTATAACTAATAGGCTATGTTAAGGGTGGTTTTGTTTTTGGTTTGGATGTTTTGAATTTGAAAACTTTTGAATGGAAATGGGTTTTGTATGTGACTTTTTAATAGGAAAGGTGTTGGAGATGATGTTTTCAATGGAAAATAGGTTTTAGATTTGAAGTCTTCAATGGAAAATAAATTGTAGGTTTGATGTATTGAATTGGAAGTAGGTTTCGGATACTTATTAGTCTTATTTTACTGAGATCACATAGTGCCAAAGCAAGATTTAAAACACAAAGTATTTTTAACTAGGATTGATATAATTTGGATAACTTGGTAATGCGCTGGTCCTGAGTCTCCAAGCTTGCGAAATGCTTAAACTTGAATGAAAGGCCTGCTACCTTTTGGACAAAATATGAACCTAACATTTGCTACCTATGCTTTGCACTATTTTTCCTGAGAGCTTAGTGGGACTTTTTAAAGGCATTTGAGAAAAGCAAAAAAGAAAAAAGATGCGAAACTGAAACTCAGTATGTTGTGAAGGAGTTGCTAAGCAAATGAACAATAAAGAATAAGTCCAATCTTTTATATGTGTTGCTATAAATATTGGGCATGGAATTATGGTTGTTTGGCTTCTTTTGTGTTATAGGCAATGCGGAGGACAGCAATATCTCTAGCAAAGTTGGCTGATACTGCTCGTGAGGAGCTTCCCAGTACAATGGCTGCAATTAGGTTGTCTGGCATGGAAATCAGTGATCTCACTCTAGAATTGAGTGACTTAAGGTATTAATACAGTTCTCCATTATTTCACAATATGCTAATTGGAGTTGTTGTAGAAAACTAAAGAGCTCTTGTAATTATTGAGTTTTTCTTTCTCAAAATAGTAGATTGATCAAGTTATATGTATTTTGTTGTCGTGTAAATGTGACTCACTTAAAATTGCACCTGTAGAAATTATCTTGTCTTATAATTCATGCTTTTGAGCATACATAATAGTGTATTACTTAGTATAATATCTAATAAACCAGTCAATGTTGGTGGGAATCAAATCAGGTAATGAATGCACGCACAATCTCATGACAAGCTGCAGCATTTGTATGGATTAGTAGTTCGTGGGTTAGGTATGAGATCAGTATAGCTTTGCTATTCTCAATGTTAAGGGAATGATAATTCATTCTGTATAAGTTAATAATTAGATGTAGATTGTATGGCAATGCATCTCTTTAGACAAGAAATATGTGTAAAGAGTGATATTGTGGTACCATTCAAAGCTGGGGAATGCTCCATTTTTTTCTTTTTTTTACAAGTACATTAATAGCTACCATGATCATTTACAAGATTCAATTGCTCTTACGTTAAATATTCTGTGATATTGTTGCTCTCAGCCAAGAAATTGCAGATGGAGTCAATAAATCTGCCCAAGCTGTGCAAGCTGCAGAAGCTGGAGTTCGACAAATAGGTTCACTTGCTCGTCAACAAACAATGAGTAAGATATTCCTTTTTTAAATAAGTGTTGTACTAGACTCTAACTCTTATATGATATTTCTTTTTGAGCTGGAATTTATCAGTTACACTTTTGTTTTGAAAGCTATGATTCAGGAAAGGGCTAGCCTCCCAATAATCTCATTACAACCAGTAGTGGCTGGGGCTGCGAAGAAGACTTCTCATGCTGTAGGTCAAGCCACGAAAGCTTTCTTGAATATCATATCTCAAGGTGAGAATAACTCGGTGGGTGAAGATGCAATCTCTGAAGACAGGATAGACATCTAAAGAAATCCGTTGATGTACTGATTTACAGTTGGAAACTACAAGTGATACATCATTCCTAATTTGGTTGCATAAGCAAACAAATTTCGCTTCTTAGTTCTCTACATATGAAGATGATGCAAAAATCTTTGTAGCATTTTCTCTTGTGTATAGGTCATTATCTTTCCACAATAATGGGGATATTAGCCAAGTGGAACAGATATTCTTTATCCATATAAAGTTTGTTTGAATTGATTGTGTATGCTTTAATGGTATCCGGAAAACTGTTAGAATCAAAAGAAATTGTTGCAAGTCAAACATGAATAGGGAAACAGGCTTGCTTGGTTTTCAAGCAGGTAGTTCAGTTGCGATTGGATTGGTCAATGCAAAAAGATTCCAATTGATGGACAAGTGTAAGTATGAGTTATATTGTACCAGATTAGTTTCCTACATTAGTGTTGATTCATAATCAATTAGATTATTTTTGTATTAAATTGTTTGGAATTTAATATTGGAGCAAAATTTGTAGTTGAAAGCTGATAGCCTTGGCAAGGGAGGTGCAAAGATATGGTATTTTACTGCATTTTAACTTTGAATGTTGTTGGTCCCTTTCTTATAAGTTAATGTGATAGCATTACTTTGTTTAGCACCATTTTTTGAGTTTGGTTCAGACTGCATGTATGAGGTAAAGGATCCATGGATTTAATTTGTGTGTTGAAACTGTGCAAAATTTGTCCTTAAATATTTTCATTATAATTACATGAATTGCCTCCCTCCTATCATGTCTACTACGCCACTTTTTACATCATTACTTCTGTTATTTGTTTGAGGCATCTCAAGCAAGGTCGAGAAAAATCTCCAGGCCGAGGGGCCTCAAAAGGCTTGAGATGCATACCACATATCATTTTTCATGCTTGAATGATCTCTTGTGATTTTGATGGTGTTGCTTCTAACATGTTCTTTTCCTGCCTTGCTTTCTGCAGTGGACAAAGTAAACGTGTTTAGTTAAGACTGTTGCTAATAACATGGATATATCTTGACGATTGAACTAACCATCTCCAGCCTTGTGTTTTTCCAAGCCTTCTCCAGCTCTTCATAAACCAAATCTATTGTGGGGCGGCCTGTGCTCGAACTAGCTACACACAACACTGCAATCTGCAATATGGACTCAAAATCCACGCTGACAACATTTCCTTTCATCTTGGGGTCTTGAAAATCGGTTAGTGGTCTTTTACCCATGTTGACATCCTTTGCCTGCAATTTTAAATAATTCAATATGCATTTTCGATGACTTTGAGAAATGACTGGTATGTGTTGATGCATTGAGAAAAGACAACCTTTCTTGTGAGTTGATCCCGGGCGTCTAGATCTAGTTCTATCACTCTCTGCCCTGATAAAAGTTGCAAAGTGACAATGCCGAAACTGTATATATCACTAGCACAGGTCAGTTTTGCATTGCTCATATATTCAGGATCCATATAACCTATTGTTCCCCGAACATCTGTGAACACTTTGCTCTCTTCCATGCCTAACATCTTTGCGAGTCCAAAGTCTGATAGCTTAGGCTCCATGCTATGTGTTAATAGAATGTTTGTTAGCTGCAGAGAAAAGATTCACCTTTAACTGTCAAAACTTTACAGATTTAGATCTACTGGAACAAAAACATACAGATCACATCATGAACTATTTTGGATTTGCCTTAATGTCTCTGTGCACAATGCATCCGTCAATGTGACTGTGGAGATATTTGAGTCCGGATGCACAATCCCTCAGGATTTTTACTCTCATCTCCCATGTTAGGCTGGTGTCTTTCCCTGCAGGTAGATGATAAAGTGCAATCACAACCCAATCGAAGTGTAAAGGACATGTTATTAGTAGAAAGCCATACTTAGAAGATGCTGGGCTAGATTCCCTTTCGAGCAATATTCGTAGACTAAATACTGTTCGCCATCATCAATGCAGCAACCAAAGAGGCATACGAGGTTAGGATGTCTGACTCTTGAAAGCCCATCAATTTCTCTAGTAAATGAATCTGATGTGTTATTCTTGTATAGCTGTTTGATTGCCACCAGCTGTCCACTCGGAAGCATGCCCTTGTAAACCTGCCCGGCACTGCCTCTTCCTAAATACTTCTTTTCATTCCCGTAATTAATTGCATTCTCGATCTCAACTTTGGAGAACCTGTAGAGCCCAGAGCATGTGTCTTCTATGCTTTTGCTTAGTGCAGACTTCTTCTTCTTCTTTTGGTTCTTTGTCACATATTTTATCAGTGTGATAACAGCTGCTAATGCAATCATCACCAAAATCACTGCTAGGAGAGCTTCAGCCGCTCCGCCTGATCCACAATTTATTGTATAAGAATTAGTCACGTTTATCCTAATTTGAGTATGAATTTAAATTGACCTCTGGAATGAAATCTACTTACTTGGGAGTCTTATGTAATTCTTTGATTCTGTAGAAGATAGCGAAAAATGTAAATAAAGTAAAGATCAGTTAAATTGATTATGCATACAAGTATGTGCAGCAGGTTTGTGTGATAAAAAAAGTGCCAAGAATCTCGGGCAGAATGGATGCTAGACGAACCTGGAACAGCCAGAGCAGATAGGCACCTAATGAAGTCATCGCTCTCAGAGGTATCATTCCTTTTTCGAGCTATAAATAGCACAATAAGGCCAAGTAGACACGCTGCCTTCTCTGTCCGATTACTTGCATCGACTTCCAACAAAGTTGAAATCTGATTCATTTTCGCCGATAATGCAGATGTGCAGCTTCCGCATGCAGCATCAAACGGAGAAGTACTGAACTTGGAGCACTGCTCATCAAAATCCTCGTCATTGATGCTCGACAGAGTAAGTGTCGAACACGGGCTGCTACCATAGTAGAAACTGTCAAACCCACAGGTCTGAATTGACACGTTGGGCTGGCGCCTGAACGGTCCGCTGCAGCTATTCCATTGATCTTGGCTGATGAAGATGTTCCCAGCAGAATTGGCGGTTGCATGGAGGGCTAAAGCGTGGGAGAATACGATGAGAGCATTTTGACAGCAGCTCGTTTTCGGCAAGCCGTTCCAGTCCTTGAGATTTTCTTGGACATTACGGCATCCTCCTATTGGTCGATAAGGGTAGGAAGTGAAGTTTAAAATGCAGGCTGCAATAGAAAGAACATAAGAGTACACTGAACTAAGTCCTCTTTGCAGGAATACACGACGAAAATCGCGAAAAAGTTCGTAGGAAACGAGCAACCTGGATCCTCCGGCGATGGAAACGAAAGGACTCCAGCGCAAAGAAGAGTTGTCAAGAACAAAAAGGTTAGTGTAAACTTCAGACATCCTCCTTCCATTTGTCTTCCTGTCGTAGTAATCTGATTTGCATGAGAATTCTGTGTTATTTTTTGTTTTTTCCTGAAACTTGCTAAGAAGTAGAATATATGAACAATGGGTGTGATCATTTATAGGCCAATGTAGACCTCATTCAAATCGAAGGATAAGATTAGAATAATTTATGTGTCGCTATTTTATATGCTTAGTGATTACAACCACCATGAATCCTTGGAATTAACGTTGTATTATTGTAAGAGGGTATGATCTGTATTTTTTTTTTTTTGTCTGGCAGAATAGATTAGGAAAAGAAGTTTAGGTTGCTTCTTTTGTTTTGAATTTGTTAGATGTTTATTGTTAGTTGCTATTAATTGTGAAAGTGTTTTTATGAGGGAATTGTGATATTATTTGGGTGAAAGTAATTTTTATTACTCCCTCTTGTCCGGGCTCTTTATGCCATATAGTCCGGGTACGAAGACTAAAAAATAATAGTATTTTAATATAAAAATAAAGTACGTAAAATGTAAACTGGAAGTATTATGTGAAATTTATAAATAATAAAAAAAGAGTGAGGTAAGTAGAAAAAGTTATTGTAAATATGCTTATTATATGTTCAAACAGGTAATGAAATTTTAGGTGGATAAAGTTTGTTTACTCTATAAATTAATGTATTATATACAAATATAACGAATAACCAAAAAAAGAAATGTGGCATAATTATTCGAGACGAAGTGAGTTTTTATAAATATGAAATTTGAGAAAAAAAAATTAGTGTGTTTTTATTAAAATATGTAGGTATCTTCTTTAAAAATAAGAAGTGTGTGTATGTTTTTTTTTTTTATTTTTTTAAAGAAAACTAATGTGTTGGTAAGTAGGGAATTGAATATTATTTTACATTACTTGGTATTGTCGATGCATTTGGCATTTCTTGAGAATGTATTTGAAAAATGCAATATTATTATATTAGATATTTTAGGATAAGGGGAGGGTTGGCTGTGTTTTTGGAGTTTATTTAGAAGTACAATAATGATTTGATGAGATATAAATCATTTAAGCCAGGGCTAATTAGTATTGTGCCGAGTAGACCTAATAAATAAATGTTAATAGTCCATACATACATTTTATAGTTGAATATTAACATAACATAAATGGTAGGAATTAATCGTGTAGGTAATAGTTTGTACTATGGATGCCATAACATAGGATAACTATATAATATGAACATACAATACATATTAACATTTTATATAACACAGTGTTGTAATTATTTTCATGTGCAGAGTAGTTGTTTATATATTGATTATGACTAATTTGATATGCTCCAACGATATTTTGAATATAAAACTAATATGTATATTGATGACGATTATGGTGCTGATCTAATATAATCATCGACTTGCTATCATCCACACACAAATACAATATATGTATTTGATATGCTTTGATGGTATTTTGAATAGGAAATTAATATATATATTATTGTAGAGTGAGATTATGAAAACACAAGAACACTATTAAAGATGGGTGGCCAAAGAAATGATGATATGCCAAGAGATTGTTATTGAGATGAAGAGATCGAATTGATTTGTTGAATTATCTTATTGTCCTAGACTTGTAAAGAATAAAATCATTTCATTTTATTTTATTTTTATGCTTGAGTTTGGCCTATTATGAACTTGAGCATGGTAATTTAATGTGATTTCGTTGTAATGTAAAAAAAAAAAAAATGGTACACAAGAATGATACTCTTTGTGTTCAAATAAAAGTGTTCATTATTTTTATTTTGATTCATTTTACATAATTTATTTTTTTTTAAAAAAATAATTATATATTTTAATCACATGCATATACATATATGCATATACATATAAATAGTTGATGATGGAGATGGAGCTAAAGTGGAGGTGGGGTGGGGTTGCTTATCGGATCACAAAGCAAAATCACATTAGTAGCATAAAAATATTTGCTGCCGTATTTGCCTCGTCATCCATTAAATGTATACATACACACATATGTATATATAACGTGACTTTATACATACATACGTGTGTATTTTATATATATACATATATGTATGTATACATTCAATAGATGATGATGCAAATAGTGTTGGGTGAGGGTGGTAAGCAACATTGAAAGACTCCTAGACCAATCTGCATAATCCCCTATTTAGTGTATATATACACATATGTGCATATGTAAAAACTCAATAAGTGATGATACAGATGGGGTTGGGTGAGAGTGGGATTGTTGATCTAATCCCGCTTTTGGATCAAATCAACAGCATCAAAAGGCTTTATGCCCATCCACACCATCATCCATTGAGTGTATATATACACGTGTGTATGTATAAAGTGTCTTTATACATATATTTGAGTCTGTTTCTTTAGATCAATTATCCCAAATTACTATGGACTCTGCATTTTTATATAAAGAAATACACCTTTTCCTTTCACAATGCATCCCATCAAACAGAAACATGAAACTCAACAAAAGCATCAATAACCTGATCCTTCGATTTCAACAATCGAACCTATAATTTTCTTGAGTGATCATCAATGAAGGTAACAAAATAAACTGCATCTCTGAAAGACTTTACCTTTAAAGGACCGCACACATCTGAATGGATCAATTCAAGAATGTCTCTCTTCCTCGTATGAGGGTGATGAACAAAGGAAACCCGTGTTTGCTTACCCACAAGACAATGTGAACACTTATCAAACTGAACACGTCTAACACCAGGAAGTAGATTCTTTCTCGCTAAAGTATTAAGTCATTTCTCACTAGTGTGACTCAATCTCCTATGCCATAAGCTCGAAAAACTCTCATTCTGAACTGCATTAATACCATTTGCATAAATAATAGCATGAAACCAATATAAACTGGACTTTTTCTTGCCCTAAGCAATTACCATAGAACCTTTGGTAATCTTCCATTTTCCATCACCGAAATGGCAGGAATGTCTATCATCATCTAACCTACCAGCGGGGACTAGATTCAGTCGAACATCGGGAGCATGCCTCACATCCTTCAGCACTAGTGTGTTACTACTACTGATATCCAAACACATTGTTCATGTGCCTACTACTTTCGCCGAGCCATCATTTCCTATCCTCAAGACTCCAAAGTCTCCCGGAGTATATGATGTGAAAAAATCCCTATTGGCAGTCACATGGAATACAGCTCCACTGTCCACAACCCAACTAGTCTCATTTTGGGTAAGATGAATTCCCTCTTCCTCATACACAATGACGAGATCCTCCGGCATTGTCGTATTCACACAGTCATTGCTCTTATCATCATCTTTCTGCTCATACTTGTTGTGTTTGTCTTTCTGCTCTTTTTTCAACTTGAAACAATACCTTTTGATGTGTCCCCGTTTGCCACAATGACATTCAAGGTCTTTGTATTTTGGCTTTGACTTACTTCTTCTTCGGCTCTTTTTCTCGATTCCCATGATCTCAGCCTATATTCCAACTTCTCCCCCTATTATTCGTAACTAGGATCTTCGAATGAGAAGATGAAGTGTCAAGAGTCTTCCTCCTCACCTCTTCATTCAAAATGACACTTTTGATAAACTTCAAAGTGACTATCCCATCAGACGTTGAATTAGGCAAAGAGACTCTGAAACCTTCCAATGAATCTGGAAGAGTATTAAGTAGCCACAAACCAAGTACCTTATCATCAAACTTCACTCCCATGCCTGACAACTGATCGAAACATCCTTGAAACTCATTTATGTGATCGGAAATGGACTTGCTCTCATGATAACTCAATCGCATAGCCTGCTTGAGTAGAAACAACTTATTGTTGTCAGTCTTCGAAGCATATAAGCTTTCCAACTTGTCCCACAATGTTTTGGCATTGGTCTCATTCACAATATGATTCAAAACATTGTCCTCTATCCATTGTCTTATGAAACCACATACTTGTCGATGCTCCAATTCCCAATCTGCATCACTAGTTTCAACATCAAGTTTTGCCATAGAAAACACTGGCCCGTGTAACTTCTTCACATATAGAAGATCAATTATCTTTCCTTTTCAAACATGATAATTTGTTCCAGCAAATCATTCTTCCTAAGCTCACATCCATTTTTCAATGGTAAATAATACTCCCAAACAACCTTACTCTGATACCACTTTATGTTGCGAGAATACCGGAAGAAGATCAAATTGAAACAAAAAATAAGATGCGAAGTACTCCTTAAGCGTGGTCACGCCTAAGGTAGGGTGTTCAAACTGTTCCACCAAAACTTTTTCCTTCAATCAATTCTCCTTTGTACCAAAGTACGATGAATGATAACCACCAATAAACAACGGAAATAACAATATGAGACACCAAAAATTTTGACGTGAAAAACTCCTTCAAAGTGAAGGACAAAAACCACGAAGCCTATCGCCCGATCCAAGGCAAAATCCACTATATCAAAAAGTTTGTACAATCAAAGATAACCACAACAAAAAGGGCTATCAAACTCCACACCCAATTACAAGAATCAAACTCCAATCACAAGAGATCTTTCAACTACAAATAATCCATTCAAATCCCCAACCAATAATATTCAAAATCGAATTCAAACAAATAGTGATAAATCAATCGATACCAAAAAGAACATCCGAAGATGACGAGACCGTTGATCGGAACCGAGTTGAAGGAATTCTCTTTTGCTTTCCGATTTTCTCGTATGCGTGGAGAACAATTGTCTTTCTCAAACCATGCACCCAATTGGCCCCTCTCATAACTATGACAGCTAGGGCAACAATTGGCGAGGGTGGACTCTTAACTCTTTTGGGTTAATTTAAATTGTTGGGTCTCCTACACATAGAAGGAACCCAAACCCAACAATTAAATAAATATATTTATTTATTTATTTTTATTATATAAAATTTTATTTTATATTTATATTGTATATATTTTGTTGATATATAATATTGCAAATATTTAAACACATTTTAAATTTATTTTAATCAATGTATAATATATTTCTATTACACCATCATTAAATAAATAATTTATACTAACTAAATTCTCGTGTTCAAATAAAAAACATTATCATTTAAATGGGACTAAAGGAGTATATAAAAATTTAAATTGTAAATATTTATATAAAAAATAATATTTTATCATAAATATTAGTATAATTGTATTATATTTTCTCACTCTTTCGTTTTTTTTTTTCTAGTTATTTATTTATTATTTATTTTCATGATCTAAGTATAGTGCCAAGAAAAATTAAATAAGATAGAGTAACTCAAGAAAAATTAAATAAGATAGAGTAACTTATAATCAGTTGAAGTGAATGGAAAAGTTGGTTCTTACAATTTTTTTTTTTTTTTCCACACAAAAAATACCAAACGATCTGATTAAATAAAAAATTTGAAAATTAACTGTTCGGAATATGTTAAAATTAAAATAGAATAGTAAAATAAAAATCAAAAGAACAATTTTGTTCTCCCAAACTAATTGTTAATTCGTAAGTAGCGGCGAATTCAGAAAAAATTTCATTGGTGTCACAATATATAAAGTTAAAATAATAATAATAATAATAATAATAATAATATAAATTTATTTTTGTATATTTATATTTTAAAATATAAATTAATTATTTTATTTGGATTGAATTTAATTATTTGAATATTGGTGATATTTTAAATATTAAAATTTAAACAGTTCATCTAAATTTTTGAGGTAAAAATAAATTTCAAATTTTAAATGGCCACTCTAATTTTTTTTAGTGGTTCTATAATTATTAAATTATAAAAACTCCTTTTTGTGATATAACTAAATATAATGTAGATCCTCGGCTGTTCGTAAGTCCGAATATAGCTCATAGAAGGCCCAGACGGGCCCAGATTTGAATATATATTACTGTGCTTGGTCTGGGCCGGCCCAGCCGATTGAAGAACTCGATAACTAACATAACCGACCCATCCAGCAACTATAATCGGGCTGGGTACCCGGATCCGAATTAACTGATCCACCCGACGGCTGGCATAAGATCACAACGCTTTCAAAGCCCCACTGTGTGGCCAACGCCTCCTTATCACCCTTCTTATCCATCCTCCTTCCGCACACTTTCAAATGGCGCAAGTCCCTCCACAATCGACCAACCCGCCATCCTTCCTGCTCAATTCCAAGGTGCGGACCTTCTCCATTTTCCGTTACGTGTTCTCCTCCTTCAATTTTACATGCATTATTTACCTTTTTATGCCCCAATTTTTACAGTGATGTTATGTGTTGTGAAAGTATGGGAGTGATTGTGTGTTTCGTGCGCGCGAGCCGATTAAGCAATGATTTGGAATTTTATTTTTATTTTTGGAGATATCTGTGAACCTGAAGCTGAAATGGATAGAGTTGAAGAATTGATGTTTACAAAGCTCAATCCCTCATTTTAGCTAAATGGAAGAGTAGTTCAATTATCTAATGTTAGGGCAAGTTTGTTCCTTATCGTGTATTTGATGATTTTCGATCTTCTAACACCACATCTGGAGATATATTTGGCATACTTTAGTCATGTAAGTAAAATAGATACTAGAATGTGATTAAATATCGAAAAGCTTTGAATGTATCACTATGCAACACTCTTGCCCCTGTAAGGGATGTATTGTGAGTCTTATAGTGACTGGAAAATTAATTTGAGCTATAGATAATGGATATCATCTGACGTTTAAGTGAATTATAGGCACAAACGAAATTGATTTTGTGTTTACAATCAGGTTGTGTTTGGCAGTCGTCCGAGACGAAGCAAGAATGGGTTTCCTGTTGTACTCTGGACTGCTTTCTAATGGGAAAAACATTTTCTTGGATAACACTTTGCACCGTGAACGGTATTACTGGAGCGTGGCTGATATCAGCAGAAGTGTATCGGTGAAGTTAGGTCCTTGTAAATGGAACCTACGTCGCGTGAATTTGTTGAAAGTTCATTGTAAAGGAGGATCCAAACATCCAAATGTTTTCTCAGAAGTAATTGATAAGAAGAGTATATCAAGCCATGTTGTTTGCGAAGTTATAGCTGAGGTGAATTCATAATGGCAACCCTTGTTCTTGTGTATTTTATTCAATTGCTACTTTTGTTCAACATACTTTTTTGTAGGTTAAGAAGAAATTAGATTTTCGATGGGCAGTAAATATTGATTTTTGGAAGAAATGGAGCTACATCCGGAGTGTGGCAGCCTTGTTGGCACTTACAATGATGATTGTTCCGATGGCAGATGCTGTGGATGCTTTAAAAGTTTGCTCGTGCTTACTCAAGGGTTGCAGGTACTTTCCCGATCAAAGTTTGCTAGCATTTTTTTGAGGATTGCTTCGAGTTAAAATGCTTCTTGAATATTTCGACTTGGCTATTGCTCATTCAAATCTTGCAAACTAACTTTTATGATGTTCCTGTACTCGTGTCTGCGCCATGTCTGCCTGTGACTGATGATATTTTCATCGAATGAACTTGTTTCTATCTTTTCTATTATAGTTAGTGTTGATGTGCTTTGAATCGAGTTAAAATGCCTCTTCAATGTTTCAAATTGACTATTGCTTGTTAAAATCTGGCAAACTAACTTCTATGATGTTCCTGTACTCATGTCTGCGCCATGTCTGTCTGTGACTGATAATATTTTCATCGAATGAACTTGTTTGGGGGGGTAAATGGGGGCGAAATCACCCTTGCCTGGGGTCTGGGGGGTGGAGTGGCCCCCGGCCTGACGGTATGCAGTATTTGGGGATTCCGAGTTCGTATTGGGATGAATCCATCTGATGTATTCTCTTAATTTATTTGAATAGACTTAGATATGCAATTTAGGTTATCTGTATCAGAAATCGATATTTGTAATATGTAAATGTAGCCGGCCTCAATAAATCTGTTCTCCTCGTTTCTGCCCATGGACGTAGCCAACACGTTGTTGGTGAACCATGTAAATATGTGTCTTTTTTACGTTTCTATTTATTATTCGATCATTAATATATTCTCGATCCTGATTGAAATGAAATTGACTAATTTGTATATAATTGCAATGCTTGTTAAGGTTAGAACTTGCAAAGTGCATAGCGAACCCGTCGTGTGCAGCTAACGTAGCGTGTCTTCAGACCTGTAATAATAGGCCGGACGAGACAGAATGCCAGGTAGTTTCTACATCTTACATGATCCCTGACTTCATTCTTCGGGTTTATAGTTATTTGTGGTCCATTTCTGTTTTTGCAGATAAAATGTGGAGATTTATTTGAAAACAGTGTGGTAGACGAATTCAACAACTGTGCAGTCTCGCAAAAGAAATGTGTGCCGCGTAAATCTGATGTAGGCGAGTTCCCCGTACCAGACCCCGCCATTCTAGTCCAGAAATTTGACATAAATGATTTCAATGGGAAGTGGTTCATAACCAGCGGCTTAAATCCGACATTCGACACCTTCGATTGCCAGCTACACGAGTTCCATACAGAAGCAGGCAAACTCATCGGAAACATATCGTGGCGAATAAGGACTCCAGACACCGGTTTCTTCACTCGATCGACACTCCAGAAATTTGTTCAAGATCCGAAGTATCCCGGAATATTATACAATCACGACAACGAGTTTCTTCACTACCAAGACGACTGGTGAGCTGCCCTCTCTCTCTATTTGAGTTTACAGTTAAATTATATAACACCCTTTATTTTTTAGTAAAAATGCATATAATCCTTTGTGTTAATGTAAAATTTGTAAATAATATCCTCTTTGTCTAAAATTGATATTTAGTTGTAAATATGAATAAAGTTTTATATAAATAAAAGAGGTAAATATATTCAATAGTCATTTTTTAATACTCCCTCCGTCTCTATCTATCAATTTGCTTTTTGCACGGAGTTTTAGAAATATTAGTATTATATTGGGGTGTGGTATTAATAAAGTAGAAAATACTAAAATAACTTTATTAGTATTGTGTGATAGAAAAGGAATATATTGTAAGTTGTAAGGGTATTTTTAATGTTAGTAGAAACTGGATAGATTGTTAAGAGACAGGAGAATATAACAAATAAGTAAATAATCGATTAATTTTCCATTTTATAGTTTTTTAAAAACAAATTGTTATTTGATTTTTACAAAAACTATAAAAATAAAGAATTGATCGATTATTTATTTATTTATTTTATTCAAAAAAGATTATTTAAGATATTTTATCCTTTTATTGTATAAAACTTTTATGATTTAGTTCTGTATTTACAACCAAATATCAGTTTTGGACAAAGAGGGTGTTCTGTGCAAATTTTATATTCACAGGATATTTTATATATTTTTACCCTTCAGTTTACACATCGATAAAAATAATATGTGCGATCTCGATACAACGATCAGGTACATTCTATCGTCGAAGGTGGAAAACCAACCGGACGACTACATATTTGTGTACTACAGAGGCAGCAACGATGCTTGGGATGGTTACGGCGGCGCAGTCGTGTACACAAGAACTGCAGTTTTGCCCGACAGCATTATACCTTCACTGGAGAAGTCCGCAGAAAGTGTCGGCCGTGACTTCAATAAGTTCATCCGGACCGACAACTCTTGCGGGCCCGAGCCGCCGCTGGTTGAGAGGCTGGAGAAGACGGTGGAGGAAGGGGAGGAGATAATCGCGAAAGAAGTCCAAGTTATCGAAGATGAGGTGATCAATACGGAAACAAGTTTGCTCGAGAAGCTGTCGCGGGGGCTTCGAGAGCTCGGAAAAGACCGCGATTTCTTCCTCAATGAGCTAAGTAAGGAAGAAATGGATCTGTTGAGTGAGCTGAAGATGGAGGCCAGTGAAGTAGAGAAGCTGTTCAGCAGAGCTATACCATTGAGAAAACTGAGGTAAGTATGTATCTATATGTCTCTATTTCTTTACTTGTTTATATATAGAGAGGGTGATTTATAATTATTGTTGTTATTATTATTATTATTATGTGCTGAATTTGGGTTAGGAATTATACTTGAATGGTATAACAAATATGTTTGGGTTTAAGTTGGGCCGGATTGGATTGGACCGGTTCGGACTGGACCAGTCTGTTCCGAGTTGAGTTGGGCCGGGTTGAATTGGAGATGAGGTGAGCCGGCCGAAATGATTGGAAGTTAGTCTAAATAGATGTGAATAGAAAAGAGCAAATATATATATATAAATAAAAGGAGCAAATTTTATTTTATTTTAAAAAAAAACGACCAAAAAGAGCAAATTTATATATATAAAAAAAGCAAAATAGCAAAAATCCTGACATGGATCGAATTGATCAACTACACAAGACACGGAATAAACTAACTAAAACGGAACTATCTAATAAACAACGAGAAAAAACGAACAACTAAACAGAACTAACTAAGGAACAAAAGAACAAATTAATTAAGCAGAAATGAATAAAGTGAGAATAATGATAATCGAAAGAGAAGCAAACTAAGTAAGTACTAACGTAAGCATGACCCGATAAGCATCGAATCATCCTCCACGAAGGCACCACCTCGGTCGACACTTTGGAGACACAACAAACAAATATCAATTTTGTAACAAAGTTTTTTCATCCCTAAATTCATTTTTTCCGTTACTAATGACATTAGAGACGGAATTGCGTTAACTACGTAAACTTTAGAGATAAAATTCTGTTACTAATATACTATTTTTTTTGTAGTAAGAGCTCTTCCACTTTCCCTAAATGGAACTTGAAGCTTTATACTCAAACCTGAATTTTTATACTAAACCCCACGAAGCATTTTTATACTAAATCCCATGAAGCATGCAATGGAATTGCATTCCATTAAATATTAGACTAAAAGAAAAAGTATTGCTATCGAACATAACTTTTCATAAAAAGGAAATGATCAATAATGATCAATATTCATAAATATATTCTTGTTTGGTGTGTCTTACAAAGTACCTTGAGGGTCCTATTTATAGAAGTGGAGGAAGGGGCAAGTTGAGTGATTTTTCCAATGTGGGATAGACTTTATATAAGTAATCTCCCTACGAGTGACACATAGCTAAAGACATGTGGGAGAGCTTATTATATATGTGTATATATATAAGTAGTCCCAAAGGATGGTCCCCTTACTTGAGCATGTGCAAACCTAGGTTGTATAATTACATATTAAACTCTTTATTTTAGCAAACTCCTAGGTTTGCACAACTTTTTCGTTAGTTGTCCGATTGAGGCGTTGCAAGCTCTAACATAGGCATCCATCAACAAGTGTTCGGCTATTGCAACATTGCCTTTAATTGCTCTGCAACTTGCAAATTTCATCGTCAAGCCTTGTAATTTGTCAATGCAAGCTTTTTCTCGGGTTCTTGAAGCTGGTCTGATGGGAGGTTTCAGAATTGTGAATTTTGACGTTCGAACATCCATGTCAAATCCGAATTCGCTGAAAATCTGCCCGGATTTTAAAATTTCAAAAAACTTTCAAAATGTTGCAGACTCTCCCTCATCTCTAAATTTGACTAACCGACCTTAAATTTTATCAAATTTGACAGTTATACCCTTATTTATATATTTTTTAATTTATTTCTCTTTTTTCTCTCTTTTTTTGTCTTTTTTCTTCTCTTCTCCCCAACAACACCGGATTCTTTCATTTTCTTCTTCCCCAAATTTTTCTTCACAAGCAGGTTTTTTTCCAATTTTTTTTTTGTTCTTCCCCAATTCTTTTTCACTCCCCCGTGGTCCCACCCAGTTATTTATTTTCTTTCTTTTTCCCCAATTCTTTTTTTCCTTTTTCTTCGTCTCTAATTCTTCTTTGAAGAATGAGGAATTGAAAAATAATAAGAAGAGAAAAAAGAAGCAAGAAGGAAGGAAGGAAGAAGAGAATGAGAAGGAATAAGAGAATAAAAAGAAAATAAAGAAGAAGAAGAAACAGGTTGAATAGGTTTTTTTCTCTTTTTTCTCCAATTTTTTTTTTCTCTTTTTTCCCAATTTTCTTTATTCTTTATTCTTCCTTACCAATTCTTCTTTTTACGTCAATTCTTCTTCTGCAATCAGCAGTACCAAATTCTTTCAATTCTTCTTAGATTTCAAATCTTTTATTAGATTTCTGAGTTTGGTAAAATATAAAAGAAATAGTGAGTATTAAATTTGGATCAATTTTAAATTTGATTGTGTTTAGGAGATTTAAAATGAAAAATAAAATAAAATAAAATTTGGTTGTGTTTAGGGAATTTAAAATGAAAAAAAAAATGAATTGAGATTAAATTTTAAAAGTACGGAGAAGAACAAAGAAAAGAAAAACAAGAAAGTAAAAAGTAGTCATTAGGGTATTTTAGTAATTTTATACATATATATATCATTTTATTGACAAAAAATTGCATAGCAGGCTCAACATACCACCACCGTTAAGGAATTTTTTGCAATATTTTAAAAACCACAAAGAGGTTTTTTGAACTTTTTAGAACCACAAAAAGTTTTCAGCAAATTCAGTAAACTACAACGAAGTTTTTTGCTATTTTGTCAAAAAAAAAATTACATACTTTTACTCACTAGTAATATATATTTTTTAATCTACTAAGAAGATAATAAATGTATGCAGTTGGATAAAAGGAAATAAAATAAGTATTACAATTATTGATATTTTAAATAAGTCATGTAAAGTTGGTTCTTACACTATAATTGAATAATATTTTATTTGTTATTTAAATTTAAATTTATGTTTAACTTCTTCTTTTTTTAACATTAAAAAATTAAAAGTAATTATTTTTTATCAATTTTTATTAAAATTTGTGTCCTACCATACGTACATAATTTTATACGAGGAGAGTAATAACTTTTGAGGTGTGTTTGTTTGTAGGTTTGGATTTTGAATTGACATTTGAATAGTAAAAATTTTGAATTGAAATAATTGTATGATGTGAGATAAATAGGTATTAGATGTAATGTTTTGAATGTAAAATTAATTTTTAGAATAATATAGAAAATAAAAAATAGGTGTTTGATGTGATATTTTTAGGGAGAAAATTTTGAATAAATAGTAAACTTTTGGCAAAATCCTTCAAACAAACACGCCGTTGGAGTTTGAATTTGATTTTATATTTAAATGATAGTTTGAATATAATATTCCTTATGTTTCATAACAAATTTAGAATATGAGTTTGTTAACCTATAATTTTTTTTACACAATTTTTAATATATATTTTATCTTTTTATAAAAGTTAATATTCAATAAAAAAATTTATTTTTTATATACAAACAAATTTGATATATTTAAATATTTTAAAAAATTATATGTTAATAAAATATATACAATAAGAATATCATTTTGTAAATAATAAGATTTTATATAATAAAAATAAATATAATATAATTAATACAAAATTAATTTTATAAAGAAAAAAGAGTTCATTAGCTCACATATATAAGTTCACCTTCACATCACTATCACTAAGTTATCCCTTTGGGGTTAAATTAGTAAATTTTGTCAAACATAAAAATATGTCTTTTATTAATAAATAAACTAACATATAAATGATATTAGTTGTTACATAGACGGAATATTTTGTAATTGTAAAAAATTGTAATTGTTATATGATAAATAATAATAATAATAAACTTTAAAAGAAAATCCATCAATTTGTTATTTTTCTAGGACTTCAATTCTCTATGAAGGAATAATTCGATGATTTTTTTTTTATTATTATTATAATATATTTTCATAAACTTGTAGCATTCACATTTAGCATTTCGTTGATCCCACAACTTTTTTTATTTTTTTTTATTACGATGTTGAAATTCACAGTTCTCAAATTTAATACCTTGTAAATTAAACTCGATAAGTTACATTAGACGAATCATATATGACAGGTAAAATCCAAAGGTGTCTGGTGTTTGAATCCATAAATCTCACCGTCACGAGTTCACTCTCGTATCATCAGGCCATTCCTTACGGACCATTTTTTGTTCCTTTTGACTTGCAAAAATATAACATAAGCATGATTCATAGTTAGCAAGAAATCCATCGGGAGAATTTGACCTATATAAGGCTCTCGTATGTGTCATTCAGACCAATAAGAAATTGGACCAATTGATTCCTATCCAATTATGCAACATTGCATTTACACGAGGGATGAATTGTATTGTCCAAACTTTTCTGTCAAATTATTTCAAAGTTGTTTGGCTGTTAGAACCCGGACAAAAGATATAGGGCAATGGGATTTATAATTTAGGCTCGAACCAGTGACGGAATCCGCAGTAAAATTCCGGAGGAGCAAAATCAATTTTTTCTTTTAAACGATTCAATGTTGTTTTATTTTATTCACAGTACATCCTGTAAAAAAAATGAAAAATTTAAATGTTTTAGAAAAAAATTCAACAAAATTATATAAAATTTAATATTATTTTACTATAAAAAATAAAAATTAAAAACTAAAAGTATAAATCAACAAAAAAATTTATAGTTTTTTACATTACAAAATAAAAAATTAAAAGAGACAAATTACTATAAAATACATTATTTTATTATTTTATACATAAAAAAAGGGTAAACTGTAGTCTGTAACTGGACCCCCTTATCATTTTAGTCGCAAACTAGTCTCATAAGTGAAAATTTTTTGCTGTTTTAGTCCTCCGGCGCCGGAGACGCCCGTGTGGCTCGCCGGAGGTGACGTGTCCGCCGGGTGTCGCTGACCTGGCGGACACGTGGATTTTTTTAAAATTTTTTTCCATTTTTTAAAATTTTTTTTAAAACTTTTTTTTAATTTTATTTGTATTTTTTTATTTTTTTATTTGGTCCAATTAAAAATAAATAAATAAATAAAAATGAAAAAAAAATAAAAATCCACGTGTCCGCCAGGTGTCGCTGATCTGACGGGACACCTGGCAGACACATCATCTCCGGCGAGCCACACGGGCGTCTCCGGCGCCGGAGGACTAAAACAACGAAAATTTTTCACTCATGGGACTAGTTTGCGACATGCTCTACTTACGGAACTAAAATGATAAAGGAATCTAGTTACGGGACTAAAAAACAGTTACCCTAAAAAAAAATACATATATTTTGAGGATTGGGGTCAGTTGACCCCCTAGCCTCCATGTAGTTCCGCCCTGGGCTCAGAACTAATGCATTAACTTCAATCCAAACTTCATTGAAATATAAAAAGGTATAAAGAGGTTATATACTTCCTCCGTCTTATAAGTAAATATTCATTTGCTTTTTATACGTAGTTTTAGAAATATTAGTATTATAGTGAGATATAAATAGAAATAAAATAGAAATGACTAAAATAACCTTATTAGTATGTGTGATATAAAAGTAATGATATTTGTGTAATATATTGTAAGTTGTAAGGGTATTTGTAATGTTAGGTATATAGTACAATTACTAAAAAAATAAAATAGATACTTTGTTATGGGATAGACTAAAATAGAAAAATAGATATTTTGTTATGGGACGGAGGGAGTTTATTATATATATATATATATATATGATGGGAGAATCTCATACCAATTTACAACAAATTCCTAACCAACTACATATGTGATCTTACTTACACATGTGAATCATCTAGAGCTGGCAAAAATTGACCCGACATGATCCAACACGAAATAATTGAGTTTGAGTCAAATATTTCAATCCGATTATGTATACAGGTTGATACAAACCCGACACGATAATAAACGAGTCGAGTTAGGGTTGATGCTCTCAACTCGAACCCAATACGACAACCCGATTATAATATATTAATATTGATTAATATATATTATATATATAAAATAATTATAATTTAATAAATTTTTCATAAATTAATTTAAACTAAGTTCAATTTTAAATAATTCAATCAAACCAATAAAAACTAACATAACACGACAACAAAATAAAAAATTATATAATTTGAATTAAGAAATAAGACTTAATTATGTATACGGGTCAACACGAGTCAACCCGAACCCGACACGATAATAAACGGGTCAGATTATAGTTTAGTAATTTAACCCGTTTAAAATATTCAACCCGACACGAATCGACCCATTGCCGGCTCTAGAATCATCACACTAGAACAAAAAATAGTATCTTGATTTATGTGTTTGTTTGTATCTTTGAGAGTTAAGTTTGATGCTTGAAAATAACAAAAATTTAAATTGAAATAATTGTTTGGAATAATATAAATAGGCATTGGTATAATATTGTTAATATAAAATTTAATTACTCCCTCCTCCCTCTATCTCATTGAAAGATTGTCATTTTCTATTTTCGTCCGTCTCAAAACAAGGTTACCATTTCCTAATTTAGTAATTGTACTACATATCTAACATAATAAATACTCTTTCAACTTACACTATATTACACAAATGGAATGACTTTTATATTACACAATACTAATAGGGGTATTTTCGTCTTTTTCACCACAATCCATTATAATACTAATATTAAAAAATCTACGTGCGAAAAGTAAACGACAACCTTGTTTCGGGACGGAGGGAGTATTATTATTTTTTTTAATGTAATGTAAAAATTAAAAACTAGATACGAAGATTTAATATTTAGGAAAAAAAATTAGTGAATAGTGTAATTTGATTTAAACCCATAAACAACTTATGAACAAAATAATATCTTTTTTAACATAGAATAATGAAAGTTTTATAATAAAGAACATTTAAAAAAAAAAAAAAACTAAAAAGGAACAAAGTGCCATTATGTTAGACATACCTCACAATATTATGATGTATTTGTAATTTAAGTAATACATTGTTACCAACTAACTCGACAATTATTTCATTGACGATCCAACCAACCAGTTAAGATATTTTAACCTTAATTATTACATGCGATTATTTAGGCATGGAGATTTTATAGTTTTTGGAAATTTGAAATTTCTTAAAAATAATACTCCTTTCGTTCCAATATAATAGTCTTGTTTACTATTTTTGTTCGTCCCAAAACAATAGTCTCATTTCCATAAATAATTATATCACTATAAAACTATCCCTACTTTTTCATTATTATTACACAATTGTCACTATTTTTTACACTAATATACTTGCAAGGGCAAAAAAGTCATTTATCCTTACTTTTTACCGACTACCAATATAATATCAATATTTTATAAATTTCGTACCCAACACAATAAGACTATACTTTTGGGATGAAAAGAGTATAAAATTGAATATTTGATGTAATATTATTATAAGAAGACATAATTTTTTTAAAAAAATGATTTTTGATGGATAGTATTAAAACCTTCAAATATAAATCCAAATACCAAACATAACCTTCAAGAAGCCAAAGATGTGTTTGTGGCTTTTGGAGTTGTATTGGGGGGTTTTGATCGGGTAAATCTTAAATTGAAATCTTTACTTGTTGTGATACAAATAATTATTAATTTGATTTTTTAAATATAAACTTATTTTTATTTTTATATAAAAAAATAAAATATAAAAATTTGATTTGATATAGTTTTTTTAAAAAAAAAATAAAAAATAAATAAGAAAGTTTTGTAGAGCCTTGAGAAGTTTTTTATGAAATTGGGGCTTGTTTGGTTTTGATCTCATAAGAATGTATCATTTTCAATTTTCCATTTATATCCGTCTAAAATATATATATATATTTGTTACATATAAAAAATAATAGTAATAATAATAATAATGGTAGCAGGATCTTAAAGGAAGTTAGGACACAAGTCAGCGGAAAAAGAGAAAATATGCACTCAGGTCGGTTGGTCCGCGGTCGGTTGGTCCGCAGTCAGATAAGTAGGTTGGAAGGTCCGCGGTCGGACAGGCAGGTCGGTTGGTCCTCGGTCGGATAGGCAGGTCAGAAAGTCCGTGGTCAGATAGGCAGGTCGGAAGGTCTACGGTCGGATAGACAGGTCGGATAGTTTGCAGTCGGTTGGTCCGCCATCAGTTGAGTCGGCCAATACGGAGTTTAGACCAAGCGAAGGTCTGTTAATTAGTCGCCTAATTAAGTGAACAGTAGTTCAGTCGCTTGGTTGGGGCGACCATTGAATCGTCTGGAAAGACCAGAGGGTGGTCGCTTGATGGGGCGACCAAGGAGTTGTTTGGTCTAGCGACCAGTTAGTCTCTGGATTGGTCGGTTGGATTATGCGGTTGGCGAGACGGTTGCTGTAAACGACAAGACGATGTTTTAAAACGTTTCGTTGTGGGTAGTTGACGGCGGTTGCTGACGATGGTTCTGAAACGTTTTCTTGAAGGAATATTTAAGGATTTGGATTTTTTTATCTTCAATCATCTTCAATAGACATCAAATTCAAGAGAATTGTCTTTGGGGATTACCACTTTATTTTTCAGTCTGTAGTTTTATTTTCCAGTTTATTTATTCATGTATTAGAGATTCCTAATCTCAGGCACTAATTATATCAAATTCGGAGATAATATCCTATTTTTGGATTTTACTTTTTATTGTTGAAAAATTGCATCAACAATATCTATTGCAAACCAATAAATACTAATAGTAAAAAATCTATATGCAAAAAAACAAATAATAATCTTCTTACAAAACAGAAGAAATATATATTAAACATGTCCTATTCGATCAATTTTCTTTTCTTTTTCGAAACAATTCCATATATAATATAAAAATAAAATAGTTAAATGTTTAACATATCACTGAGCTTAAAACATTAAATGTGTGTTTGGACATATCATTGAGTGTCATAATAATAATATATAATTAAATTGTAAATTAAATAAATTAGTCTAGAGAACTATAATTGATATTCTGTTTAGTAAAATAAAGAATTCAATTAAAATAAATATAACATAGAATCAATCATTATTTATTGTATTTATTTATTTGCAAAAAAATACATACATTAATAGTTTATAAATATACTAATCAATAATAATAATAAAACCTAATTAGCAAAGATACAAATTTACATTCGACACAAACAATATATGTATGTGTATTTGAAATGTTTTGATTTGTTATTTTCTTAAATGCAATAATTATTAAATTTAATAATATTTGTACATATAAAATATATATATATATATTTTATTAACAACCATAATAAAAAAGTATTAAAAAAATTAGTAAAAATCAAATTGTTTATTATTCATAGCAATCGTCTCTTCAAACTGAAATACAATTCCATCCAAAACTAAAATAAATAAATAAATAAAATAACAAAAAAAATAAAAAAATAAAAAAAAATACAAAACCTATATATACATGCATACATACATACACGTGTATATATTATATATGCATGCCTGTATATATTATTCCTACCCCCAAAACCTCCATATATATATATATAAATAAAATAAAATAAAATCTATTTTTAAGCAGCCCTTCAGAAAACCCTCATGGGATCAGTGACTGTGTGTGTATATATATTATATATATATATACGTGTCTGAATGTATATATCTGTATGTATCGATCAGTGGTAGACGTCGGCGGGGATGGGCATGTTCTTGACGATTCCGCAGAGCAGCTGTCCCGGCGGCAGCGCGTACTCGTCACGCAGAGACTTTTCCGGCGACAGCACGCTGATGTAAAGCTGCTGTCCTAAGTACTGCCTCTCCAGCGTCATCGACCTCAGATTCCACATTCCGGCGTTGTCCAAGGTTGTCATAATGGCTGCCCAGCACCCGGGGTACACCTGGATCGTGTGTCGGCTCACCGCGTCGATTAGGTTGTAGTTCTTCCTCTTCTCCGGCGCCCACCTCCCCGGCTCGATCCTGTTCGCCGGAGTTGCAGAGAAAGTAAAAAACCAGGTTAGTTTGAAATGGAATTAGGGTTTTCAATTTGGGGGTGAAATTAGGGTTTCTGAAATTGAAATTAGGGTTTGGGAATTGGGGATTTTTATTTTTTATTTTTTGCGTACGCGACGGGGAAGAAGGAGTAGCCGGAAAGATGCCATGACTGGATGCTCTTCTCGTGATTCTCGAAGATAATTTCGACGAAATTCCTGAATGTAGCGTTCATGACATTGGGGGCGAGGGTGATGACGTTCTCAGATTCCGGCGTCGGCTCATCCTTAATCGTGTCGTATTTAAACAACTTGTCGGCGACGCCGAAATACTCCGCCAGTTTCAGCGGCGTGTCGGGATTGGTATGGGAGACGCCATTAATGGCGTACCTAAGCTTCCCATCAACGGTGCTGGCGGAGTTCACGATCCTAATCGTCCTTGTAATATTGATTTTCCCGTAGTGGTAAGAGCCCTGCGGATTAGGTCTAGCGGCGCTCGCCGTCAAATTCCATCTGAACGACCGGAACTGGCTGAGCGACCAGAGCCACCCCTCCGGCGGCTTAGGGATCTCCGCCGCCGCCGGAATGTTACTCCCGTTGTAACGGATAATCGCGGTGGTGCTCAACGGCTCCTTCGTGAACCTCGTCGACGCGACGAGGAAGTAATCCTTGGGGGTCTGATTAGCCGTTACAAGAACAGAATAGCACTGTCCTAAATGAATGTCGAGCGAATCGTAGACATTCTGAACAGTATGAGATCCCTCGAGTTCCACGAGCTTCATCGTGTGACCTTGGATTCTGACATTAATGGAGTTCTTCATCCCGACGTTACAGAAACGGTAACGGTAGGTCTTCCCGGAGGCCATAAAGAACATCGGCTCGTTGCTGCCATTGCCGCCGCCGCCCTTCCCGTTGATGACGACACCTTCCGGCCGGCCGAGGCTCCGGCCGGTGTCTAGAAGCTTCTTAAGTGACACGTGTCCTTTAGGGTACCAGTCGCCGGCGAGGACATTGTACTCGGCCTCCGGCCAGTCGAAGGGGACGGGGATGAGGGCGCGGCTGTGGACGTCGAGGGGGCCGTAGCCGCCGGCGGCGCGGTGGAGGGCGGTGGTGGGGTAGTAGAAGTAGGAGCCGATCTGGTCCTTGACCTGGAATTTGTAGGTGTAGTTGGTGCCGGGGGGGATGGGGCAGGTGGTGCCGGGGAGGCCTTCCTGCCAGGAGTTCTTACGTTGTTGGATGCCGTTCCAGGTGAAGAGGAGGGGCTCGTCGAGGTTGTTGAAGACGTTGATGACGATGTTGTTGTTGGAGGTGCAATTAATGCGGGGGCCGGGGAACTTGCCGTTGATGGTGATGACCTGTTGGGGGGCGCCGAGGGGGGAGAGGGAGGCGTAGTTGACGTTCCACGTGTCGAAGATGTAGGGGTCCTCGGCTAGGGCGACGGCGGTGACGGCGAGGAGGCGGAGGAGGAGGTGGAGGGGGGCCATGGTTGTTAGAGAGAGAGAGAAGAGAGAGAGAGGGGAGGGGAGGGATGTGATGGTGGTGATGGATGATGGGGGGGGGAGTGGGGGCAGTTTTTATATGGGGAGGAGTGAGAGAAAGGTGGGGGCACGTGTGCGTGCGTGTGTTTTTCTCGGACTAGTTTCTGTCTCTCTCCTTTGTTTTCTCGGTCCTACGTTGTCTTAACCATCCACTTTTGTCTGGTGTTTCTTTCTTTCTATCTCCTCTCTCTTGTATACGCACGTATACTAATCGTATGTGTGTATGGCTTGTAGAAATAGAGGGAAAAATTAATACTATTTATTAAATTAGAGTGTGTTTGTTACGTGAGGATTTACATTATTCATCAAAATTCTGTCGCACTCAAAAATATTAAATTAAATATTTATTTATTTTTTTATTATACAAAAAAAATTAATTTTATATTTAAAATATCATTAATTTTATATCTAAATTTTTTACTATTTAAATCTCAATTCAAAATTCAAATTCCCGAACAAATGGACCGTCAATATTCTTTTTAGTAGCTTAATATAGGGTCGTGTAGATATGGATTCATATTGCGGTTGAAAGTAAGAGTTCTGTTTTTATATATTTTTTATTTTGGGTAAATTAGTTTTTTTAATCTCGTATACGATCTTTTTTATTATTTTAGAATTTTACGAAGATCATGTCTAAAAATAGTTTTATAAAAACATTTTTTTGCTAAAATAGTCATCCGATGATGGATTCGCTACGCTGATCTATTGTTGCTGACATGGCATTGACGCGGCTAACATGTCATTACCACGTAAATGCCATGTCAGCGACACTTAGAATTTTTTATTATTATTTTATAAAATATTTTGATAAACTATTTTTTTAGTCGCATATATGACATCATTTATTAATTTTAGGACATTTAAATGGATTTTGTCTCAAAACAGTCATGCATGTAAAATTTTTTGCTAAAATAGTCCTCTACGTGACATCTATATAGCGATGACATGCTAGCCACGTCAACGTCGGCTGCCAACGTGGCAAGTCCAGCACCGGAGGACCATTTTAGCGAAAATTTGTTATTTACGGAACTATTTTAAAACATGATTCACTTAGAGTTCTAAAATAATAAAGAGGATCAGATATGAGACTAAAAAAACAATTTATTCTTTTATTTTTAAAAAAATATCAAATTAAATATTTTTTTGTTGTGATTTGAAATAATTATTTTTACAATAAAAAATTTAGAGAAAAATGATGAATATATTTCTCTATCATTGTTGAAATTTGGCTTGTTTGTCCAATAACTTTTGTACCAGACAATTTTTAATATTCTTTCTATTACATTTCAAATAGGTCTTTTGAAATTACGTAATAAATTAAAAAATAATAATATCTTATTCGTTTGTTAAAGTGTGTGATGGTATTTTTGTAATTTAGATAAAAATTATTGGACGAACTATAAAAAATACTTTAAATTAAGACAAATGGAATTTATAATTAAATTTTTTCTCACAAAAAATCACATTCAATACAAAATATAGAGTTATATATATATATATATTAATATGCGATTTTCTATGTCTCATATAAAAAAAAAATATCTTATATCGAAATAGTAAACAAACAAACCCTTCATCTTTAGCTTATATATAAAATAATTCAAAATATTACTCCCTCCGTACCACATAATTTGTCTTTATTTTTTATTTTCGTTTGTTCCACATAATTTGTTATTTTTTTTTTTTGAAAAATTGATTATACACTTTAATCATATTTTAAAATTTAAAATTTAATTTTTTTTAAAAAATTTAATTAAACTATTTAGTTATTTTAATCTTAATCTATATTTATTTTTATTAAATAATAATTATTCTTCCTAACATATTTCTTAATTACTTAAAAATTATATTTTATCTAAATTCTCGTATTTACGGCAGTCATCTTATCTATCTAGGAAGTAGGGAGTAAGATAATTAGCGTGGGTTTCTTCAAAGTAGTAAAAATTAAATTGAAATAATGATTTATATGATATAAATTGCATTGTAAAGTAATATTTTGATATATTAAAAAATTAATAATAATACATACGTTTGGTTGCTCTTTGAAATTGATTTGAGCAATGTGTTTACTTAAATTTTTAATAATATATTTTTAGTAAAAATCATGTTGATAAATAGTGATAAACCATTGATAGTTTTATTTTTAAATTACAATCAAACATATATTTATATATAAAAAACAAATGATTTGAATATTGATATTATATTGGTAATTGATAAAAAGTTAGATAAATGATTTTTTTGCCTTTGTGAGTATAGTAGTGTAAAATATAGTAAAAATTGTGTAATAATAATGAAAAAGCAAGAGTGTGGATAATTTTACGGTTATTTATGAAAATGAGACCATTGTCTTGGGACGGGATAAAAATTGTAAACAAGACTATTGTATTGGAACTTAGAGATTATATTGTTAAGAGAAATATTTTTTTTTTTATTTTTTTTTTAATAATTATATATATATATAATACAAATCAAAGTAGAAAAACACATCCGTTGACTTTTCGTATTTGTTTAGACAAACTTTTTTTCATTGTGCACATGCACTCTGTGGATCGCTCTATACTACCAAATTATTAGGGTGTGTTTGTTTGGAGTTTGGATTTTGAATTGGGATTTGAATAGTAAAAATTTTGAATTTGAATAGTTGTATGATGTGATATTTTGAATGTAAAATTAATTTTTAGTATAATATAAAAAATGAAAAATAGGTGTTTGATTTCATATTTTTTGGGGAAAAAATGAGATGAATAATGGAAATTAAATCCAATCCCCCAAACAAACACACTTAAAAAAAATTATTAAGTATTTATTCAGTTTAAATTAATTTATTATATTTGCTGGCCTAGATAAAGACGTTGAAGCTTCTTCATTCCTATTAATTTATAATAATAATAAGGTTAAATTATACTCCCTTCGTCCATTTACAAAGTTTACATTTATTTTTGACGTATTATTTAAAAAATAATAGTATTTTAAATATAGTGAGTAGTTAAAAATAGTGTAACGATATTTTTGTCCTTACTTTTTTTTGTGTAAAAGTAATGATGTGATGTAAAATAAGAGTATTTGTGGAAAAAAGCTGAAATGCTAACTTTGTAATTGTACGTCCCAAAATAGAAATATGTAAACATTGTAAGTGGATAGAGGGAGTATAACATATGTTTTACTAAAAATGTATAAAAATATCTTGTGTTTTATTTATTATGTGAAACTCTCTTGTGTTAATGGAAACTTTGTATAAAACATTCTCTTTGTCCAAAACTGATGTTTGGTTCGAAATAAAGACTTAAATTACGTAAATTTTATACAAATAAAAAACATAAAATATTTTAAATAATTTTTTTGAATAAAATAAATAAATAATAATTGATCAATCATTTATTTTTATAATTTTTTTATAAAAATCAAACAACAATTTGTCTCCAAAAACTATAAAATGAAGGATTAATAAATTATTTATTTATTTATTTAATGCAAAGATATTTTGCTCTTTTTTTTTTTTTTTTTGTATAAAACTTGCGTAATTTAGGTATTTATTTAGAATTAAATATCAGTTTTGGACAAGAAGGATATTTCGTGCAAATTTTACATTAACATAAGGGAGTTTTACATGATAAATAAAACACAGAGTATTTTATGCATTTTTACTAAAATATAATGGAATGTTATATAATTTACAGTATATTTTTATTATTTTAAATAAAGAAAAATAAAAAAGGTTTATACACAAGAAAAATTGGGACGGAATTTTAATACACTATATGTGTTAGCTTAATGATTTTTTATTTTTTAATATTTAAAGAGTAAATTAAATGTAATTTTTATGAAAGGATACTTATAAAAAAATGTGCTTACTTGTAAAGTTTTGACTCTGATTTTATCATTTTAAATATATATATATTTTAAAATATTAAATTAAATATTTATTTTTTATTTATTATACTATTTATTTTTACACTTACAATATCATGTCAACACGAATTATATCAAATTAAATAATTATTTTAAATTAAAAATAAAAATAAAATGGGTGACATGAAAAGTAATACATAATAATAAAATTTAAAAAAAAAAGTTTGATTTGAAATTATTTTTTTATAAGATTTTATTTAGATAATATTTTAATATATAATTAAAATTTACAAACATCATAATAATCAAATTTTGTTAATAATAATAATAATAATAATAATAATAATAATAATAATAATAAAATCAAGAGGAAACTTACATGGTACCTAACAAAATTGAAATCCCTTTAGTCAATTTTATTTAATTTTATAATATGTATGTATATATTTTATTATTTGATGTATAAACTACAAGGTTTTTATTTTCTTTGTATTTTTATTTTTAAATTGGAAATATTTGCACTTGTTATTTTCTTCGGTCGAATTTTATCCGATATTCATATTGTATATTAATTTTGTCTAAAGAAAAAAGTTATATTTTATTTAAAAATGGTAAAAATAGATACTTTTAGATAATAGTTTTTTCGTCCTAATTAAAGTTACATAATTTTTTTGATATAGACCATACTTTTTAAAAATTAAAAATAGTTAAAAAAATAAATTTTTTATATTGATGTTTATTTTTTCTTTCTAAACTTTTATTATTATTACTCTTTTTTTTATTTATTTGTAAAAATATATTATTGTCTCTAATAAACATAAAAAAAGTTATTAAAATATACTACCTCAATCCCATAACAAATATTCATTTTTCCATTTTAGTCTGTCCCATAACAAATACTGTCTACCTAACAATGTCATTATATTTACATCATACATACTAATAAATAAAATTATTTTAGTCATTTCTATTTTATTACTATTATATTTTAATATAATATTAATATTTTTAAAAGTACGTGAAAAAAACAAATGAATATTGAGTTTCGGGACCAAAAAAATATAATTTATTTATTTATTTTTTTAAAAAAAACAAGCCCATCAAATTCACTTAAATGACTTTCAAAATCCAATTAATGACAGATAATACTAATTAGCTGTTCTACACATTATTACAGCTTTCATTCCCCAAAACACACATAACAAACCTTGGAAAGAAAAACAAACAAACAATCCTTTAAATAGTCAACTTTCTCTGTATTCCCATCACCCCCCCCCCCCCCCCCCCATGTATATACAGAATGAAAACACCCCATAAACACCAGTGAGATTGAGATTTGAGAAAACACAGATCAGCCATAGCTAGATCCACCCAAAAATTTCCAGGTAACAAAAATTTTCCATTTCTTCCTCAATCAATCGGTTTCCAATCGATCAATTCGTGTATATACGCACGAATCCGTGTGCATTGACGCTGAATTGCGATCGTCGTCTTCCCCAGGAAGAAATCCCCAATTAAAAAAAAAAAAAAAACCCTAACCCTAACCCTAATTCAATTTTGGGGATGAACAACCACTGGGGCGGGTCGCTGGAGATCCACGAATCGACGGCGGCGGCGGACGACGAGAAGAGCCGCAACATGGATTGGGATCGGGCGTCGATCTCCCACCATAGCAACCTCGACGAGACGCAGCAGAGCTGGCTCCTCGGCCCCTCCGAGAAGGATAAGAAGAAGAAAAAGTACGTCGATTTTGGGTGCGTCGTCTGCAGCCGCACCGCCGTGAAATGGACCGTCTGGACCGTCGTCGCCGCCTTCGTCGTCATCGCCCTTCCGATCATCATCGCGAAGTCTATTCCTAAGCACCGCCACCGCCCGCCGCCGCCGGATAATTACTCGCGAGCCCTCAGTAAAGCGCTCCTCTTCTTCGACGCTCAGAAATGTACGCTCTTCTCAACAACCCTTCTTTTTTTATTTTTTATTTTATTTTATTTTATTTATTTATAATAATAATAATAATAATAATAAATTTTGATTGGTTAGTGAAATTGATAAGTGAATTATTAATTGGGTTAGGAAATTGGAAATTGGTCAAAATCAAACGGCTATTTATGCATGAGTCTTTTTATTTTAGGTTTTTTTAAATGCATTGACTTTTAAAGTAATATTCTATTGTAACGTGTATACGAAAGTGTCGAGACGTGCATTATAAATCTAGTAAATCATAAGGGCTTGTTTGTTAGGTTTTTTTAGTTTTGAAGTATTCTTGTTATTAGTTATAATTAATTTTCTAGGTCTTTAATTAAATTTATGAATAATTTATTTATAATAAATAACTTGATTCACTTATAATTATACTTCCACCATCCCATATTAAACTATTCATTTTTGTCACATAACAAAATATCTATTTTTTTTTAGTAATTGTACTATCTACCTAATATTATAAATACCCTTACAACTTATAATATATTAAACAAATATCATTACTTTATATCACACGATATTAATAAGATTATTTTAGTCATTTTTACTTTATTCATTCTACATTCTAATGTAATACTAATATTTCTAAAACTTCGTGAAAAAATAATTATTTTTATTTTAATAAATAATAATTAATCTGTTATTATTGTTTTTTTATCAATTATTTTACTCCCTCTGTTTCATGTAAAGAGTAGTATTATATTGGATTGCAGTAAAAATTAAATTAGGAAAGGATACCCTTATTTTTGAGACGGATAAAATGAAAAATGAAACTTTTAATGAGACAGAGGAAGTATAAAATTTATATAATATCCAAAAATGAATATTTGATTTAATATTTTTTAAAGAAAAAATTAAAATAGTAAATAAAAAAATCACACACATTATGTTTATTGTTTTTGTAGGAATACTTTTTAGATACAAATAATTATTCAATATTATGAAAAAGTTTGCAAAGAGATTCTTTTAAGGAAAATACAAAATCAAATACTAATAGAAAAGTAAATTTAAAAATACAAAGAATAGACTTTTAAATTTATTTTTTAAAAAATTATTTGATTTTATATATTTATAAAAAAATTAGTACTATATATAATATTATATTTTGAATTAAAAATTGTAATAATATACTGTATTTTAGTGAAAAATTATATCTTATTATTATACAAAAATAATACTTCTTCCGTCCCAAATATTATGTCCACGTTGCCGTTTCTGTCCGTCTCACATACCATCTCACTTTTCTTTTTTAGAAAATGATTACACACTTTGATCTTATTTTAAATTTTTTAATTTTAATTAAACTAATTAGTTATCTTAATCTTAATTTATAATTATTTATATTATAAAATAATAATTTTTACTAATATATTTTTAATTATCTACTAATTATACTCCTCTTAAAATACCGTGTCTATAGTGTAGTAGTAATACGTAACATGGGACTGATCGAGTATATATAAAATATATATAAGCACACCTTCTTGTTAGAATTTTCACGCGTTTTCAAATTTACTCAATTAATTAATAATGGGCTTATTTGATTGGCTGTGCTATCACGTCATCAATTCCGTCAGTGGCTATTGTTCTTTTAAGAGCGCTACTTTCAATTTTTGATCATATTCAGCGTTAATATAAAATTTGCACCATAAATTGTCAATAATTAATATTTGATTTTAAATAAATAGTTTAATATAGATAAAAAATATAAAATATTTTAAATAATTTTTTTAATAAAATAATTAATTAATTAATCTTTTATTTTATAGTTTTTGGAAATAAATTGTTATATGATTTTTATTAAAATTATAAAAATAAATTATTGATCAATTATTTATTTTTTTTTATTAAAAAATTATTTAAAATATTTTATATTTTTTTATTTGTATAAAACTTGCATAATTTAGGTTTTTATTATAACCAAATATCATTTTTGGATAATAGGGTGTTTTGTGCAAACTTTACATCGCAGTAAATAAAATACTGAGTGTTTTGTGTATTTTTACTAAAAATACGTGGGGTATTATATAATTTACCTTAAATTTAATACTCTCTCTCCTTTTGAAAGGGTCTTTTGTAAGTTTGTAGTAAATTGAAAAATAATACTCCATAGTATTTTATTGGTTAGTTGAAGTGTATAAAAAAATTGACATTTTTTGTATAAAGTAACTGCATGTGTAATAGTATATTTACAATTCAGATAAAATTGAAAATATTTTGATATTAATATATAATTACTTTTACTTTAAAAAAAATGCTACTTTTTAGTGAGACGAAAAAAATAATAAAAATAAGAAAATATATGATTAACAAATTTAGAATATGTATTTAAATATTTTTAAAAATATATCACAAATAAAAATATATGTAATATTAGTATTATTTTATAAAAAACAAGTAAATACTAATAAATATATTTATTATTTACAATTAATACTATAAACTAATTTTATAAAAGTTGGCAAATAAAAATATTTATTTTTTTAAAAAAAAAATAAAAAAAAAATTTCCAAAAAGAATAGTCTAATTATTAGTAATTCGGAAAATTGTGGGTGCAGCGGGAAGACTCCCGAAGGGATTCAACATCTCATGGCGAGGGAATTCGGGTCTGCAAGACGGGTCGGACAAACCCGAAATAAAAGGCGGGTTGGTCGGCGGGTACTACGACGCCGGCGACAACACCAAGTTCCATTTCCCGATGTCCTTCGCCATGTCGATGCTGAGCTGGAGCGTCATCGAATACCCCCACAAGTACCGCGCCGCCGGCGAGTACAGCCACGTCCGCGGCCTCATCCGGTGGGGCACCGACTACCTCCTCCGCACCTTCAACTCCTCCGCCGACCACATCGACAAGATCTTCACCCAAGTCGGCGGCTCCCAGAACAACTCCGCCGTGCCGGACGACCACACCTGCTGGCAGCGCCCGGAGGACATGGACTACCCCCGCAAAACCCTCGAAACCTCCTCCGGCCCGGACCTCGCCGGCGAGATCGCCGCCGCGCTCGCCGCCGCCTCCGTCGTCTTCCAGGACGACCCCTCCTACTCGCGGCGGCTCTCACGCGCCGCCGAGGCGGTCTTCGAGTTCGGCCGCGATTTCGGGCGGCGGTCGCCGTACAGCCGGGGGGATCCGTACATCGAGCCGTACTACAACTCGACGGGGTACTACGACGAGTACATGTGGGGGGCGGCGTGGCTGTACTACGCCACCGGAAAATCGAATTACTCGGATCTGGCGACGAATCCGGGGCTGTCGAAGCACGCGAAGGCGCTGTACATGTCGCCGGAGCTGAGCGTGCTGAGCTGGGACAACAAGCTGCCGGCGGCGATGCTGCTGCTGACCAGGATGCGCCTCTTCCTCAGCCCAGGGTACCCCTACGAGGAGATGCTCAAAACCTACCAGAACGTCACCGGACTCACCATGTGCTCCTATCTCCAGCAGTATAATGTCTTCAACTGGACGAAAGGTACGCCATTTATACATACACACCTATGTATGTATATATATAACACATCCTATACCCTATCCTCACATATATATATATATTTACACACACAAATAATACATACACACGTGTGTGTATATATACTAATATATATTATGTGTGTGGGGATAGGGAGATGGAGTTTATTTGTAGGACGGAGGATCTAATGGGATTAAAATTAGTTTATTTGGGTTCGGATATTAAAAAAATAAATATTTTATTAAAAAACAATGATAAAAGTAAAAAAATTGTGAAATGTATTTTTGGAAATTAAACTAAAAATTAAAGTAAATAAGTGTTGAATTAAAGATAATAATTAATCGTTGATTTGTTGATTTTGACAAAATTAGTAATGAGATAAATTTAATAGAGGGACTTTAAAAAAAAAGTAAGAATAAATTAGATGGACGGAGGAAGCATATACACGCGTCATTTATGCGTACATACATATATGTGTATATATATATTCTAAAAATATTTTATGAAAAATAAAAAATTGCATTATATTGATCATTAAAATAAATGGTCTATATATGTATGAATAGCATAAAATAGACTCGATAGGCTCGATCTAATATACGAATCAGACTAAATCTAAAACTAAATATATAAAGTATCTAGACATATATGTTGTCTGCATTTCCATTAGGAATAGTGGTTTATATTTTGGAAAGTTTGTACTTTGAATTTTTATTTAAATTATTCTTTCATTTCATATCTATTTATCCGTTTGTTTTTTACACATGATTTTATAAATATTAGTATTATATTGAGATGTACTAAAAGTAAAAAGATTAAACTAATCTTATTAGTGTTGTATGATATAAATGTGATAGCATTTGTGTAATATATTGTAAATTAAAATAGTATTTGTAATGTTAGGTAAATAATATAGTTACTAAAAATATAAATAGATACTTTGTTACGAGACACACCAAAATAAAAAAATGAATGATTTGTTAAGGGACAGGGGTATATTATTTTGATGTTATATTTTATAAAAAAAAAAAATAGTAAATTTTTATTAGAACTATGGAGATTATTCATAATAATATTAATATATATATATATATTGTGCTGTCAATTTATGTGTGTAGGAGGAATGATTGATTTAGCCCGTGGGAAGCCGCAAAATCTTCAGTATATTGCTAACGCAGCGTTTCTATCGTCGTTGTTTGCGGATTATTTAAACGGCACGGGCGTTCCGGGTTGGCAATGCGACAATAAATTTTTCCGGATTTCTACCCTCAAGGACTTTGCTGCTTCCCAGGTATTAATATTACTATTACTACAACTTACATTGGCATGAGATCGTCGGCCTCATTTTCTCCGACGCCTCTCTTCAAAAGAACCCGAAAAATCTAATACGAAATAGATTTGTAAATTTGAAAATTTTAAATTTATTGCAAAAAATTATAGTAATAAAAAACTCCAATAAAGAATTATAGAAACTCGAAAAAATGAATATGAATTCAGATTGTAAGAACAAGTGAAAAAACGACACTTTTGAAAGAGAAAAATAAAAATAGACCTATTATCTATTTTATTTATTTATTTATTTTTTGTAATTAGTGTTTGTTTATTTTTTTATTATTATATTTTGTAATATTATATAATTTAAAATAAATAAAAAAAATTAATTATAAAATTAGATCAAAATCAGGTGGGATTTGAATTTCACATTATCCAGTAACTTAAATTTTATATTTCGGGTTATGTCATGTCAACCCGAAGCACAACATCCAACATTTACTTTGGTTTCGAATTTGGGTCGACCTGATTTTTTAAAATCTTGAACCTAAAAGTTTTCAAATCGAACTGATTCTTTACAATTTTTTTGTCGGATTCAATTTTGACATCCCTACTCTATATATATATCATTTATTATTTTTATAAGATAAATATATGTTTAATTCAATAGGTGACACTCGTAGACATTTTAGTCTTTATAGGAATAGGTCTATATCTAAACCATAATAGTTGAAAAAGTGACTTAGATATCTCAATATTGTTATTAATGTTGACATGATATATTTGAAGTTGATATGAATTAATCACTGTGATAATTTTTAACACTAAATATTGATTGTGTATTTAAGTTTTTTTTAACAATTCTTTGAATGAATATACAATAAAATCAAATGCACGGCAATATTTGCTGTTGAAAGTTATTATGTTATGGGGTAAATTGGTTTTTTTAGTTCCGGATCTAACTCCTTTTATCATTTTAGGACTTTAAATGAACTATGTTTGAGAATTTTTTTTTATTTTTTATTTTACAAAATATCTTGGTATTCTTTTAGTCATGTATATAACCCCCTTTATGATTTTTAAGGACATTTAAATGGACTCTGTCTGAAAATAGTTCTGCAAGTAAATTTTTTTTTGTTAAAATGGTCCTCCAATGTGGCTTCTACGTGGCGATGACATGTCTACCGTATCAGTGCCACGTTATCAACGGCAGCCAACGTGGCGAGTCCGGCACTAAATAACCATTTTAGTGAAAATATTTTACTTACGAGGCTATTTTCAGACATGATTCACTTAAAGTCCTAAAATGATAAAGAGGGTCAAATATGATACTAAAAAAATAATTTACCCTTATGTTACGATGGCCCACGTGGTAATATTTTATTACCAAAAGTAAATTTTAGGTGTCATATTCGACTTCATAATTTTTTTTCATATTTTTAGGCAATATTATTTCTCTCGTATCTTCTAATTGAAATTATCTTTTAAGTAATATTCTTCTCATAATTTTTTCTTTGTTTGGGATATATATACAGATAAATTACATATTAGGTGAAAACCCGCAAAATATGAGCTACGTAGTCGGATACGGATCCAAGTATCCACGGCAAGTGCACCACCGCGGCGCCTCGATCCCCAAGAACTCGGTTAAGTATTCTTGCAAAGACGGTTTCCAATGGCTTAACTCCCGGAAACCTAACCCTAACACCATTATCGGCGCCATGGTGGGCGGCCCAGATCGGTTCGATCATTTTAAAGATCTTCGAAGAAATCATAGTTACACTGAGCCCACTTTGGCCGGCAATGCCGGTCTAGTTGCCGCACTGGTGTCCCTAACCAGCTACGGCGGCGTTGGTGTTGACCGGAACACCATTTTTTCGGCAGTGCCGCCACTATATCCGGCCAATCCGCCGCCGCCGCCGCCGTGGAGGCCTTAAAAATAATACTTTTTTATGTGCTTGTTGGTTTTATGGTTATTGAGTTTGGTGGTATGCATATCTTGGATGTATTGTTTGTACAATACTTTATGCACATATATGAGTATTTATTGTTTAATAAATTTTGTATTAGTATTGATTATTTTGAATCGATCTTTTGGCTCATTGAGTGCTAATTAATTATATGTTGTTAAATTATCAAATTTTTTTCGTCAATTGTAAATGTATTACTTTATCCATTCCAATTTAAAATATTACTGTCTCCGTCCCAAAATTATAGTGTTAATGGGGTTGGGCACGAGATTTAAAAAATATTAATATTATATTGGTAGTTGGTAAAAGTATGAATAAAAGATTTTTTTGCCCTTTTGAATGTATTAATGTAAAAAGTAGTGGCAATTGTATAATAAAAAAAATAGGGGTAATTTTATGATGATATTGTTATTTATGGAAATAAGACTATTGTTTTGGAACGGACAGAAATGGTAAATAAGACTATTGTATTGGGACGGAGGGAGTATTTTTATCATTTTTTTATTATGTTACTTCAAAGTTTTTTTTTTCCTATTTTAGAAAAATTAATTATACACTAATACTAAAATACTTTAAATTTTTATTAAATTACAAATATACCATTACACATACAATTATTATATATATAAAGTCAAATGACAAAAATATCAAAAATTCTTACACACTTCCACTAAATAACAAAATACTACTCTGTCCTTCCAATTAGAAAGTATACATGTTTCTATTTTGGGACGTCCAATTACAAAGTAAATATTTCATTAAATACCTCATTTTTTTCAACAAATACCCTTACTTTACATTATATTATTACTTTTACTCCAAAAAGTAAAGGTAAAAATGTCATTACATTTGTTTTAACTACTCACTATAATTAAAATACTATTATTTCTTAAACACCGCGCCAAAAGTAAATATATACTTTGTGTGTGGACGGAGGGAGTATTATTTTTTAATATATTATAAAATTTCAAAAGCCTATGATTTGAGACGAATGAAGTTTAATTTTTATTTTTTTTTATGTAAATTTCAAATTGTTAGAAGTATCATATAGATATATAGTATAGGAATAAATGAATAATACATTTTTAATACTCTCTCCGTCCCAGAAGAAATATCTAGTTGGGAGTTAGCACGATAATTAAAAAATAATAATATTTAATTAAAAGTGAGTATAAAGTAGAATGTAAAAAATTAAAATACCTTTACTGAGTAATAATTAAGGATAGTTTAGAAAAATATAAATAATTTGTTATAAAATAAGACAATAATTATTAAATAAGAAAATAAAACTAACTCTCTAAGACAGAGAGAATATTTTGTAATACAATTAAATTATATTGATGTCATTGTTTTAATAATATGTAAGATGTAAATTTTTTTTATTTTCTTAATATTTACGTGGATCATAATTATTAAAAAAATATGAATTGGTTTTGAACATGATAAAAATAGCAAAAATGATATACTCGTTTTTTATTTGAGTATTGAATAATAAAATTTTAAATTGAAAAAATATTTAATGTGACAGAAATATATATTGATATGACATAAAATTAATTTTATTTAAGGGTTTTAAGGTTTTGTTATTATTATTATTATTATTTATATTAACAAGTAGAAAAAATTTGAGTAAAAACCTATAAACAAAAAGTGTTTTTTGTTTTTAGTTCATGTCCAAATCATCGTATTGAGAGTAATAATAAAACTGTATTTTTTTCGTTTAGGATAAATTGTACAGCAGATACAATAATAATTTAAATAAAATATAATTAGTAAAAATAATTATAAATTAATATTAAATAGTATTAAAAAATTAAATTTTAAATTTTAAAATATGATTAAAATATATAATTAAATATATATTTAAAAAAACAAATTATATGAAATAAATGAAAATAATAATAATAATAACTTGTATGAAATAAAGAGAGTAATATTTTTTATATATAAAATATTATACTCCTTCAGTCCCACATACCCTGTCCACGTTGCCGTTTTTGTCCGTCCCACATTTTTGTCACTTTCTTTTTTTGAAAAATGATTACACATATTTTAAATTTTTTTTTATTTTAATTAAACTAATTAGTTATTTTAATCTTAATTTTTAATTATTTATATTATAGAATAATTATTTTTACTAATACATTCTTAATTATCTATTAATTATACCCCTCATAAAATACCGTGTCTACAGTATAGGAGACACGATATATGGGACGGAGGGAGTATAAAGACGATACAAGATATTGTCACAATTATTTGATTTAAGTTGTTTACGTGTGTTATGGGGAGTTAAATACAAAAAAAGAATTCTTTTTTTTTTTCTTTTTTGAATTATAGAATATGTATTCAAGCCAAAGTAATCCTAAAGCTTTAATATGTTTTTTTTATCAAATTTTACTATTTGAATTTTACATTTATCGAAAAAAATATATATATATTTTTTCACAAAATATTTCATCAAACATTATTTTAATACTAAGCTCAAATCAATTTTTTTCAAACTCAAAAGATATATTGAGGTCGAACAAACATATACGCAAGAATATAGAGACACAATTTCGATTAAAATATATATATATATATACACACACACGGAGGTTTGAAAATTTGTTGGGCTATATATTGCATTGAAATCTCATAAGTGGAATTTTTTCCGCAGGTCCGTAGAAATAGAATTTATCTTGAATATTTAAATTGTACTTTTCTAGAGGCGTCAATTCGTGTTATCGGGTCGCGCTCGTATCGAGTTGAGTTATAAGTGTAACAAAAAAATTGTCAATTCGAATATGAGAATTGACTCGAAATTCTAAATCCGAACACACGAATTTTTTCAGATTGAATTCAAATTGATTTGATTTGATTCAGTTTCAGGTCACTCGGAACCGAATCAACCCGCCACATTAAAAAAAAATCTTTTTTTAAATTTAAATATAAATATTATAAATTAAAATAATAATTAAAAAAAATATCAATGGTTTATTTATTTAGTGTTTTGATTTGAATTTGTTTAATGTATAATATGAACAATAATAATAATTTATATTGAAGATTAATTTTTATGAAATGGTAAAATATATATTAAGAATTAAAAAAAATTATGGGCGAAGATATTATATTAAATGTCATTTTTTTATTATTACTTTAAAAAAAAATTCAAAACTTACAAAACGTTTTTCTAACCGAGCCTAACATCGAATAAAATACAATAATGCAAGGAGATTAACAGTAAGGGTAATTCGCAGCCCAAAAGGTACAACAATTGAAGCGCGGTCCATAAGTACAACAAGCGAAGCACGTAAAGAAAACTGAAATAGTAGCTCAATCGCTCAAATTACGACTTCTTGTCCGCAGCCATCCTACAGGCTTCTGTAATGCTCCCGAAATATTCTGACCAACGAATTTCTGCTTTGATTCAGAATTAGGAAAGTTAATGGCACTTTAATTCGGATTTCTTCGCAATTCCTTCCGATTGATAATCTATTTTCATCGTCAGGTGCGTAATTTTAACAGTTATGCTTTAATTTTTTTCCGAGAGCATGCATTTTTTCTATAACGAGATTCATGATTTGTTTTTTCTCCATTTGCATTGTATATGTGGATTAAGATTTTCCGAACGATTGCTGTGATACTGTAATTTTTTGGCTTTCTGCTATTAGGGAATTATCGTGTTTGGATTTTGATTTTTTGAGCATTTTTCGTTGGTTGATTATAGTTTAGTTTCCTGATGATAACATCGTGGAAGTGATACTGAATTTGTGTCGATATTTGTTTAGTTCCGTGGAGGCAGCGGCCTGGGTGTCTTTAGGAACTTTGAATAGAATGATTTTGTTCAGGTGATTGATAGTAGAAAAGTCAAAAGGTTGAGCTCACTCTTCACCCATATAACTAGAAAATTTTGGATTAAGATGTGGATTTGTTTAATTTTGTTTGAGTGTGAATCACACCTTTGTTTTTCCATCAACTATAGGTTGTTATTTCGATGTCGATCATTATTGGTGGAAATATAAAAGATAAGATTTCCCTTTTAGGGTGAGCTTGAATGGCTGTGGTACATGGTTATTTAAGTTATTTGGCTTACTAAAAATTTTGTTTCGAGATAGGTGAAAATTTGGCTTCATTGATTTTCGTTCATTTTCATCCAATACAGACAATTTTGTACTGCCAAATAATATCTTAAGATTCTTGCTAAAGTCCACAATGCTATAAAGAAAGGGTGTGTGTATGTATAGATAATGATGATCTGCTATCTTTTAAATAAATTTAAATCATAATGTCACTATATGTACATGTTTCAGCCATTTTTTAGGAGTTACTGTAACTAGGATTCAAATATTCTAGAAAATTTTTGTAGTGTTAGTTCATCCAACATGCCTCTTTTCAATCACCATTTTAACCACACCATTTCCCTGAGATATAACACCAAAATTTGTGGAAATAACTTCAAAATGCAAATCATTTTCAATGAGGAAGGCATACAGAATGATTGAATGCAGAAAGGTGATCCTGTAATTTACATGGCATCGGAAAATTTCTAAGTACTTTGCAAAGCATAACTTTGGACATTTGTATGATTGAACTATAATTTATTCTGATTCTTTTTCGAATCATCATCTCCAGGTACCAGGTGATGTGTTGAAGACATGCTTTACAGAAACTTTTTCATGACCCAATTTGATTAAGAGCTGGTTACTGCCCTCTCATTTTTGCCTCATAAGCAGTCTGAATTCTGTTGTTTCAAACTGGCTGTGGTCATTTATTGGGTTGTTCTTGGATCTGCTGCTTTAGTTATACTCCTATTCCTCCATAATGACTTCCAAAGCAATGCTGCGAAAGCGAAAATTCATTCTTGATTCTATTAAGCAATCCCATCACTGGGTTCAAGGCACTTTATGTTCTAAGCATGAAAATTTGTTCGAGATTCCTAACTCAGGGAATCTGTTTGGGCCCAATAGACATTTGCAGCCGTCTGTCCTTTCTAGTGAGAAAAAAGATTTTCATCCTGTAACTAAACAGACAAGAAAGTCTATTTCTACAAAGACTTTCGTTCCATACAGCTCTTATGGTGGTCCAACTTTGTCATGGGGGACTAGAGTACCTGGAGAGTTTACCTCTTTGGGATTTAGGTGGACAAGAGAGTATATGCGTTCACTTTCTACTGCTCCTGCTGGTCACCCAAAACTAGGAGATGGTGATGATAAGGATGGTGAACTGACTAGTAAGAAGAAGGAACCTTCAGCAGAAGAATGCGATCAGGCAGTTGAAGGTTTGAGCTCTGTCAAAGCCAAGGCACAGGCCAAGCAGCTGCAAGATTCTCAAAAGGGAGCAAATCTTATTTTGAAAAGGGTGTGGGCTATGATTTTAGGGATTGGCCCCGCTTTGCGAGCTGTTGCTTCTATGAGCAGGTCAACTTTGGCATTTCTGTAAAAAAAATTTCTCAAAAATAGTATCTGACTGTGACTTAATCCATGCTATTATATAGGGAGGATTGGGTAAAAAAATTGCGACACTGGAAGGATGAATTTAAGTCTACAATGCAGCATTATTGGTTGGGCACAAAGCTCCTGTGGGCTGATGTTAGAATTAGCTTGAGATTATTGTTGAAACTTGCTGGTGGAAAGTCCCTATCCAGGAGGGAGAGGCAGCAGCTGACACGAACGACTGCAGATATTTTCAGGCTTGTTCCTTTTGCCGTCTTCATTATTGTTCCATTCATGGAGTTCCTGCTGCCAGTATTCCTGAAATTGTTTCCTAACATGTTACCATCAACATTCCAGGATAAGATGAAAGAGCAGGTACAATTGTAGGCGTATAATATTTCGATTTGTGTTTAAGATGATCATGCTGTTTCCTTTGTCTTACTTTTGTGACCTTTTTTTAACCAAGTTTTCAGTAATCTTCAGTAGTTTTGGATCCTTTGGGAGTCCAGGATGTGTCTGTTTATGGTTAGAATTTTGTTAGAACCAAAGGGTTAGTAGAGATTGAGAATGCATGTCGCTACTGGTACATATACAAGTTGTTAGAAGCCGTAATATTTCCTTGATATCTAAAACAGTTGTAAATGCTAACATTTGATAATACCATACCAATTGCAAAAATGCATCAACAGATCATCCTAAATTTTTTGTCTTCTGATACAAAGTAGGTAAATGTCTACTTTAAAGAGTCTTGAAATTATGAATTAAGAGATGCTCAATCCAATAGGTTCTTCTCCTCCTTGTTCTGTCTGGATTCAGAATCCCGATATAATGCCAGCAGCAGAGACCATGGTCTATAGAAAAGGTCTCAATGTGCACCATTACATTATACAGTATGCTCTAAAATGTACATAGGATGACCGGTGCTGTTCACATGAGTATATATTTCCCAGCATATTAAATATTTCATAAATTTCGGTTGTTCCAGGTATCACTATTTAAACTAATATTATTGAACTGTAGTTCCTTATATGTATGCCACAAAATCTTATTACTGTTTATCACGGAAGACTCTAAATTGTGAGTTAATGATTACTTCCCATCTCATCTCTTGTTGGTGCAGTTTGATTTATTATCATCCCCAGTATCTTTATCTATGCCCTTTTTAACATAATTATTTTGATTAAAATTCTTTGAAACGTAGGAAGCCCTGAAAAAAAGGCTAAATGCAAGAATAGAATATGCTAAGTTTCTGCAAGAGACAGTAAAGGAAATGGCAAAGGAAGTTCAAAATACAAGAAGTGGAGATATAAAGAAAACAGCTGAAGATCTTGACGAATTCATGAACAAGGTATGAAGCTTGTATGCAAAAAGAATTGTTATATTTCAAACATCATGTTCTCAAACAGGTGCTACGCCTACATTTCTTTCAGCAGTTATGTGATACTTGTTTCTTATGGTGTCTTTGCTCCTGAATAAATGTTTTATGACATTTATCCAGGTCAGGAAAGGGACACCTGTTTCCAATGATGAAATCTTGGGCTTTGCTAAGTTGTTCAATGATGAGCTCACTCTTGATAACATTAGCAGGTAATTCAATCCTGAAATTGTCTGGTGGTGAAATCACTTTTGTGTGAAAGATTCTTGATGCCTTCTTGAATACAGATCTCGGTTGATGACAATGTGCAAATATATGGGTATCAATCCTTACGGTACTGATGCATATCTGCGCTATATGCTTCGAAAGAAACTTCAGAAGTAAGTTATTCTATCCTAACCTGTATGATTCTTAACAATGTGTAAATATATGGATTTCAGTTTTTATAGTATTGATGCATTTCTGCTCTATAGCTTTGTAAGAAACTTCAGAAGTTACATGCTTTCTCTGACTACATCAATTCATTTGTTTGAAAGGTATTTGCTCCTTGATATTTTTTGGAGAGAAACTGAGAATAGAAAAGTATGAATACAATTCTATTCAATATTTGGTATACTTGAACGTCACAAATTTACTGCCTTCTATCAGAGAGATGAAATAACAGTTTTAATTTAAAAATATCTTAACACATTAAGTATATCTCAATAACCTAAAAAATTACATTTAAACTCAATATAAACTTTGAGTGATTATCCAACACTCTACCTCCTATGATTTTGTGATAGTTAGAGGAGGCAAAGGGAAACTTTGGTAGATGAAGTTTCTGTCCTCCAGCCTTGGTGGTCATAGAGTTTAAGTCAGCAAGAGTAGTGAGAATTAAGTGTTTATTGGGCTGCATGCCGGGTACTATTTGTACTAGACATCATTTGTCCAAATAAAAATTATTTGTGAAGCTCATCATATCAAGTTTGAGGAAAATCTGGGTGGTCGTGTTAAAATTTTGATTGTATTGATTTTCAATTAATATGTGTTTATTATGAATATAATTCATCTGCTTTGAAGTTTTTGTAATATAACTTTAGTCTAGATTTGTTAACATTAAAAATTAATTAGTCTATTATTTCTAAAAGAGTCAGTTGGTTTGGATGCAAATTCTGGTGTAAAAATTAATTATCTGTTATTTCTAACAAATTCAGATTTGTTCCTCAACAGTGATGAACTGTAGTTTTGTTACATTGTTCGACATATTTATTATTTCACTCAGCTGAAATATATGTATTATTCTACTAGTTTGATTGTTTGGCTATTAGAGATTAATGGAATAAAAGTGGAACTAACCAAAAAAATCTTACAACAACAAACTATTAAGACAGGATTTAATGCAAAAAAATAGAAGACAACAAGAGAACACAAGATTAATGTGGAATTGAGAAGAACTACTGGAGCATGGACCGGAGAGGTTAAATTGTAACATTGATATTACCTTTCTCCAAGTTCTGATCTACTTTGTTTCTGAAGAACATTCTGATATTTACGCATGCATGCAGCACAGTGCGCCATGGGAACAAAGATGATATAGAACATGTTTTCAGCATTTTTTTAAGAGAACCTAGTTTCTTATAGGCAAGTTTCATTTGCTTTATTCATTTTTTAATGATCTGATTACTTGCAGAATAAAGGAAGATGATCGAATGATTCAAGTTGAGGGCATTGAGTCCCTTTCAGAGGAGGAGCTGCGCCAAGCATGTAGAGAACGTGGATTGCTTGGACTCCTCTCAGTTGATGAAATGCGAAAACAGGTCCTCTCTCTCTCTAAGTATGTTTTATGTTAAAAGAACTCGTTACTAATGATTGGTACTGTGAACTTTAACCTTCCTAAAAATGTCTGCTTACCCAAGCACCTCAAATATGCTCATAGTGATCAGGTATTATCTGGTGACTGGTGCCTTCATATATTTCTGGTTGCAGAATTGCCAAGAACAATATAAAGATGAGGGTTATATCTACTTTGTATTGAACATTTAAATTTCTTGCTTATGATACTTACTATTATCTTCACAAGGGAGGTTAAGTTAACCTAACGTAGTTTGTAATCCCTTTTTTCTCTAGTTCATAACTATGATGTGATCCAACAATTATATAATGGACAATTGAGTAGCATCACAAATTGAATTCTTGGAGAATATAACAAGGTTTATTCAAAATGGCTATCAAAGTAACGGAACTCTGCTTATCTACTTTACCATTAATTCAACTTTATGCTTTTATTTCTGTGTCATATGCTACAACACAAATAGAGTTTCTTTATGTTTATTGTTTGGCGCATGTGTTTAGTTCTCATAATTTTAAAGTTGTTCTAACAAACACAATTTTATACAGTTCTCTGGTATTAATTGTAGTTATATTACAGAAAGCTCTCTTCGGCTGTCCAGATTATCATAATGGATTTTGTTATATGTTACTGCAGTCATCCTAGATTAACCAGGAGTTTCATAATTGTGAATGTGATTTACATTTACTTTGCAGCTACAAGATTGGTTGGACTTATCTCTCAACCATTCGGTCCCATCATCTCTATTAATTTTGTCAAGGTAATCAGACATTAGCTATCTATATCAAAATGGAATTCTGACATATGTGAAATTAATGATTTGATGACACTTTCATACAGAGCATTTAGTGTCTCTGGTAAAGTGAGGCCTGAGGAAGCTGTTCAAGCTACGCTTTCTTCTCTTCCAGATGAGGTGGTGGACACTGTTGGGATTACATCTTTGCCCTCCGAAGATTCTGTCTCAGAAAGGAGGAGGAAGTTAGAATTCCTGGAAATGCAAGAAGAATTAATCAAGGTAAGATTATCATTTGTAAAGAGGTGCCCAGAATATTTTTATCTGAATGATAGCTGTCTCAGATTCTTCTTCTGATCAGCCAGTGGTCTTAGATAGCCATGCTTTCTCTCTATTATTACCATTTAGTTTAATTAATAATATTAGTGTAAATCCAGAAGTTTCACTTTCATTTCAATGATCTTTCATGTGGTTAGCCAAGAAATATTTTGCAGCTGTAAAATTAACTGCACCTATTTACTTATTTAATATTTAATACTTATCCTTTCAGTGGCAATTTATCCCCAAAATCTCTCAACAATTTCATGTGGAAATGCTTAGTGTTTAGGCCCTACTTGCAAGGCATTTGACAAATTTAAGAGCACTGGTTTTAAAATTTGTTTTGCAATTATACCAGTAAAGATTTATTTTTAAATTTCCTTGTTTTTCTTTTACTGTAATTTTTATCTTTGTAGGGGGTTTATGGTGTTCCTAAATTTGTTTTTCCAGGAGGAGGAAGAGAAAGAGGAGGGGGAGCAGGCTAGGTTGAAGGAATCTGTTTCAGGACAGAAAGATGTGGCCTTGGAAGAGATGGTTGATGCAACAGCAAAAGAAGCAGAAGATCGTGAAATGACAAAAAATGTGGATAAGCAAGAACAACTTTGTGAGCTCAGTCGTGCATTGGCTGTATTAGCATCTGCATCAGCTAAGATCTAATACACTTTCTTTTGTCTTTCTGTTTTACTTGTTTATAAATATCTAGTGCCATATAATGTTGATCCTTTTCTTCTTTCAGTCTGTGACAAAGGAACGAGAGGAGTTTCTTGGACTTGTTAACAAAGAGGTAGCTTTAGTTATTTCCCCTTTTTGCTTTCATTGGCACAAAAGTGATAAGCTAAACAAAAATAACCATCAATCTAAATTTTCACATGTCTCAGTTTTTTATTTACTTTGTGTTAGTTCATTGAAATTCTTGCCCTTATGTTGGTTGTAGCTGACTTAAATGCATTCCGATCATTCATGAAACTTCTCACAAGTTTCAGTCCATTTTGTCCTTTCTACTTTCAATGTTCCTCAAGTTGATTTGGATTCAGCCTTCTTCTATGAAAACAAAACTGATGGTTACGAGGAAATTAGTGCTCACTCAATAAGAGCTAAATGTGTTCTCGTGGTATTAAGTTTCTTATCTATGTTGGCATTTCTCGTCTTCTTTCCCTTTTATCTTTAACCTCAATGTTGGGGTTTCAAATCCAAGTCCCACATTGGAAGATTTGAAGAAAATACACCTGTCCCACATGAATTCCACTAGTATGAGGTCTTTTAGAGGAAGTCCAAAAACAAATCCGTGCGGGTCAGTCTAAAGGGAACAATATTATATTAGTGTTGAGTTGACCCAGTTCCAACAGTGGTATCATAGAGCCCGGTTCATTGGTAGAGTAGACTGGTTTTTGTCGGACATTGGTTGTGGTTGTAGGAAGTCCTCGGGGTCTGAGAAGTGCCTTGTGTCGAAAGTCTCCTGGTGGCATTGGGTCCCGACAATTGTGGTTGTAAGGCAATGGGTCTCTTTGTGATAGGCGGTGGAAGGTGGGAAGGGAAGACCATAGGTTGGTCCTTGGTTTGAGGGGATGATTGTTGGAGTGCAAACCCAAGTCGCACATTAGAAGATTTGAAGAAAAATCTACACTTTATAAGTCTCACATGAACTCCACTAGTATGAGGCCTTTTGGAGAAAGTTCAAAAATAAATTTGTGCGGGCTCAGCCCAAAATGGACAATATCATACTATTGATGAGTTGGTTGAGTTCCAACACTCACATAGACTATGGGTCTGCTTACTACACAGGATAGGATGGGATTATTTAACCCCCAATCCTATTTAGTAAACACACCCTATGTCTATAAAGCATGATTATACACTTCTTTACCTAGATGTTATGACTTTCACCCTGTCTCCATGATTTTTTTTTACCTTGTCTCCATGTTTATATATGCAGTTTTTATCAAAATTGTGCCATGCTCAAGAGTGGCTTTTCTTTATATATTAAGGGTGTGTTTGTTTGGGGGTTTAGATTTTGGATTGGGATTTGAATAGTAAAAATTTTGAATTTGAATAGTTGTATGATGTGATATAAATAGGGTTTGATGTGATGTTTTGAATGTAAAATTGATTTTTAGTATAATGTAAAAAATGAAAAATAGGTGATTGATTTGATATTTTTGGAGGGAAAAAATTGGATGAATAGTGGAAATCCTCCAAAATCCTTCAAACAAACACACCCTAAATATCATTGATATTCCATTTCACCAATGACGATTGAATATGCACTGTACATAACATTTTCTTGTTTCTCCGCTTCACTATGTTGATGCTAAAACTTCCAAGTGATGCTATTTTATTACTGGAGACAAACCCACTAAACATGTTATTTACTTCTGTGGTAACAAGAGCAATCAAGTGATCCGAGGCATTTACTAGTACACATTTCTGCTGTTCGGATGATCTTTTTAAAGTTCCATTTACTTACACTTATTTCTCCTGGTACAGTGGAATGCAAAATATCTGTTCTTTCATTTACCGTAGCAATTGTTTTTTTCAACTTCCATGATGCTTGTATAAAACAGATATTATCTTTCTTTTGTGATGCTTGTTAAGCTGAATGTTTCTTAAGAAGATTTTTAACATTTAATTTCGCTGTGGAATGGTGGCGAACTCTCTATATAACTCTAGAAATATGTAATCTACAGATAGATCTCTATAATAACATGGTGGAGAAAGAGGGAACTGATGGACAGGAAGCAGCCCGAGAAGCATATAGAGCAGCTAGAGAGGAAAGTGATCATGCTGCTGAGAGGGCTGCAGGTCATAAAGTATCTTCAGCTCTCATAAACAGGGTATGGTATCTTGCAAGGTTTTTGCTTTCTCATTCGATAGAAAGCCTTTTACTAGTTCTTTATTGTGTTGACTTCTTGCGACTCTTCTATTATTTGGTATTTCACATTGTTTAGGTTGATGCAATGCTGCAAAAGCTTGAAAAAGAAATTGATGATGTAGATGCAAAAATTGGCGACCGTTGGCGTTTGCTTGATCGGTACTCACTACAATCTGCAATAATTAAGCTCCTTGCAATTATATGTTCATATAATGTTTCAAACATTTGTAACCTCTGATATTCCTTGATGTCTTATATGTAATATCTCGAACCTGCCGTCAACTGCTAAAAACGTTTGATGTTCACTTCTCTATCACATGCTTAAGTAGCTATGACAGTTAAGAACCATTGCTAGTTTGTTTGAACACCTGTGCATCGTACTTTTACCCATCATCTTTATGGAATATGAAAGTATTCTAACTTAAAGCAAACTCTTCGAACACCATCTTCTACCTTATACCTGTTCATCTTCTCATCTGTCTCTCCACACAACAGTGGAAGGAAGAATAAATTTTGATGTCTTTGTGCCTACCTGTTAGCTAGTTTCTTCTTTTGATCATCGAATTTGGAGAAAGTGCAGGATATAATCAATATCTTCCCCTTTATCGCTAACTTTTGAACCAAGTTTAAGTTTCGTGAATTTAATGCAAACCGGTTGTGTTGTTGTTTAGCATTTGTTGCTTTATGGGATTTAGTGTAGTTGCGTAGATCCCCAGTGAAAGCTTTGCGTGTGGTTTTGTTTGCTCGATTTTTATTCATTCCACAACTCTATTTTAGTAACTAGAGTTTTGCAAATATGGCTATGGCTAGGGATTATGACGGTAAAGTGACAGCTGAGGAGGTTGCTTCTGCTGCAATGTATTTGAAAGATACTTTAGATAAAGAGGGAATTCAAGAACTCATCAGCAAGTTATCGAAGGATGCAGGTCAGTTATGCAACTTATGGTTTGTTTGCTTGTATTTTGGAATGCTTTTGATGTTCTGGATTGTTTCGGAGTAGAAAATAGCTGTTGAATGTGATTGTTTATTATATTGAGTTTAGTATTTATTGAAAATGATTTTTTTGGTTGAAAGAATTCTTTTTGGAACTAGACGATAAATTACACGTGCATAGTTCATAGGAGTTGAATCTTATATTATTAAAGCTACCTATTTACACCGGTGGATATATAGGATAGAAGGGCGACACCGTAGAAATTATGCCGAATCAATAATTTCACAATAATTGTAACAAATACTTTTATTTTGTATACAATCAATTATTTTGTATGTAATCAATTCTTTAGCGTGTCTTGAATAGACTTTGGCTCTGTTTACATAGTGATTTTTTAAGTTTTGGAAAATTTTGAAAATAATAAAAAATTGTATTTTTTCTGTAATATTTGATGAGAATAAAGAGTTATTTGATGTGGTGTGTTTTTAAAAAGTTACTGTCGACAATAATACCAGAACTTCCAAAAGTGCCTTTGAAATTCGACCTGAAAATAAGACATGCATATTGATTTGCCCATCGAAAAGACAACTCGATTTTGTAAAGATTCAACAAAATAATTACAAAAACATCGTTGTATATTGCCTTTTGCTCTAGGCAAAACCTCTTGTGGTTCTATGACTTTTCGCCTCCTTTCATCGTTTTCTTTGAATCTAATCGACATGATCTGCTTCTATAAATTCGACAGAGGGGAAAATCCTCGTGGAAGATATAATCAAGTTAGCCGAGAAGGCAGATGATGAAGAAGCTGCCGAAGCAGGAAAAGCATAGCCTATTCTATCGATCTCCATACACATTATTTTGTGCAACTTGCCGAGTATATCTCAAGTGAAACTATTGCAGACAAAGCAAACCTTTTGAGTATTTTTATCGAGCGCTTTCAAAAGAGGTACGTCGATAAATGTTGTTCTAAGCATGGTTTTAGAGAATGGGAACAACTTAGTTTTGCATATCTAAGAGGGGGAGAGTCCTTTTGTGATTTGAAATGAAATGCTTCTCTTAATTTCTTGGGTTCAAAATTCAGTATAGATTTGGATGATAGTCGAATCGTATTTTAAAATAAAATTATGTTGTTGAATTATGAGCCATTTGCTTCAAACATATATGAAGTATTATGAATTACTCTTATGCTGATATAATATTAATTATTATATTAAATTATAGTGCAAATTAAAAAAAAAAATTACAAAAATATTTTCATCAGTGTCTTATTAGTATATAATACTAATAGAAGAATATTTGTACAAAAAATAATTATACAAATATAAGAATTGTTTTTCATGTTAAGTACAATCAAAATGTAAATGTGACCCTTAGAAGCGGACGAAATGAATATAATATATGCCGGTAAAATTATGTCACTTTCTTTGTAATATAATACTCCCTCCGTCTCGTAAATATAGTCTTAATTGGGTTGGGCACGAGATTTGAGAAATATTGATATTATATTGGTAGTGGGTAAAAAGTATGGATAAAAAATATTTTTGCCCTTGTGAGTATATTAGTGTAAAAAATAATGATAATTGTGTAATAAAAAAAGGGTAGTTTTACGGAGATATTATTTATGAAAATAAGAATATTATTTTGGGACGAACAAAAATGGTAAATAAAATTATTGTATTGGGATGGAGAGAGTATATGCAATGTTGATTGTAATTAATCTCCATTGGATTGATAGGCACAAAATCTATAGTAGTAGGTTGAGCTATAAATGAACCAATTCATTCATGAACTTGGCTTGGGTCAGTTTGGTTGAAGCTTGTTTGTGAGCGTAAACAAGGCAAATTGAACAGCATAAATAGATTTGTTTTGTTAATGAATGAGTTCGAATTTTGTTTGCAAACTTTCACAAAAATTAAAAAATAAATAAATAAAATATTACTCTTTTCGGCCATTAAAATTATCCCATTTGGGCGCAGCACGAGTATTTTATTGAAAAAAATTATAGGTAGTTGAGAATATTTTTGGAAATGATTTATTGACTTTTGCCAAAATTAGCGATGAGATAAATTTAGTAAACGGACTAAAAAGGAAAATGGGAAAAAAATTGACGGACAGAGTAAGTATATACAAGAATTAAAATATATAATAAAAACATCATATTTATCCATGTGAGTTCGAATGAACTTATTCGAGCTGAATACAGATACAAGTTCAAACAATAAAATTGCTTTATGAACTGAGTTTAAACAATACAAACGACCTTGAATTTTAACGAACGAAAATGAATTTTGTCTATGAACGTTAATTAACGAAAACAACCACTTAAAACTTTTATTTGATTTAGTTCATTAACAACTCTGAGAAAGTATAAACCAATGTAATGTGTATATTAATATTATGCAAAATTAACAGTACATACTGATAATTTATACGTAGGTTAAATAGACACATAGCACATATAAAACATAACATAGACTACATTGGAACAATGTACACAATACATATTACTCCCTCTGTCCTATAAATATAGCTTAATTGGATTAGATACAAGATTTAAGAAATATTAATATTGTATTGGTAGTCGGTAAAAAGTATGGATAAAAGACTTTTTTGCCTTTGTGAGTGTATCAGTGTAAAAAGTAATGGCAATTGTGTAATAAAAATAAAAAACTATTGGTAGTTTTATAGTGATACGATTATTTAAGGAAATAGGACAATTGTTTTGAGACGAACAAAAATGATAAACAAGAGTATTGTATTGAAACAGATGGAGGGAGTATATTAATTTAAATTATGTATTGACAATTTATATTTTATATGTTAATTAGGACTAATCAACTTGTTAGCCTCTAATCATTCTCCAAAAATGTGTTAAAGAGCACTGAATGGTATTAGAGCATGGGTCGATTCGTGTCGGGTTGATTACTTTAAACGGGTTAAATTACTCAACCCTAACCTGACCCGTTTATTATCATGTCCGGTTCGGGTTGACTTGTGTTGACCTGTGTACATAATTAAGTCTAATTTTTTATTCAAATTAAATAATTTTTTGTTTTGTTGCCGTGTTATGTTAGTTTTTATTGGTTTGAGTGTAAATTAGGTTAATTATTTAAAATTGAACTTAGTTTAAATTAATTTATAAAAAAATTATTAAATTATGATTATTTTATATATAATAAATATATTAATCAATATTAATATATTATAAACGGGTTGTCGTGTTGGGTTCGAGTTGAGAGTCTCAACCCTAACCCGACCTGTTTATTATTGTGTCGGATTCGTGTCAACCCGTATACATAATCGGATTGAAATCTTTGACCCAAACCCAATTATTTGGTATCGGGTCGGATCAGTTTTTGCCAGCTCTAAATGGTATTAAAAAAAGATGATGCGCAAAAATCTTGAATTATATTGTAAATATGTTGAATGCTATATAATTAAATTGATAAATCATATCGTAGATTTTATTGAGTGATGCACAAGAAAACTAATTAATCATAGTGTAATTTAATTCTTTTTAAAATAAAATAAATTGTAGTATAAAAAAATTAATAAACTAATTAAAATATTTTAGTTACTTAAGGTGTTCGGTTTGTATTTTAATTATAAATTGTTTGATTTAAATAATTATGTGAATATAATATTACATGTACCATATTTTTATAAAGAATCAAAAGAGAAGTAAAGAAACAAAAGAAAGAAGAAAAAACTATTTTGTTTTGTGAGCTAAAAAAATTGTAATTTAAATTATACTCCAGTAGGTCCTTTTGATTTTCGATAGAGAATTTTAACTGGATAACGGTTAAAAGAAATAATTTGAAAATTAAATAATATAATGCTAAAAATATATATATTTATTTTTTATTTGAATGATGTATTGAATAAGTTAATTATACATTAATAATATATTTATAATTTATATAAAAATTAAAAATATTTTGATATTAATATATGGTTACTTTTGTTATATAATTAAAAAAAAAATTAAATAGAACAACCAATATACCTATCAATCCTAGCCAAAACCCTAATTATGTCCATATCTTGTTTATATTTGTTCCGATTTGATTATTGTTCAAAGTTGCTTCCTCCTTAATTGAATCTTAATTTAATTGATGATTCTTCCCGTTTAAAAATAAAATGAAATTTTAATTCATTGAAGTGACTATTTTATCCTCACACGATCATGTATTAAAATGACAAAAAAAAAGTGTTTATTATTATTATTATTTTTAATGACGTGAAATTCGCAACCACCACTCGAAAAATTCGCACTGAATAAATCCCAACCAAACCTAATACCCCTTATAAACTAAGCTTATTATTATTATTTTTACTTTTTGTGGACGAAGAGAGTATATGTGATACTTAATATATCAAATATTTTCTTTCTCCACCAAATTTATTTATTTAGTTATTTTCGTTTAAATTTACCCAATTTACTAAATTTAACAAAGTAAAAACATCAAACATTTAAACATTACCCTTCGACCAAAGTTTATTTAAAACATATATCACTAATGTGATTACATTCTCAATTTTCATCCAATTTAATTATTAACTAAATTTTCAAAAATACGACTCATAATTCAGAAAAAAAAAAAAAAAAAAAAAAAGTGAGCATTTACATAATAGCATTTTTGGTGTTATTATTGGTAATAATGAAAGTGTTTTGAGAATTACGACATTCGGGAGGTGGAGGTGGATGAAAATTCATATGAACAAAAAAATCAAAAAAATCAGAAGGGAAAAAAAAAAAAAACTTAACTCCAAAAGAACACATATCACATCATGCTCAAAATCTTACTTGGTAATAAAAACACACTATTTTCTCTCAACAGTATATTTAAAAAACTAACAAGAAAAATATTCCACCCAAACAATGTCGCAATTCTCAAAACACTTTCATTATTACCAATAATAACAACAAAAATTCCACAAAATATAACCCACTAAAAGAACACAACCTAAACTGCCAATGTAAAGGATGCAAAAAGCAAAACAGAAAACTACCTAAAGCTCGAAAATGGAGTGCCTCATTTTGACCTCTTATCAGCTGCATAAGCAGTCGACTCGATTTTAAATATAACCATTTGAAGAACAAGGAACTGGAGATATTAGATCTATCCTTCACATAAAATCGAAATACTTAAAACTGAGAAAGCTCGTGCATTATTTTATAAAAACACAGGAGCTACGATTCTGGACACAACCATGTAACAATGGAGAGCTTGCATCAAAATGAATTCATATTTCCCTTAGCATAAAAATAGATCAAATTATTGAAAGCCATTTTCTTACCATCCTCCATGATTAGGTGATGGTTCTAAGTTCCCCATGTCATCCAGTATTCCAGATTTTCTGTTATCTTATATATATATATATATATGTGGTTCCATTCCAGCATTTGTCTTCTCTGTTGCTGTCGAGCTTTTTATATTGCCATACTGTCAAAAAAATACGTAAGCTGTCATCAGTTTTTCTTAGAAAGATCACAATTAAATGTGGATGTTTCTGTGCAATAGTTTCATGCCCAACACATGATCGTTTTACATTATAAACCTGTCACAGAACAAAGAATATCGGAAATCGAAACACACAAGAAGGGTGCAGATACTGACTATAAAATGGAAAAATGAAATCAAATGCAGACCTAAAGTCGGCCTATCACAACAAATACGATTCAACCACAGTTCGGCCAAACTTTTGTTGAACATCAGCAGGAGTTTCAATCTGTAAGCAATGCACGAAAGAGCAATCAATCAAGAAATATTAGGGCGTGAGATTAAAGCAGTACAGCGTAGAGTGAATCGATCATGTTTACCGCATTCAGAGCCTTAAAGAGAGCCTTGACGGTGTTATGTGGATTCCTTGAACCAACAACCTAGAAGCGTGTTCACCCATTAGCACAAAGTAGGAGAACAGAAAACTTATTGCTCGAGCTTGTTTTCTACCTTCGACTTGACATTCTTGAAACCAGCTAAATAGAGAATTGTTTGTACAGTTTTGCCTGCTTTCATCCCTCTTTGGGTCTGAGCGGGCCAAAGGTAAACCTACAAATTTTCAGCTCAACAGTAAGCAACAAAAAGAGAACTACCTCCTTCACAATATAGTATCTTTACAAACAAAAGGAACAAGAAATATGTAGGGAACCTTAGTCTTTTTATACGTAGTATGAATTGCATGTCCGATTGTATGCTCCTCGTGCCGCTCTATATAATGGAGATTCTGAAAGCACTTCTCATGTGCCTATGGCAGGTCATACATAAAGAAAACAAAAGGTTAGAATGCCATAGTTATTCCGAATGAAAGTTCGGTCATGATAGATTATTTCAATCATTTCAAGGCTTTGATTGAATATATAGTTTGTCAAAAACATATACAGGTTCAAAACATATAATTGGTGCGCTATTATTTAGAAAAACAAGCAGCAGTATAAACTAGGCCTCTGTTTACTTGTGTTTTTAACTATATTGTTGGGCTATTCATACAGAAAATTTCCCCCAAAAATATCACATCAAGCACCTATTTTTAATTTGAAATATTACATCAAAAAATTACACTATTAAAAACATCACATCTAACATCTATTTTCCATTTAAAACATCACACTCAACACCTGTTTTCCATTAAAACTGTAATATTCCCAAAATAGCATAAAAATCATTCAAAACACAGCTAAACAAACGCTAGAATTTTTATGCATTCCTCCAGTATTGAAACTTTGAAAGTCGTAGCATGCGTGTGAAATTTAATTGAGTTATTTAGTTCAAAACTTTAGAGTAATTCTTAACAGAAACAGTAGTCTTGATACCTTTTGAAGGGCAACTGGAATTGAAGGACCCTTAGCCTTTGCAAAACCAATGACACCATTATAGTTTCCACAAGCCAGTATAGCAGTGTACTTCACAACTTGTCCACCCTGTTTCTTGTTTATTAGTTATATTCGCAAATAAATATTGTGTTAAGTGTATACAAGAAGACAACCTTACCTTTGTGACCTTACACGTTCTGTTGACATCAATAAGCTTCACATCAAAACCCTGCAACCATTAAGTGCAGATCATGTTTAGCAAATTATCAACATGAAAGATACGCCAGGGAATTAGGCATTACAGTTTTAACAAGTACAAAGATTATCATAATAAAACTTCATCTGCAATATATTTATATGCCATGAAACTTGCTTAAAAATAGCTCCCTGTCAAGTCAAGCTTCAATCAATAGAACCAACACAATAAGAGAATAAACGGTTGTAACAAAGGAGTGGATATAACAAACTGCACCAATATTTATTTCTGATACATAGCTGAGTGTGAGTTCTGCACTAGTACACACAATTCAGCACCCAGAGCTGGAATTTAGCATGAATCAATCACCATAAAAAGGACTTATGCTTGAAATAAAGAAAGATAGAATCCAGGCTGTAGGTGACCAAAAGGGTGAAACGGTGTTTCATATGAAGATTATGATGAGACGGAAAAAAATGGAAATAATTATTAACCATGGCAACAATCTCAGAATATGCCCATGTTCTCATTATATAACAGGTAAAATTTTATACAAGTGCCTAACCGCTACAGACAATCTCCTAAACTTTTGTCTTCCATCAGTTTCTAACTTTTAATTTCATTTACAGTGAAAGAGTAAAATGAACCTACAAATTTTTTACATTACCTTTAACTAATGAACTTAGATTAAGTGATTTAACTTTAAAAGAATGGGTGCAGCATGCTATTTCATTCCGGATTAATAGGCCACTCAAGTTCAGTTCTCACAAATAGAAATTATATTAGATAAGAACCAAATATCATAAAATTGCAATGTTTGGACACTTCCACTCCAATTCATATGGTGTAGTAAGTGGTAATACCAAGTAATAAATACGAAGAACATCCCATTGCACTTCTAATATGGGTTGAAGCCAAAAAGATAATCACAAGTGTACCGAAAATCCTAAGATAAAACAAGAACAGAGCTAAGGTATTACAGGGGCAAAGGCATGTGCTTACCTTCCTATATAGAGGCTTTCTCTTCTTCTCCGTCAAGGAGTTCCTCTCCTCAGCAAGATCTCTTATCTCCTCCTCCAGTAGCTTCCCTTTCTTTCCAAAAGTATGATCCAACTCTGCCAATTTCTGCTCAATTTTTTTATCTAATTCATTGAGCTTCTCCAGCAATATGTTATCTTTCTCTTTCAGATCATCAAACTCAAAGTCATCGTCATCCCCATCACGTACAGTTTGTTGCTCATTATCCAAATCCGCTTGCTCCACATGATCAACAGACGATCCAACTTGCTCATGCTGAAGGACCCCATAATTGGCAGAACCGTTAGGATCGAATGCCTCTTTCCATTCCACCTTTCTCCATGCTCTATTCAACTTCATCTGTAAAAGAAATTTCTCCTTCCCCTCAGCTACCTTTAACCTATTAATCAACTCACCCATCACCCGAAACTCTGGTCTCAGCCGAAAATGCTTCTCCTCAAATTTGTCAATCTTTTTCATCCATTTGGATGCCTCCGCAAGTGTCTCTGCAGAACTCTGCAAAGTCAGATAGATATGCAAATTGCCAAACAAAGAACTGATCAACTCCATCAATCATTCTTGTCTCATCTGGAACTCCTAAGCAAGAAAGTCCAAAGATCACAGATTTTCCCTTATTTCCCCTTACATCTTATACCACCATGGAACAAATTCATGATCAAGGCAAAGATAGAAGTTCACACACACAAATACATCAAAAAACTTAAACAAAACCACATATCCAAGCAAAGATGTTCAACGAAATTACGGACCAGCGTTAGCGAAATTGTCAAGCAGTTGCTCGAACTTGTCAAACTTCTTCTCGAACTGCTCCATCCGTTTATTCACCTCCGCGGGTGAATTCCTCTCGTCATCATCAGATTCGGAATCCGTCGGCTCCTCGTACCTGTGCAAATCCCGCGGCTCGCCTTTCGCTTTCTCCCTTTCCAATTTCTCAATTAGAGGACCAACGCCCATGTAATCCTCTTCCTCTTCCGCGTCGAGATCCTCAGTACTAAGTCCCGCTTTTATCCGCTCTTCCCTCTCCCGCGCTCTCTCGCGGATCGCTTGATTGGTGATATCTTTCAACGCGCGATCCGCCGCGGCCACACGAGCGTTTAGTGATAAACTCGAGAAATGGGTGCTGTAGTTTCTGATGATTCGGGAGGTGGAGGCGACATTTGAGGAAGAAAGAGCGGGTCGATATGGAGCGGAGGGGAGAATGCGGGGACGGCGGATTAGGAGGCGAGCAAATGACGATGAGTATCTCCTAATTGCGGCAGACATGGAGGGGCGACGGTAGCGGCGGCGCCGGCGGTGGCGAGGTGGAGAGGAATTGAAGGGTTAGGGTTTTTTTAGAGGTTTTGGTAGAATGTACAACGATTTCTATATCGTGTTTTATAGTACATAATAGTCGCTATGTTATTGGAGTAAATTATATCACTCCTATATCGTGATATTAAAAAATTAATTATATACAGTATTAAATAAAAATAAATTCTGTAGATGATAATTAAAAATAATAATAAATAATAAAATTTTATTAATTAGTGGGAGTAACATGAAGATTTTTGTTTTTTTTATTTAATTTATGTATAAATTAATTTTTATGTAATACTTTTTTCGTCGTCTTCTAAAGTCATATTTATTTGTGTCATTATATTTAATATTAAAAATATATTTATATTTGTATAATTTTTTATACAAATATAATTTTACTAGTATTATAAGAGGAAGTATTTTGGCAATTTTTTTTAATTTTTACTACGTTTTGATATAATAATTAATATTTAAAAATCAACTTGTAAAAAGTAAATGAAACTTTTAAAACTTAAAAAAAAAAAAAAAAAAAAAAGTTGTATATATTCGTAATTTATATAAAAGTCAAAGTATTTTCGTATTAACATATAATTATTTCTATTATAATAAAAAATTAATATTTTTAAAATAAGACGAACAAAAATAATAAAAAATTATTTTTTTGTTGAAACAAAGAAAAAAAATAATATAATGATATTAATATAAAAATATAACTATTCCAGCAAATAAAATTATGACAGATAGAAGAGAGGAAAAATAGAGAGATATGATATGAATAAAATTTAAAATTTATTTATTTTAAAATTATATTTTTGTTATTTATCAATTTTATTTTTATTTAAAAATATAAATATAAATTATATTTCAAATTAATTTTTATTTTTATTATCATATTTAGATCATCTCAAATATTGTTTAGATATAATTTTATATAATTAAGAAATTTATTCTTTTATTCTTTTATATATATATATATATTTTATATTATTTTTTAGAAAATATCATATTACATATATTTTTTAAAATTTAAATGTTACATAAAAAATCATTTAAATAGTAATTTGTGTAATATTTTATTTATATAATATTATCAAAATGGTATTTTTTACTGCAATATTTAGAAAAATAAATAAATTATATTTTTACAATTAAATAATATAATAATAAAAATAATTATTAATTTTAAGAAAAAAATTAATAATTAATAAAAATATAATTTTTTAAAATATATAAATTTTAAATCATATCATATATATACTCTTTTTTAATTTTTTTTTCTCTCCTCTTATTTGTTGGAATAGAAGGAATAGGAGAATTTGAGAATAGAAGAATCCTTAGGGTGTGTTTGTTTGGGGGATTGGATTTGATTTGATTTATTCTATTCATCTAATTTTTTTTCGTCCAAAAACATCAAATCAAACACCTATTTTTCATTTTTTATATTATATTAAAAATTAATTTTACATTCAAAACATCACATCAACACCTATTTATATCACATCATACAACTATTCAAATTCAAAATTTTTATTATTCAAATCCCAACTCAAAATCCAAACCTCCAAACAAACACACCCGCCAATTCCAAAATATATTCTTAAACTTATATTCCATTCATCCCATAAATATAGTCTTAATTGAGTTGAACACGAGATTCAAGGAATATTGATATTATATTTGCAGTGGGTAAAAAGTATAGATAAAAGATTTTTTTGTCATTGTGAGTGTATTAATGTAAAAAGTAGTGACAATTGTGTAATAAAAATGAAAAAGTAAGGGTAGTTTTACGATGATATGGTCATTTATGGAAATAAGACTATTATTTTGAGACGGACAAAAATGGTAAACAAGACTATTGTATTTGGACGGAGAGAGTATATCGTTTGTAGCTTTATGGTGAGCTTATTAGTTATGTGTATAGGTAATTAAATAAATTTTTCGACAAAATTATTTTTAATCTCATCAAGTTATTTTATTAATTTTAATCTCATTCGTAATAAAATTAATAATTTTTAGTCTCATGGTATATAAGCTGGAGAGGCTGATTTTATTCTTTTTCATTAACAATTTTGATTTCCTTATTCATTTTCAAAAAATTCATTTATAAATTAAATTTAAATACTATTCCTTAATTGTGTGTACTTTTAAATAATGATATATTAATATTAAAATAATATTTTTTAAGACAATTCTGTTTTAAAAACAAACATTAAATCAATATTATTCTTTTTAAAACAATTGTTCATTATAAAAATGCCCTTCAAAACAAAACAACCCCTAAATACTTACAAAAATTTATTAGTATTACTATAATTTAGGTCATTCGTCCCATATGTCTAAATTTTATATTGTCATTGCTCCTACATAATTTTTTTTTTTTAAAAAAATATATTATATATTTTAATCATATTTTAAATTTTAAATAAATTATTTATTTATTTTTATTAAAATAATTTACTAAAATATATTTTAAATAATATTGCATTCGTCCGTCAAATTTATTTATTTATTTTTAATTCATCTACTAAATTTATACTATTACTAATTTTGACAAAAATGAACAAATTAACATTTAATTATTACCTATTTACAAGAAATATATGGGCGGCTCATAGCAAAACTAGGGTGAGCAACTGCTCGGGCCCTAATTAATAGAGGGCCTATATTTTAAATATTATCTATTATTATTATTATTAAATTTTAAAATTAAATTTTAACTTTTAAGTTTTATTTTTTTTTCTTCATAGTTATCCTATTTAAATTTAAAATTAAATTTAAATTTCTAATCACATATATAATATATATTTTTTTAAATCAGCTACACTTCTTTACCTTACACCTATCGCATTAACTCAATCAAACCTGCATCACATTTTCTCTTATGTCTTTCATCCTCATTTAGTCCTTGATTTCCAATTGTCTTTCAATCAAATTAACATTGTCCAGATGATCACGTTAAACCTCTCTTGTTCAATCAATGCGAAATCAGTAATATTATTAAAATACATTTTAATTATGTATTTGTAGGGCCTATAATTTATTTTCGCTCAGAGCCTAAAAAAAATTCGAAACGGCTATGAAGAAATACCACTAACTTTATTACATTTTTCTTTTTATTTTCATTTATTTTACTTTCTAAATAAATTTTCAAAAAATACCCCAACTATTCATTGTTTTTTTTTATAAAATATTTATTTTTTTTAATTTTGTGCCGAAACCAAATGAACTGATTTTAAAGGAGAGAGGAGTATTAAGGCATCCAATCAAACATTAAAAAAATTCCCAACAGTCACCCAAATCAATTAAATTTAAATTACAACAAACCAAAAGTCACTCATACAAAAATAAAATAAATTAATTAACAAATTTAATAAATAAAAATAAAAATTACACTTGAAACGGCCACGGCCAATTCTTCAACTCCTCTTCATCCTGAACCTTGCCGTTCCTCATCCCGGCGGCGCCGCCGCCGCCGCCGCCCCGCCGCTCGACATACGCATAATAATTAAGGAAGAACGCCAGCGTCAGCACCACCCACTCGAGGCAGAACATCACGGCGCAGAGACCGCCGGCGAGCTTCAAAATCACGACGCCGTCGTCCTGCCGGACGTACGACCGGAGATGGCCGAGAAAGTCCGCCGGCCGGGTGAAGATCAGCACCGCCACCGACCCCTGAAAAATCGCCGTCAGCACCGTCGCCACCATGTGCGCGCCGTAGAGCCGCCCCGCCGAGGCGGAGGCGCCGCGCGACGCGGCGGCGCAGCCGGAAACGGCGCCGGCGACGGTGATGGCCTGCAGGAGGATGAAGAAGAATCCGACGAGCGACGGGACGAGTCGCAGAGAGAGCGTGAGGAACACGCAGCTCGAAGCCGCGCCGAGGAGGATGTAATTGCAGAGGAGGAACACCTTGTGGGTGTTTGGGTGCGAGCAGTCGCCGGAGGAGTGTTGCAGCGACAATCCGCCCATTTTTCCGGTCGATCGGAAAATTTGAGAGCTTTTGTTTCTTTTCGCCGGAGGGATTTTACGGTTAGTCGGAGATTTTGGTTTTGACGATGACTGATGAATTTGAATATATATAGAAGTGGAGGCGGCGAGCAACGGTAAAAGGGGGAGAAATTCGACCGTTGGGCGAGGAGAGAATTTGAAAGCTTATTTGAAAAGTGGGGAGTGCAACGGATAGTTTATGTGGATTTGGTTTTTTAATTTTGATTTAATTGTTACTTTTATTATTATTGTTACTATATATATTTTATAGAAAGCATTAGGATTATTATTTATATTTTATACACAAGCTCTGTTCTTGATTTTATCTGTCCATCTTTAATCTCTATTATAATTTTATTTTTTTATAGTAACTTCACACTAAAAATCTCATTTATTTTTTTATTAATTTTTGAATATTAATTATTATATTAAAATATAGTACAAATTAAAAGAAAATTATAAAAATATTTTCATTAGTATTTTATAATAATAATAATAGAAGGATATTTAAAAAGAAAAAAAAAAGTGACTTTAAAGACAGGCGGAGAGAATACAATATATTTACTTTGCACGTAATACTATATTTTATAAAAACATTATACTATCAAATAATTATTAAAATTTATATTTTTTTATCTCTCCTTACCAAGTCAAAGTATTTTTTTAGCATATGTTTTATTATAAAGTATTACTTTTCTATTTTTTTTTAAAAAATAATCATACATTAATATTAATTTTTTAATTTAAATTACAAATATATTATTACACGTACAATTATTTTATACATAAAATTAAATGATAAAAATATTAAAAATTCTTATATACTTTCACTAACTAATAAAATATTATTATTCTTAATACATTTAGTACAAATTTCCAAACACTTAAATTGAAATGTGGAGTACATTAGTATCTCACAAAATAAACACATTCGAGATATTTTGAATTATTACTATTATAGTAGATACATAAAAAAATATATATATAAATAATACATAAAGTATAAAATATAAGTTAATATTTCCCTCGGGTAACAAACTATCTATTTTTTTTTATTATTTTAAGTAATTATATTATAACATTACAAATACTATTATAATTTATAATATATTGCACAAATATCATTATATTTATACCATACAATACTAATAAAATTATTTTAATTATTTATACATTATTTTTACTACATATCAATATAATATTAATATACATAAAATTATATGTAAAAAATAAATAAATATATAATCAAGGAATAGAGGGAGAAGAATACAACTATCTTTAAAAAATATTGATACTATATTGATATTGGGTAAAAAGTACGGCTAAAAGACTTTTTTGCCTTTACGAGTGATATTAATGTAAAAAATAGTGGCAATTATGTAATAATAATAGAAAATAAGAGTAGTTTTATAGTTATATGATTATTTATGAAAATTAGACTATTGTTTTAAGACAGACAAAAATAGTAAATAAGAGTAATGTATTGTAACGGAGGAAGTAATATACACGAGATACTATAATTAATTATTCATAACCTTTTGTATTAAATTATTAATTTTTATAAATAAATACTCCCTCCCTCCTATGTAATATGGGTGTATTACTGTAGATACACGAAAATTTAGGTAAAGTATAATTAGTAAGTAATTAAGAAGTATATTAGTAAAAATAATTATTATTTAATAAAAATAATTATAGATTAAGATTAAAATAAGTAAATAGTTTAATTAAAATTAAGAAAATTATAAAATTTAAAATTTAAAATCCTATTAAAGTGCATAATTATATTTTTAAAAATAAAAAGAACAAATTATGTGGAACAGACGAAAATAAAAAATAAAAATAAATTATATAGAGATAAATTATGTGGGACGAAGTAGAAGTAAGTATTATATGCTGTACTATAATTTTTAATTTTATAAATAGAAAAAAAATTAAAAAAAAATTGAAATTTTGCCGGAAAAACACGCTATGATTGATTATTCCAGAGTCTTCATACACTTACACTCCCCCACCAACCCCTAAAGCATATATATATATATATATATATATAAAATAAACAGTCACCTTCCCTATCAACCATAACCATAACTACCTACCTAACCTACCACCCCCCACCCCATCCGCCGCCGCCGTCCACGGCGGCTCAAACCTTCACTTACCTAACCTACCACCCCCCCCCCCATCCGCCGCCGCCGTCCACGGCGGCTCAAACCTTCACTTCCCGGCCGAACACCCAACTGAACGGCACCGCTGCCGCCTGCTTCACCCGCGCCTGCGCCCGCTCCTCCAGCTTCCGAATTCTCGCCGGCAAATTACAAACATACTCCTGCGCCTTACGCCCCTCGCCGGAGAGCCCCGCCGCCAGCTCCTCCACCCGCCACCGCGCGACGATGAATTCCAGAATGTCGGCGTAGTCCCGGGCGGTGTACACTCCGATCCGCTGCGCGATGGCGGAGAAGTGCCCAAACAGATTCTCATCCCTCCCGTCGTACATCAGATGCGCCGGCATCGTTATCTTCTTCCGCATCATGTCGGCGAGCGCCAGAACCGTCCCGTCCGGGTCGATCTCGAACAGCTTCTCGACGATTTTCGTGTACGCCGTCTCATGCCGCTTCTCGTCGGCGGCGATCGTGCCGCATATCTGGGCCAGCTTCACGTCGCCGCGCTCCTTGGCGAGACGGGCAGTGTTCCCGTGCGATATAAACGTCGCCCTCTCCTGAAACGACGTGTAGATGAATCCGAGATATGGGTTCTTGTCCGTGTGCGGATCCTGTCAATTAAATCGTATTAGTTTCAATCGTACCGAAAAAGATCGGATTTTTAGATTTTTTTTCGTTGTCGTCATTGGTCTTACCATCCCGGAGCTGATCAGGTACTGAATCGTTTTCTCAATTTGCCTCATGTCAACGCGTCCCGAGAGGTACAAATACTTGTTGAGGAGATCGCCGTGCCGATTTTCTTCGGCGGTCCACGCTCGGGTCCAAATTGCCCAAGGGGTGAGGCTCGCGCCCGTCTCGTCGCGAACGGCATCGAGCGTGTTGATCATCGTCTGGTAAGTCGGAAGAGCCTCCTCGGTGATCATATCTCCCACCAACACGACAAAATACTCGTCGGGGAGCTCGTCGACCCGCTTCCTGAGCTCGGCGACCTGTTCTTCGAACCCTTCCGAAGAGGAGTCCGGGAGAAAGTCGTGGGGCTGCCACGACTTCTCGACCGGCTTGAGAAGAACCAAAAGGTTTTCCTCAGCCCAACCGTGAAGGGATTTGAAGATCTCCCGCTTCTCTGGAGGCAGGGGATTCGTGATTTTGACATTAACTTCCCGGGTCGGGGCGAAAGGCTTTTTCACATTCTCGGCATCCCTACACGCACGAACGAAACAAAGAAAATCCATCAGAAACGCAACCAAACATCGCTGAATTTTGTTATGGTTTCAAACCAAAAACACGGCTATTCAGTCGGCACAGTTCTCAATAAAAATATATTATTTCATCTCACAAAATATCAAATCAAAATACTATTTAAACCAAATAACGCAAAATTGTTAACGCAGTCATCCATCAGAAACAACACAACAAAACATCGTTGCTATTCAGTCCGCACAGCTCTCAATAGAAATATATACTATTTCATCTCACAAAATATCAAATCGAAATATTATTTAAACCAGATAACGCAAAATCGTTATCGCGGTCATCCATCAGAAACGCAACCAAACGTCGTCGATTTTGTTATGGTTTCAAAACAAAAACACTGTTATTCAGTCCGCACAGTTCTCAATAAAAATATACTATTTCATCTCACAAAATATCAAATCAAAATACTATTTAACCCAAACAATGCAAAATCTTTAATGTCGCGCGTCCCAATCATCTCATTACACATATATTTACAACAAATGTCAAATTTTGCGGTCCATACAACGACAACCACCATAGACCATTTAATGGTGTGGGGAAGAGCTTCAAACCAAACACATTAAAGTTCTTGCGGCTTTCGCCTAATTTTCGTCGATTTGTGGAGATAAAAAGGGAAATGTCAATACTGTAAGAACAAAATCAAGAATTTCTTGGGAAATAATTGCATCAATCCATACCCACCCCTACCCCCCCTCAGATGCTCATAGATACACCTTAATAGGGCAATGAAGACATTAATTCAAAATGCAGACAAAACCATGATTTGATTACACAGATGAACAAGTGAAATCAAATTCAATCGAATTGCTTAGAGATTCAAAATACTTCCAAAATTTACTATTTTGATCGTCAAATCAAACAATTATTTTTTAATAGAATGGAAATACTTTCCAAGTTAACCATTTCGAACATCAAATCAAACAAGTATTTCTCAATCGAATTGTTTACCGAATTTGAAATACTTTCAATGTAAATTTACCCTTTCCAACGTCGAATCAAATAACTATTTTTCAATAGAATCACTTAGAGAATCAAAATACTTCGGAAATATCCCATCTCGAACGTCAAATTAAACAACTATTTTTTAATCAAATGGAAATACTTCCAAGATAACCATTTCAAACATCAAATCAAACAAGTATTTCACAATCGAAATTTTTTACCAAATTCGAAATACTTCCAAAGTAAATTTACCCTTTCGAAACGTTGAATCAAATAACTATTTTTCAATCGAAACACTTCCAAATTATACCATTCAGAAGGTCAAATCAACCAGCTATTTTTCCAAAAATTACTCTGAGATTCGAAATACTTTCAAAATACATCTACACAAATATATATATATATATTGGCGAAACTGGAATGAAAGCAAATCGAAGAATCCAATTGTCAATGAAGAAATTGTGTGTATGAAACTATGAAAAGCACTAAATCGAACAAATCGCCGACAATCGCCGCCATGCAAATCGTCGGCCATAAATCCAAACAGAAAATCGAAATCAACACCAATCCGCGAACAAATCTAGGGCAAAAAAAAGCAGTAACAACAAAACCTCAAATCCTTCACACATTCATCACATCCGAAGCCTAAACAGCTCGAGTTCAAAAAAGGCATAAACAGCGCTTACACAGACGGAGAATGAACAGTGGAAGCCATGGACACTCTGTGAGATCTGAACCGATAACCGCCGCCGAAGGAGGAGGACGCGCAGACATTGTGAGGGGGAGCAACAGTGAGCCTAAGTAGCGCCATTGCCTCTGCACTAATTGGAATCAACAGCAGCTTTCAAATGGAGAGGTGAATCTCGGAATCAGATCGAGGGTCTGCGAATGATGGGGGCAGCGGAGAGAGGCGAGGCAATAAATGGAGGGGTGGAGAGGGGAAAACAGTGGGAAGGACGTTTGGTTTTGGAGATATGGCCGCCCATAGATTTTGTGGGCTAGAAAGATCGCCATTTTTGCTGACCTGACCAATTTTAGGGAGGGCGATGATTCCTATGATCTCCATTTCTGTGCTTCTCTCCTCGACGTACAACTTCTCAATGCACGCCACCTCCGGTTGTACCTTCTACCGTTTGTTTTTGTTTTTGTTTGTTTTCTCTTTTTGATTTTGTGCGCCCACAAGAAATAGTTTCCATTGCGGGAAGTTATTTATTTATTTATTTATTATTATTGTTATGAAAGGTTATTTTTAAGTTAATTTTTTTTTTATTATTAATTTTTTTTTATTAACTCTTTATAAAATTTATATAAATATATATGTTACGTGATGAAAGTATTTTTTGTATTATCTTTGTGTGTTTATTAAAAGTTATTTTTTTATTTCATTTCAAAGAACTTATTTGATTTAGAACATAGTACTCCCTCCCACTCTTTTCAAATGAACTATTCGATATTGTTATAATAAATTAAGAAATAATATACCCTTCGTCCATATACAAAGTATATATTCCCTTCGTTCCATTGAAATGTTACAATTTTTTATTTTAGTTCGTCTCAAAACAAGGTTACCATTTCCTAATTTAGTAACTGTACTACATATCTAACATAATAAATATCATTTCAACTTACATTATATTACACAATGTCATTATTTTTATATTACACCATACTAATAGGATATTTTTGTCTTTTTTACTACAATTCAATATAATACTAATATTCAAAAATCTACGTGAAAAAAACAAATGCCACCCTTCTTATGGGACGGAGGGAGTATTTACTTTTGGCGCGGTTAAGAAATAATAGTATTTTAATTATAGTGGGTAGTTAAAAGTAGTGTAGTGATAGTTTTGTCCTTGTTTTTTTGTGTAAAAGTAATGATGTGATGTAAAGAAAGGGTATTTGTGAAAAAAAATGAGGTTTTACTTTGTAATTGGACATTTCAAAATAAAAATATATATACTTTCTAGCTGGACGGATGAAGTAATATTTTATTAATTAGTGGGAGTGTACAAGAGATTTTGATGCTTTTGCTTTGATTTTATATATAAAATAATTATATATGTAATGATATTTTTTAAAATTTAAATAAAAATTAAGGGTATTTAAGTGAAACAAACAAAAGTGATAAAAATAATATTTTAAATGAGGACGAAGGAAGTAAAATTCAGTATGCTAGCTGTCTACAATAAAATATAAAATATAAAATGTGATTAAAATATAATTTATTATTTATTTTTCTAAAAAAAAGAAAAAAAAACAAAGACAAAACGAAAATTTTAAAAAATAATACTTCCTATGTCTACTTTAAAGGTTTATATTTATTTTTGTGTGTTGATATTTGAATATTAATTATTATATTAAAATATAAATATAAATTAAGAGAAAATGACAAAAATACTTCTATTATTGTCTTGTAATACAAATATAATGACTTTTGTATAAAAATTTATACAAATATAATAATATTTTTAACGTTAAGTATAATGACACAAAAGATAAATATAAATTTTTAAAGTGGACGGAGGGAATATTTATTTGAGATGAAGAAAGTATTATATTTTTCATATCTTTTCTATCTATATCAAATATATAATAATATTTATATATAACTATAAATTTAATAGTAATAAATAGGGGCGGCCGCTACAGTACTAAATATGAAATTCAGCACTGTGCTGAATAGCACATTGTGAGCTACCGGAGAGCACACGGTCTTACTACCATAGACATCACACAATATACGTTAATATAATACAAATACAACACATGACTTAACAACACATCATATAGTCTCACACAACATATACAATACTTGATTTTAGCTAGGGGTGTCAATTCGTGTTTTTTGGTCGTGTTCGTATCAGGTTGAGCCATGGAGATAACAAAAAAATTGTCAGTCCGAACCCGACCCGACCCGAAATCTAACTTGAAACCCTTGACCCGAACACGACACGAATTCTTTCGAGTCGAATTCAGGTTGACCTGAATTAGTTTTAAGTCACCCAAAACCCGAACAAACCCGACATGACACAAACCCGAACATTTTTTAAAAAAATTAAATTGACCTAATTTGTATATTTTTTTCTATTTAAAATAATAAAAATACTATAAATTAAAATAATAATAATAAAAATTTCAGGTTAACCCGAAATACGAAACCAAAAACCTAACATGATTTTTATATTTCAGGTTATCAGGTCAACCCGAACACGACACGAATTTTTTTCGTTTTGGGTTCGGGTCGACCCGATTTTTTTCAAATCCGAAATACCCAAATCCGAACCTAAAAAATTTCAGGTTGAACGGGTTCGGTTTTTCAGGTCGGGTTTACTTTTGACACCTCTAATTTCAACACATAACATACTCTCTTACAACGCACATTCTAATTATGAACAAATAATATATGTCTTTATTACATACAATATGTGTTATTTGTAATAAAAATATGTGTTATTTCGGTATTTTACATGTGCTGATTTGCGGCCCATTAACCTTCCCAATAAATAGGATATAAATTTCCCACCATTAATTAAAAGCAGTCACACGTGGCAAAGGGAACTCATTTTGGGTGTGTAGTTAGCTTAGGTAACTATTGTCCCTATATACTATTAGGTTGAACAGGAAATATGTTTAGGATGTGTTTGTTTGGGTGTTTGGATTTTGAGTTGGGATTTAAATAGTAAAAATTTTAAATTTGAATAGTTGTATGATGTGATATAAATAGGTATTGATGTGATATTTTGAATGTAAAATTGATTTTTAGTATAATATAAAAAATAAAAATTAGGTACTCTCTCCGTCCCAATACAATAGTCATATTTATCATTTTTGTCTGTCCCAAAACAATAGTCTCATTTCCATAAATAATCCTATCATTATAAAACTACCATTATTTTTTCAGTATTATTAAACATTTACCACTACTTTTTACATTAATACACTCACAAAAGCAAAAAAATTTTTTACCCGTACTTTTTACTCACTACCAATATAATATTAATATTACTTAAATCCCGTAACAAACACAACCCAGACTATAGTTTTGGGACAGACAGAGTATTTGATTTGATATTTTAAAAAAGAAAAAATTGATGAATAGTTATTGGGGGAAAAATCTCCGAAACAAATACACCCTAAAGTGTAATTATTATTCAAAGAAGCTACTTAAATAAATGCTTAATATAATACTTCATTTGGCTATTAAAATTAGGTCACCTGTGTCTAACACGTAGATTAAAAAAAATAAATATTTATTAAAAAATATAAAGAATTGATAATATTTTTGAATTTAGTTAGAAATGAAAGAAAATTAAGAAAGATAATGTAATAAAGTTAGTAAAATTTGTTGTAAATAAATATTGAATGGAAGATAATAATTAAATATAAATATGTTGACTTTACTAAAATTAATAATAAAATAAATTTAATAAACAGACTAAAAAAAATTAAAATAAATTTAACTGACATAAAGAGTATAATAGATTTTCATTAAAAAGAAGAATATTTGGGAATTCTATATTTCTATAATTTATTCAATAGAATAGGGAACATATAGTTGGAGAAACTTCCTGCTAATAAAATACTCCCTCCGTCCCAAACAAGGTGTAACATTTACTTTTGGCACGAGTTTTTAGGTGAGTAGTATTAAGTAAGATAATTTATAAATTAAATAATGTGATGAAAAGAGAAATGTATATTTTATTTTTTTATTTAGATGATGTGAGGGGATAAAGTGTGGGATAAAGATTAAGTATGATTAATTATTTTCTATTTTGGAAATATTGGTGTTTGGGACATACCAAAAAAGAAATATTGCATGGTGTTTGGGATGGAGAGAGTAGATTTTTTCGTTCCAGAACGAGTTTCTTTATGCAAAAAATTTCAAGTTTCTATTATTTGAACCTTGTATTTTTCGAAAAAAATAATTTTTTTCCACTTACAAAATATTTTTTCATATATTATTTTAATACTAAATTAAAACTAATTTTTTTTCAAACTTATCGAAAGAAACAAATCCTAATTCGACAAAAAAGAAAGAAGATTGAGCTGTAAGAGAAAAAAAAAAAAAAAAAAGAGGGTCGATTCGTATTTTCAGATTGTGGGTGTGTCAATCCAAACATGATATGAACCTAAATTTTGTTGCGAAATTCAAAATTCGAATACGACATAAATTTTTTCGAATATGGTTCAAATCCGAAAACCTAAAAAATGATAAATTTATCTAAAAAAAAATCCAATAAATTATGCATTATTTATTTAGTTTTTTCATTTTAAGAATTGATATTTTGTATTTTGTTTATTTTTTTATAATTTAAATTTTTTTATATTATTTAATTTTTCCTATAATGTAAATATTACTGTGTAAATTAAAATAAATGAAAAATACTTCATCCATTCTATCACAAATATATGATATTTTTCTTTTTATTGCGGTCCCATAATAAATTATTTCTTTCTAGTTTTAATATATTTATTCATTTTAAACATACTCAATAAATATAAATTAATTTAATTAAATTCATAACCTCTCACTTACTATAATATTCACTCATATCTCTTTATTTCTATATTTTCCTCAATAAACATATATTTTTATTAACATTTAAAACTTTTCATTTTTTATAAAACTATTTAAATTAATTATTAATAAATATATATATTCTTGTATTTATTTTTACTATATAAATTTTTATTATTTATAAAATAATATCCCTAATTTATATATTTGATTGAGATATAGTGCTAAAAATATTTAAAATATATATTTTTAATTTTTTAAAATCATATATATTCATTATTATTTTTAAAATACTAACAACACTATTTATATTTAAAATTAATAAAATAATATACTAACTTATTATTAATAACTTACTCATCTATGTTATCTAAATAACCGTGCGTAGAACAAAGAGGTCATCTCTTCCGAGACGGAGGGAGTATAATTTAGGTTAAACTGATATCCGAC